TTTGCTTATGCTTATATATAGACCAATCAATTTCCTTATGCTTATGCGTTATGCTTTATGTAAAAGCTTGTGCTCTCGGCTATAGATTGGAGCATGTGGGGCATGCGACGCGAACAAATCTCAATTGTTATCCGCAATTGACGACGGGGTATTTGCAACGCATTGTAGAATGGCCCTTATGGTTTTAGTAACTTTTTCTCTGTCCGAAAACTCGGACCGAGTTCAGCATCGCGTATGAACATAAGCCATTAGAAAACCAATCTTCCTATTCGACACCTAATACACAATAGCCAAAGTTAGAAACGAACGTTATATGAATCCTACATTATTCTCTTGTTGCGCATTGTATGTGTTGTATGTTACGCGTTATATACCAGTTTTGATCATAATTTGAATCCGCCATTAAAAAGAATGGATATCTAATCTGATATATCGAGATTTTTATGCAAATCAATTTGTAGACTACCTTTTTTCGTCTTCAGAATACTAGAATATCTGTGAAAACATTCGAACTACTGCATATTTCAATTCAATTGAAAGCACATGTGCATACCATGAACATGGCGACTTGGAGGTTATTGTTTTCTACTAGCCCAATTAATTTGTTATGTACAAGGTAAAATAAGCTATTGGTTCTATATCTGATCATTCAGAGTTGAAATAAATATAAAATTTTTTCTGCAATGAAATAGTATATTTTTGAAATAAAAGTAAAATTCTCGATGCAAAAATAGTTACCCAGATAGCACAAGTATTATGTATAAAGTAACAAGTAAAATGTATTTTTATGAAAATATTTTATTTTTTGAGTTTTATTTATGTTTTAAATTATATCAACTACATAAATAAATAAGATAAAAATTAAAATGTTAGTTTGATCTGTTAAAAATTATGCATATTTCAAAATTCTAAAATTTTTTTGTTACAGGAGACTAGCTACGCAAAACCCTATTATGTCCAAACTTAAGCGCAATATAGAAAAAGATATTTTACCACCAAAACCAAAAAAACCATTAAATCCTTTTATTCAGTATTGTCTTTCTGTGAAAAATACATTGCAAAAAGAATATCCTGATTGTACATATGTAGATGTTGTAAAAAGGGCATCAAAACAATGGGCACAAGTTGAGCCAAAAGTAAAAGAAAGTTTAAAAAAACAATATATGGAACAACAGTCTATTTATAAACAAAAATTACAGGACTATGAAAATTCTATAACTTCTGATCAAAAATTATTAATAAAAAAGGAATTGATAAAAAAGGAACATGCTTGGGAAAAGAGTCAAGTTAAACAAGTAATTAACATAAAAACTTTTGTACAAAATTTTGATATTAAGTCATGCATTATAATATTTTATTCTTTTTACAGAAACTTACAGAACTTGGAAAGCCAAAGCGGCCATTATCTGCCTTCTTTTTATTCTTGCAGAATAAACAGAGTGCCAAAGACCCGCAAGTACCATACAAAGTGAGTTTATTACTTATTTAATCTTTAAAGTTAACTTCTCTTTTTTTTTCTCCATCAATTATATATTTCTTACTTTTTGAAATTGTAAATATTAATATTATAATTAGTTTTTTTTTCTTATTTTTAGGATTGGACGATTAATTTAAGTGAAGAATGGAAGAATATGACAACAGAAGCTAAAGAAAAATATGTTGTAGAAGCAACACATTTGTATGAAAAGTACAAAATTGAATTAAAAAAATGGGAGGAAGATATGATTCAAGCAGGACATCATAATTTGCTGAAATCTAATGTTAAATCTAATGTTAAATCTAAACGCGTTACTAATATACATAAAGAATAGGATTTAGAGTGCCCCAACCAATCTACTATACAAAATATGCAAAAAGCTGAATTCATTGTTGCAGATGATTCTTCCAGTATGAAAATTCAAGACAAAGAGAATATTAAAACAGGTTGGGGCACTGATATCACACTTGATCCCAACAGTGGTAATAGAAATATTATATGAGCTTGAAGCATTATATCATATTTTGCATAATTTAAAAAATTGTAAATTATTTATTTGTTTGTTTAGATCAACAATATGAATCTAGAAAAAGCCTGATATTTTATGACAAGAATTTACAAAACAAACTGAAATATTCGAAGAATGCAAAAGATTTGATGAAGGATGTTGGTACATCAATACAACCTCTTGATGCACAGAAACATAAGTATTTTGTCTTTATATGGAAAAGATTTTTAACAGTCCTGAAAGAGACTGCTAAAAATTGGAAGACGGTAAGAGAATACGTCTTTATTGGCACAGCTGCCATTCTAATATCAATATTTTGTGTTTTAAATCTTATGTATAAGTGACCATTGTATATAGGTAATTAGTAGCTTGCACATTTTTTTAAATTTTTCTACATACACAGTTTATGACTTGTATCATACATTTTATTTGTTTAATAAATTTGTAACTATTATTTATGTAAGATATATTATTTTTTCAGTTAAATTATCCTTATTTAAAGATATATAAAAGTTATCACCAAATATTATGCTTTATGAATGCATCACATATGTCACTAATATTATGTTATCTCCCATTTTAGAAATTGTTATTCTGAGTGGACTAATGGTCAAGGTGGCAACAGAGGCATTTAATGGCTTATATTACTAACATTTAAATGCTCATTACATTTATATTATTAACAATTATGCATCTTGAAATCATCGCATATTAATTAATGTGTATCTTTCTTTTTTATATGTATGACTACTTTACATTTATAAATTACAATTATTTAATACATAATATGTCTAAAACATAACAAAATTAATACGTGAATTGGACCATTGATTGCATGAATAAAAATCATTAATTTTATTTAAAGTATGTTTCTTCAACATTGATACAGCATTGGACAAAGTCAAATAATGCATGAACAGATGTCTACAGTTTAGGACATACCAATTAATGAAGCTTTGAAATGCTACTAATCATTAGTAAATGACATTACAAATGACATTTACAAAAAAAATTTTTTTTCAAATGTTATTTTTCAGACATATGTATATTCAAATTGAAAAATTGTGTTTCTAATTATACATGCAATATTATTTTCACTTTAATATCTATGTACTTTATCATTGTCAATTACAACATTATTTGAATTTATTTGAATACTATTTAGTAGACATGATAATTCATATTGCTTCTAGAAAATTAATCTAATCAATGCACGACGACATACATATCGGGTATCAATGATATGCTCGATATGTTTTGTTTGGCCGCTCTTGCCATTTGAACCACTTGAAGCATGCAAGATTACACTTCTAACAATTTTTTCGACAAACGATTTGATATCCAATAAGAAAATTAATTTTTTTAGAACAAATATGGAGTCACACAGATTCCCTAGAAAATACAATTTCTTATTGGATATCAGTTTCTCGTAGATCGGAAATTGCAAGCAGTGTAAACTCTCCATAAGAGAACAATTCCGATTCTCAAGCAATGTAAATTCTCCATAAGAGTGGAAACTAGGGGGATACTTCACAAAACAGAATTGTTTAATATCGATGATTTTACATTATTCAGAATATTTGATTATAAACTATATTAAATTAAGATCATTAAAATACAAATACATTGTGAATGAGATTTTTCTGATAAAAATTGATCTTGATCGCAGGCGATAAACGAAGAAAAAAAAGTGGATTGATACATTGAAGAATTTTGCCTTTACCTAACAATATTTGATTTTTGAGCATATATGTAATACTACATGTATGTTCTTGAGATATATAGCGTTAACGAAAGTGTATTTTCTTCCACTTTATTTGGGGTGAATTGCTGAATATGAATTCGTTTTATATGATTTGTAGTGCCCTTTTTCATCAATGCACACTTTGCAAGTAAATGTATATTACAAGAGAGCATATATATTAGATATCAACACGTATTCATTGTAATTATAAATATAATGGCCGATGTGAATGCGAGGAGAGAAGCAAGGAGACGACGAATCTTAGAAAACTCAGGAAATCGTTTACGTAAAATTACAGGGAGGAACGATCCAGATGAAAACAAAGGTAAATATAACGAATACTTGAGCAGAAACATGAAATCAAATATAATGTGATTCATAAAAGTTATAATAAATAACATAATTTTTTTTTAATGTACCTATTTTGTGCATTTAGAAGCAAGGAAACAGTTTTTTCCAAAATTGTGACTTGTATTCTATTCTTTTATAATTATACTTGAATGCAATATGTGACAACTTCAATAATCTACTTTGGAAAGAAATGGTTTTTTAATCTATACTAACTATGATTTTTTTAATCTATTTCTTATATCTGAACAAGTAATATTTATCTTTGAATATTTTTATTTGTATTTCAACATGTATAGATTCTTGTATAAGTAGTTTGGATTGATTCATAAAAAAATATTTTGCAGATGATAGTCTGGAAATAAAAGATGATGGTTTTAAAGCGGAATCAAATTTGGATCAGTACATCAGAAATGGTTCATATATCAATAGCGAAGCAGAATTACAAGATCATGCAAGAATCAGCAACAATGAACATGAAAGCTTTTTGAGTAACAATGATAGAAACACATGCTTATCAGAGCCAGTATCCAAGACAGAATTGATGTTATGTACATTATTATTTAATCGCATCAATCTTATTCTGCTAGCTGGGATTGTCAACATTTTATTAGTACTGAAACTAGATAATTTATTTGGACAGGTAATCTCATCTTTAATAATTCGTTGAGATATTTATATTGATAATTTATATATGCGCTAATTCTTACAGGCAATTATTATACCTTACTGGTCACTGATGTTGGGACGTTTCTACAGATGTAAGGAATTTCATGAAATACAAAACGGCAGTTTACTAATCGCTGCTTTAATATTGTGCAACATCAAGCCCAAGTTGATTTATAGATTTAAAGTATCACTTACATTATTTAATTTAATACTTACAGATTTCTGTTTATATATGTTCAGTTTTGTACTGATGCGTTATGTTATTATTTCATATTATTACCATTACATTGAAACGTTAGTAAATGAATAATTATTTAATTAAACGAATAAAAATAAATTGGTGTTTTATTGTTGAAAACTTTCTGTTAAATGTTAAAGAAACAGAATCTCTAAAAGAATATGTAAATTTCATCATATAATGTATTATTTAACATTTGGCACTATTATTCCATAGTTTTTGCACATCTTTATTATTATGTCGTAATTTTGATGAAATAAATATTGATTTATATAAGTGCCATATCAAAAGCACTTATTAAAAATATACATATTATAATTGTAAAATAAATTTTGTGACTTATACCACATCAATATGTTTAAGATATTTTGTCCTTGCTCCTTTTCTATCATTAGTAGAAAAATCACTATCAATTTTAAGATTATAGAGAACAAAGTGTAATCAACTTTGTTAAAAATTATTTATATAATCAATAATCTGCTTAGAAATACATACATGTATAAATGCAAAAAGAAAACATCAAATAAATGTAATTTTACAATCTTATTGTATAATCTTAATTTAAAAGTGAATAAAAGATATTAATATTTTTAAAAACCAAGACTATAAAGAAGCACAATTATTTTTTAATGGTACGATTAAATTTTTATACATACATATATATATATATATATATATATATATATACGTTTTTTTTTAAAGAAACTTTTATAATGAAAGAAAAGTTAAACTAAATAAAATGCAGAAAATCTAAAGCCGACAGAAAAAGAGGGAATAAAGATAGTGGGACATACATATTGTATGTCATTAATTTCTGATGCAATAGCAAGCTTATTAGTCGACTGCTTGTATGAGAACATACTTTTGCGTGCAAGTAATGCGATTTCATTTACATATACGTAATCATCGTATTAAATCATCGTAAGAATTATCCAAGTCAGGCAAAATGATACGTAGAGGTGCATGCCAAATAGCCAGCTCGATTCATTCAAACTCTCGCGCAGAGGTACACGAAATTCCAATGAGTGTAATTATTAGACCTTTTCCTCCTGAAGTAAATGAGGAAAAAGTCCAAAGTTTAATGAATGCGTTGAAAAATACTGAAACCGAGCATACAGTACCACCCATCGATGTTTTATGGATTAAAGGGACCGAAGGTAATATTTGTGGAGTTTATAAAGTAACTGTGTAAAATTGACATAATTATTATTAAATTTATGAATTATGTGCCAATTTATTGGCATTTGCTAATTAATGATCTAAGTAAACCAGGTTAGATAGTCGTAAAGCAGTTATACAAGAAAAAATTAATATTGCTGATTATATTTAGGTGGTGATTATTATTATTCTTTCGGTGGCTGTCATCGTTACACTGCCCATCAACGATTAGGCAAAACGTCTATTAATGCCAAATTAATTAAATCAACATTAACAGATTTACGATGTTACTTGGGGAATTCTACTCCAAATTTAAAGTGATTTTAAATGTATTACCTCAGTACAATAAATCATTCTTCCTTCATTTCAAATATATGTGATAAAAATAAGCACATTATCAATATATTTTATAATATTTACTATTTATGTACATTAAAGAAAAATCCTTAATATTGTATACAAATGTATTTTGTACTTATTGCATAATATACAAAAAGTTATGTGTACTATGACTTATGTAGAAATTGAGAAAATAAAATTAAAATAGTTCATAAGTCTGATTTATTCTTTATGCATTGTAATTAATATTGTACATATATTACTATAAATAAAAATACTACATGTAAACTGTATATTTTAGAAGAAAAAGGACTAACGTTCACACACAAAATATACAATTTAGTGATAAGGACTTCAGTGATAAAGACTACGTGGAAATTTAATTGGAGAAAAAAATTGATGTTTTTTGTAAAATACACATGATCTTAAAGGATTTACATCTGTCATGCCTTAAGATTAAGTTAATAAGTACATCTTGTTATTCAAGAAATATAGTGTCCTTTTCTTCCAAAATATATCAAGAGCTCATTGCATGCAACTGATTTTTTCATTTTTTGCAATTATACGGCATGATAAAAACAAAAGTTTATTCACACAACGAATCAATTACAAGCTATGAGCTTTTCTTGCAAGATTTATGCATATTTTGTTTAAATTTTGCTACTATTATGAAAAACCATAATACAAAATATTTTATCACAGATACAAAAGTGTTGAAACAAAAATTTATGGAAATTTGGAATAATATAGAAATAGTACATACATATATCAAACTGTCAATTTCAATGGATCAAAATTAATCACTGAAACTGATTAAATGTTTGTTACATAACATATGAATACCTTTGCAATATTATAACCTAAATTTATATTCTTGCATATTATATTAGTTAACTTTTATAAATGCTATATAATAATAATAATGCTTTTCACAAAAATATCAAATAGGTTGAAATCAATAATTGAAAAAGTATAAATACTTTTGTGCATCACTAAGTATATGTAATAATATATGTTTAATAGTTAGATATATTTTTTAAGTAATTATATTATTAAACAATTATATCATCTTTCCGTGTTGTATATTATTAGAACCTTTTTTGTATTTTTTATATCAAGACTAGGAACGTACTTTTTCTTACTTACATTAGTATCTTTGTTATAGTAAACCTCAAAACATCTATAACATTCTTATTTTCATAATTATCCCATCAAATGTTTTGTACGATGTTTTCGATTTGCCTCCTTTATAAAGTACGGTTTGTAATTTCGAGTGCTATTAGCTGTTATATTGGCTATGTCCTCAAAGGAGTGAGATTGATGTGATTGACTCGTAGACTTAGTACCTCGCAAGTGAACAGGTATCATTGATTGTTGTAAATGTAGCAATTGCGTATTGGTCACTTCACAATCAATTTGCATCATCGTTATATGATTAGGAGGTGCCGAAAATGTACCTAAAAAGATATCAGAATATTATATATCATTACATATACTGAATTAGTATTGTTCAAATATGGTCATATGTATAAAATGCAATATTATATACCATTTATAGATACAACAGGCAAAACTAAAGACATTTTTGGCCTAGCTGTGTCATTTTTCCGAGAAGCTGGTAATAATAAATGCTCGCCACTAAACCATACAACATAAAATGTATCGTCTTTTCTTCCTAATGCTTCGAATAGAGAAGAATATTTATTTAATGTTGGAGAAAAGACTTGAACTGCACTGTCATTTGAGTGTCGATCAGTAGCAGGAATATCGATCATTTTGTGCATAGTTTTTATTTTCTTGTCTCGTGATAAGTACATCTTTCTTCTCATTTTTTCTTCCAATGGCAATTTTGCCAGTACGTTTAACGAACTTGTTTCTAATAGCGTTCTTTTTGATGCTGACCTATTATCTCGATCAGATTCACCATCAATCCAACGTCTCAATTCGCTATCTAGACGAATTGATTCGCTTTGATTAATATACATTGGACATATTGGTTGGTGTGCTGGTATACTTTTATTAAAATTTTCTTCAAGTTGATCATCCAAGTTAACCTTATCGTTTTCATTTTCCGCCCAGAATAATTTTCTGCTATGTCTGATTTCTGGTACAGCCATTGATAAGTCGTTGTTAGATTCAGTATTAAAATGTACGTTCTGTAAAAGGCTTGTCCTTGAAAAAAGTAAAAACATGTTTTACTTTCATTCCTATGTGGAGTGCAATATATATACGCGCAAAAATCTATTTAGTTCGATGATTCAAAATGTTTCTTTTTTTTGCTTCTGATGGCATAAGGAAGCACTTTTATGGCGTTAAAAGAACAATTTATAAATCTTGTGTGCTGAACAAAAGCAGCTGAACAAAACACAGTAAAACAGCTTTTATATTTTCTTGTAGACCATCAAAAGAAACAAGTACTTTACATATTTGAATTTTGCTGATTATGTTGTATTATTTGTTATAGTAAATAATTGTCACAAAAAAGTATATTAAACTATTTAATTTTATTTAAAAAATTGTTTTTTCCAAAGATCATATGTTAATACAATTTAAGAAATGAATATACTTACTTAAGACCATCAACGCTAATAGATATCATGAAAGTCAAGCACATCAGAAAAGCGGTTTCTTTCTTCGTCTTTTTGAAGATAGACTTAAAATTAAAACTTCTATATTTGTTATTATCACTCATAATACTGTCTTCCTTCTCTGTTAGTTTTTGCTTTAAAGCTATATTTTCCTAAAATAAAAATGGAAACATGTTTTTAAAAATCTGCTTGTACTCTTTATTACAAATTTGTAAAAATTTAATACGTACATCTAAAACATAAATTGCTTACCGATTTTAGCTGTTTATTTTCTTCCTTCAATTCAGATATTTTTTTTTCTAAAGATATTACATATTCCTTTCTTTTCTTTCGTGAAAGGCAAGCAGATTCTCTATTTTTTATCATTCTTTGTTGTCTCTTTAATGCTTTCTCGCATTCTTGATTGTTTTTTGAAGAATTTACAATATTAATTCCATCTGTCTTTGCAATTATTGAAGTGCAATTAGTTTTATCCTGCATTAATTGAAATGACGTGTAACTCATGGGTTTGCTTGTACATGTCACGAGTCCATTGTTTAAAGTAGTAGAAGTATCCATTGATTCAGCAGTGCTTACTGGACAAATGTTTGGTATAGCATTGATTATTTTCAATTTCTGTGGTAATTGAACCGTTATTGGATCCATATGTAATGAATTTTGCACATTAATGAGCTTATTTGTCGTTAATTTGGAAGGATATAATACATGCTGTGAATTTGCATCTTGTGTAAACGAGGTAAAATCTTGAAGAATAATAGCATTTGGAGATTTCTCTGTAATCGTTATAATGTAAATTTAGTGTACATTGTCAGAAAATCAATTTGTACAAAGCTAATAATATTTTTACCATCTTTTTCATGTTGTGCATCTGCAGGCTGAGTATGAATATGTTTCACAGAGTCTGTATTTCCAAAAATATGCTTTATATCTTTGTTATTAATAGGTATAAGTTTAACATGTGGTATTATATTTGAAGACAATCGAGACGATTGTGACAACAAAGTCGAGCTTTGTGACGAAGTAATCAATGGTGTTTCTACAACAAACTAAGAAAAAAAAGTTTGGAATTATTCTGTAGTAGAAACTACTAGATTTTTTCATTTTTTCAATTTTTGATTTTAAGTATATATTAAAATGATACTCTACGAAAAACCTGAAATTCAAAAATTCTGCAATTTTTAAAGATTGATTTAAATTTTTTTATCTTCTTTTAACACTGCACATATCATACAGATTATACCTCTGTATCCATATTCTGCATTAAACTATTTGATATTTCTCCATTTGAAAATCTCATTTGTTTATCTGAATCTTCAGATTCTGAATGATTAAAACTACTCAATGGTGACAGTGGTAAATGTGTATTAGGACTTTCAGGTTCCATCTTAATTTCATTTTTTATCTCTGAGACTTTCCATATTTCTACAAATTTGAGAAAATCAGGATTAAACTCTTTCTCGAAGACTATTTTTCTTAATACATACCTGAATCATTTTGTATGCCATTAAAGTCAAATTCTTTAAACGTTGAAAAATCCAATATATTTCTCTCCGCTTCATTTTCAGTTTTATTATAGTCTGAACTTGTTGTCTTCCCTTCTGGTATAACAGGTATTCCTAGTTCAGTACTCCATGATTGAAACAGGTCATCATTAAACTGTGTGTTTTCTTCTACAAAAAAATATTTTAATCATTACTTTATGACATACAATAATAATAGAAAGCTTTCACCTACACATACAATTTGCATTTTATTTTTAATAATTTATAAAACAATATAAATGTAAAATATATCCTACGTTATTAAAATTTATGTATATATACTTCTTATATGTAATATAGTATGAGTATATAATAAAATGACATATACGTCTAAAATAAACAAAAAATTACAATGTATACAACTGAGTCAAAGTAATGGTATATAAAAATATTTTAATATAATCAACAATACTTAACCTAAGAATTCGAAATCTGGAAACATCACCGTATTCGGTATCGCAGTGTTGGTTCTCTGTTCAAACTCTATACTCGGCATGTTTAAACAAGGCACGTTTTGACAGAGAATTCGAACTTTTATGTACCGAAACACATTTACGATGAAAAAAATTCAAAGTTGAATTAGTGATATACCCAATGTATGAATTTCAACATTTGAGTCAGAGAAAACGTAAAAATATGAATAATATACAAATATTAAATATATATATATAAATATTCATATAAACATATGTATGTTTATATCCTTGATACACCCACACCCGATTATTACAGTGGCTAAACACAAACAACGGAATAAAACAGTAGTGTGGCCAGATTTGAGACGCAAGAAGCAAACAGCATGAATGAAGGGAAGATCGCACACATGCATAAGCCACCTAAGATGAACGTGCGAGACAGAATAAGCATCTCCCTTTAAATTCTTTCTCTCTCAGAGCCATTTTTAGTCAAGACTCAAACCAATTTTATGTTTAATTATCGTCTGAATCCCTAGAAAATGTGTTCTTCTATTGATCAGCATCTCCAACAACAGCATCAAACACAGTGAATCTACCTTAATTTTTTTTTACGAACCCTAGTGTCTAGGGCTGTGTTCCGAAATTCACTGCCAGTACTGAAAATCTATAATTTACGTGACGTATATTGTAGATTTTCAGTACTGGCAGTGAATTTCGGAACGCAGTCTAGATGACTATCCAAGCTTGATTTATCTCATCTAGAATGAAACAAATGTTGACCCTGCATCTGCACGTGTTGGAGTGCAAAAGACGGTATTTAATGAAAATACGAAGTTTTGTATAAAAAGAATTGCAGTGATAAGTCGCAGTTGAATGCGACGAATATTGAATCATAGAATTGCAGAATTCTCTACTACGATAAATAAAAAGAACGAATGTAGCTGAAAGAACGTTTATAAAAATCCATCAGTTTGGTCTTAAAACGTGAAACGTAAGTTTGAAGATAATAGATTTACTTGTTTTCATATATATTTTACTATATCTTAGCCTGCATATTGATTTTACTATATTACATTTGTACCAATTATTTATTTATGTAGGTTATAAAAATGGTAAGACATAACAATCAGTTACCAGATAACCTTCCTCAACTGCAGAATCTTATAAAACGTGATCCAGAATCTTACAAAGAAGAGGTAAGTTTTTTTATATATTAGCTATCATGTTAGTATTATAAGAAATATTTTGCAGTTTTAGTTTTATATAAATATATTTCTTTTGAAACATATCGTGATAATTTTAATGTATATATATATATATATATATATACAGATATATAATTAGCTACATATAGTACATACTTTTATAATATAAAAGTTTGATATGTTTCTTTCCAGTTTCTGCAGCAACATCAGCATTACAAATCTACTTTAGAAGTCTTTCGCTTGGAACCCACAAAATATAATAAAAGTCTTGATGAATTGATAACCTTCTTGGCTCAGGTTAGCATACTTAAGTTATAGAAACGATAAAAATACATGCCAATAATTGCCTAAAATTAGATAGCAATTATTGCAAGGACTGTAATAATTTGTTCAAGTTCTCATCTGTTTCTCTCAGACGAGTGTGACACAGTATAAGTGAGAGAAACTAAAAATTAATGACATTTTAATATTATTTTTCAAGTAATTTTAAGCTGTTACAATGGAAAAGTATTTGAAAAAGATAAAGAACAATATTATATGCCGAGAGAGAGTCATAGCACGGCTGTATTCTTTAATCGGTGCAGCAGATGAACCAATGCCACAGAGCATATTTGTGTATGGTCATATGGCTACTGGGAAGTCGTTAGTTATACAAAGTCTACTTAAGTATTTGAATTATAATGTCAGCTATATTAACTGTATGGAGCATTTAGGTAGTAAACATATGTATAATTATATTCTGAATGATCTAACTGCATCTATAAAAGAATCGAGTAGCAGTGCATTGTTAAAACACAACTGCGATAATATCATGGATTTTGTACTTTTGCTTAAAAAGATTTTTCATTGTGACAACCGTCCAATTGTACTAGTGTTCGACAAATGCCATAGGATAAGACATTTCGATGTAACTTTTCTGCCAGCGGTCTTAAGACTCAAGGAATTGTCCGGTATCAATATATGTACAATTTTTATAAGCGAAATCACGTGGGATAAATTTAACACTAAAATAGGTGCATTGATGCCTGTAAAGATTCACTTTTCACAATATACGAAGGACGAAATGGCACAATTATTATTACTGGACAAACCGGCGAAATATGAAGTGGATTTTTATAAGAATTATTTGAATCTCTTTCTTTCTGTGTTTTATCGATTTTGCAGAGATTTAAACGAGCTTCGACACATGGCGAAAGTAAATTTTGCCAAATATGTAGAACCCATAGAAAGTAAGCGAATTGAGCCAGATAATGTCGCAGCACTTTGGCGAAATATCTCTGGTGTTTTGAGATCTAACTTGGAAGTAATTTATCTTAGAGTTTCTACGAACGACTTTTCGCAATCAGATCGTCAAATATCTCGGGAAATTGAGTCGACGACAAAGTTAGCTTTGAGTTTCGAGTTACCGTTTTACACAAAGTATTTGCTAATCGCGGCGTATTTAGCTTCGTACATTCCTGCAAAATATGATAAGCATTTTTTTATGAAGCAGAGTAGTAAGAGAAAGAAAAAAGGACGGTCGATTAAAAAGACCAGAGAATTAGAGTCGCAAAAGAAATCACGAGTTTTCACTATCTCGAGGATGCTTGCGATCTTTTGCGCTATTCTTGGTGAGAAAGTAGACATCAATGCTAATCTGCTCGCTCAAATATCTACTATGTGTCAACTCGGTTTACTGACTGTCACTGGGGAGAATATCGTACAATTGGATGAACCAAAATTTAAGTGCTGCGCGAGTCAAAATTTTGTCACAGTCGTAGCTAAGACAGTTGGTTGTGACATAAAGAATTATTTGAGTGTGAACTGAATATATTTTATATACACGACTCATATCTAATTTAACTTATAATTTTATATATATGCTTTTTTCTAATAGCTGTGTCTAATACTTTCATTATATAAAGGCTTCTTAAGTATTACAAACTCGTATATTTTTATATTTAAAGTAATATTTATCTAATTTGGCTTGTATTAAGTATGCTACAATTTGTAATGCATGAAATAAATTTAATATGAGGAATGTCATTTTGTATTGTATTATATAAACTGAGCTAATTTAATTTCTTTTTCTATTAAAAATTTTGCAAATATACACATCGTATTTATTGAAACATTTCCTCTTTTTTTAAAAATTAAATTAAATTAAACATTAATATATAGTTATCGATTGTGTATGTAATAACTTATATTAATTGCATAACAGTCATTTTAAAATATTGCTCAATAAAATATATTAAATGTATGCTTATCTGGCATTTTGGGTATCATTACAGGTAGCCCATTGTTATCCAGATGATCTGAAAACATATCCTCAAGAAATAGTTGATATATTACAAACTCTTAATGTGATATTAAACAGTGAGATGCGAATGGTAAGCATTATAGATTTTATAAAGCTACATTATACAAGTAAATATGATCGCGCGCAAATTATTATTATAACTTAATTATGAATTATAACTATGTTTTTTGCAGACATTTTGTAAAGCATTGATTCAGCTACGCAACAAATCTCTTTTAGAACCTACTGCACTTCTCAGTTTATTTTTTGAACTTTTAAAATCTCAAGATAAGATTTTAAGACAATTTCTTCAAACGCATATAGTCACGGATGTGAAAAATATCAATGCAAAGCATAAAAATGCTAAGGTTAATACGATGCTACAAAATTTCATGTTTTCCATGCTAAAAAATCCTAATGCCAAAGCGGCAAAGATGTCTTTAGATATCATGATAGAATTGTATAATAAAAACGTCTGGAACGACGTTAAAACTGTTAATGTTATAGCAACAGGTTGCTTTTCTAAAGTGACAAAAATAGCAGTCGCTAGTATGAAATTTTTTTTGGGAACCGATAAAGATGAGAAAGAGAGCGATGACAGTGATTCGGATGATGAGCCGAATGTAAAGGAAGTTATGATGGCTAATAAAGTGAATAAAAAGACAAAGAAACGACAGAAGCAATTAAAGAAAGTCAAACAACTAGTTGTAGTAAGTTCAATTGAAATTTTTTATAATATTAGAGAAATGTACATAATGATTTTTAGTTATATGTGTAACATGTATTTCAGAAAGCAAAGAAGAAGAAGTCGAAGGCGCCACAATATAATTTCTCAGCGTTGCACTTGATTCACGATCCTCAGGATTTTGCGGAAAAATTATTCAAGCAGATAGAGAAAAATAATGATAGATTTGAAGTAAAGCTAATGACTCTAGACGTTGTTTCTAGACTTATTGGTTTGCACAATTTATTTATTTTGAATTTTTATCCGTATATACAAAGATTCCTTCAACCCCATCAACGAGGTGAGATTAATAATGTAATATATTAATTCATTTAAATATTGTCTGATTGCTCTTTAATTGATTACTGTACAGATGTCATAATAATTATTGATTTTTGTTTTACTAACATTTTTCTTTGGTCCGAGCAAAAATATGTATACAATTTTCGTGTAATTTTTTATTTAGGTTTTGTACATGGTTTGTCTTTATTTTTTCCAGAGGTCACCAAACTTTTACAGTTCGTAGCGCAGGCTTCACATGAATTAGTACCACCCGATGAAATAGAATCTGTTCTGAAGACTTTGGTAAATAATTTTGTAACGGAAAGAAATTCTGCGGACGTGATGGCTATAGGGTAAAAATGTTTTCTTTAATAATTATTTCTTACAAATATGTATTGTCTCTGTCCTTATTTACATATAATATATATTTGTCTAGTTTAAATGCTGTGCGTGAAATATGTACACGATGTCCATTGGCGATGAATGCAGATCTGCTCGAAGATTTAGCACGGTATAAGCAATATAAAGAACGTTCCGTTATGATGGCGGCGCAGTCTTTAATTGGAACATTCAGACGTATAATGCCTGATTTATTGCGCAAAAAAGACAGAGGCCGTCTTACCGAAGCCGCTGTTATGATACAGTCTTCCAAATATGGTGAAATTAAGGCGACCGAATTCATACCAGGCGCAGAAGTTCTATATGATCAAGATGCTGAGAGTACTGAAGAAGCTAATAACAATGATGAAGAAGTAAGTGAAAGTATTAAATTATTTTATTATTGTAATTGCTATTACTTTACTACATAAACATCTGTTGTTATATTGTTGAATATAGGACGATGAGGAATGGGTTGACGTAAATTCTAACAGTGAAGAGGAAATCAGTGATGACGAATCGGTGTCTGATGCAGATAAAAGGACAAAATCTACTAATGAAGGCGATGAAGATGACGAAGGTGACGAAGATAACGATGATGACGATGATGAAGAAGATGAAGAAGATGATGAAGACGAAGATAGTGAAGATAGTGAAAATAATGAAAATGATAAAGAATTGACATCTAATGAAAACGAAAATATAGAGAATACTGGTGAAACAAATAACGGAGAGCGAGAAACGGATAAAGTTTCGCGAAAGAAAAATGTTTTAACGAAGCAACAAAAGAAGGCAGAAAAATTAGAGAGAAAAGCAAAACAAAAAGCAGAAAAGAAGAAAGAATTAATAACTGAGAGGAAAACAAAAGCATCTGTGATATCCACAGAACGATTGCTTACGGATAAAGATTTCAGAAAAATTGATGTCGCGTTAGCGAAGCAGGAAATAACGCACGCTAAACGTAGCGTTAAAAGGACGCATGATAAAATTGAGAAAGATCAGGGTGGAGAACTGGTGAAACTTAGCGATATAGAAAATATATATAAAAAACGCAAGCATGATAAGACTGCTCGACAGGAATCCGTCAAGGTATGTATAAATGCAATATACATCTTAATGCAATGTATAAAATAGAATAGCTCATAGATTCTGTTAAATTTGTAGAAGGGACAAGAAGGAAGAGATAAATTTGGCTTTAAAGATCGGCGAAAAAATCCACTGTGCAGTAAAACGAATCGTGAGAAGAAGAAAGGGAAGGCATTTCAAATGGTGAAGCAGAAATTCAAAGCAAAAGTAAAACGATCTTTTAGAGAAAAACAAATAGCTTTGAAAAATCATTTAATTAAACAAAAAAGAATGAAATAATATTGTATAATATATTGTAATGTATTGTATAATAATATTGTAATGTATAATGTGTTTGTTTTTATATTATTAACTAATTTCAGAAGATATTTTTAAATATATCTTAAAATTGAAAACGAATGTCAATAGGTATTAATATTTCCCTTACATTTTAATCTCCAGTATTTTACAGTTATGTTACAACTTTATTGAAGATAAATAAAACTAAGTAAAATGTATAAGATAAGAAAGAATATAGATTAGTAGAGAAATATATTGATAATAATAAAACATGAAATTAAATTATTTATATTTTTTAAAAGAATTTTAAATTAATTTTAATAATATATAAAAATGTTATAGAACTGCAATTTGTTATTAATTTTTATTCAGTTTTCTTAACTTTCCTGCTAAAAAGAAAAAGAGGACAAAAAAAAAGAGAAAATCAATCAGTACTCTATGTATTTTAATTCGTAACAATACTAAACTTAATCTAACCGATTATAAGTTAAAACTTTGCAAATAAAATATTAAATTCTAATTGTAAATTGCTTCGTATTCAAAATTGGGAAGACGGAAGTACACTTGTTTTTTTGTCCAGTTCGTTGCCAATAGAGTTTGGGAACAACACTGTGTAACCAATGGCAAACGATGTCTTACTTGACCATAAAAGGAAGTAAGAAATGAAGCTAGGCGCTGTCATAATCATTATTCGCACGCGGCTCCTCTTGGTTTGTCGATCTCGTTATTGTTAGAGCAACGTGATTCTGAATATTGACGAATTTTACTGCACTGGAATAATAACAATTTTCTCAAAATGTCGACGATGGCGAGTCCTTTAGCCGTTGGAGGCATACGACAGTCGGGAGCACCGGTGCGAACACAAAATGGTAAGATTACTGCCAAGCATATAAAGTTTGGTTATATTGTATCCCGAAAGTTCGATGTAAATTCTTTATACGATTATTTTCGTCTTTACACGACACGTACAATTGCTAATTGACGCTAAGAAACCTATCAGTTTACGCAAAATTAAAATCGCAAATATTAGGAGCAATATACTAATCACTTAAATATTAAAATCGATATTAGAGTTATGGTATTATGTGCAACATAGTATCATGGTTTTTGATAATATCAAGAAATAGATGACTCTCATGCAGAATAAATATTTAATTGTTATATATTTCTTGAGTCTATCAAATATTGGACACATTTACTATGCTTAAAATTATCTGTAAAAACATGGTTAACTGATTCAAAAATATTTTTTTTAACATTAAAAATGACTTAATTTATACAAAATAAATTATAGGAATAATTAACAAACACTTTTAAATTAATAAATACATACTTTATTAATTAATAGTTAATTTTTATCTAAAGGATTAAGAGATGATATCTTGTTAATATGTAATTATAATGTTGATTGTATATAACAATGTTTATGCATAAATATATGTGATAATATATTATTGATGTTCCTTTTAGTCATGGCTGCCTGTGCTATCGCTAATGTAGTTAAAAGTTCTTTGGGTCCGGTTGGTTTGGATAAGATGCTGGTTGATGATATTGGTGTATGTATTTAATTGGTTTTTAATATTTTTATAGAATATCAAATAAATGTAAAGATTTGGGACACAACATTAAGTTAATTATAATTTTCTCAGGATGTCACTGTCACCAATGATGGTGCAACCATCTTGCGTTTGTTAGAGGTTGAACACCCAGCTGCGCGGGTTTTAGTTGAGTTAGCTCAGTTACAAGATGAAGAGGTTGGAGATGGTACTACTTCAGTTGTAAGTGATTTATATTTGTGTATTTAATAAAATCCAAAATAAAAATTAAGATAAAACAATGAAATAATATTTGATAATTTTATATTAGGTAATAATAGCAGCTGAGCTTCTGAAAAATGCAGACGAACTTGTGAAGCAAAAAATTCATCCAACATCTGTGATTAGTGGCTACAGGCTTGCCTGCAAGTAAATATTCAATAATCGATTTTATTAATCAGATCTATTTTACTTTTTACTCCATTAACTAATTTGTTATTTAAATAATATTAATTATCTAAATTATTAAACAAAAATGCATAACATATTAATTAAGTTTGAAAGAAAGAAGTAGAAATCGTATAAAATTTACATAAAATAAATTTCAGAGAAGCATGCAAATACATTCAGGAACACTTAACGGTTAGTGTGGATGAACTTGGAAGGGATTGTTTAGTCAACGTCGCAAAAACATCTATGTCAAGCAAAATAATTGGAGCGTATCCTTTTAATTATTCAAGAATGCCCTTTTTTGTTAATAATTCATGAAAATATTTTCTATAATTAATAATTAGTGATGCCAATTTCTTCGGCAACATGGTAGTTGACGCTGCTAATGCGGTAAAGATTAACGATGGCAAAGGAGGCTTTTTATACCCCATTAAGGCAGTGAATGTTTTGAAGGCTCATGGAAAGAGCGTTCGAGAGTCAGTTTTGGTTCAAGGATATGCCCTAAATTGCACTGTTGCTTCCCAGGCGATGCCGAAGAGAATAGCAAATGCAAAGATCGCCTGTTTAGACTTCTCGTTGCAAAAGGCAAAGATGAAGTTGGGTGTTGAAGTACTTATTACAGATCCCGAAAAACTCGAAGCAGTTCGCCAACGCGAAGCAGATATTACTAAGGAACGCATTCAGAAAATTCTCGCTGCTGGAACTAATGTCGTTCTTTTATCTGGCGGCATTGACGATTTATGCTTAAAGGTATAATCGCGCGTGCAAAATAATACTGTTTAGAAGTAAACGCAATACTTAGCTCGATCTTTTTGCAGTATTTTGTGGAAAATAAAACGATGGCAGTGCGTAGATGCAAGAAAGTTGATCTGAAAAGAATTGCGAAAGCTACAGGCGCCCATTTCTTAACTTCACTTACCAATATGGAAGGAGAGGAGAGTTTCGATGCCAGTTTCTTAGGAGAGGCCGCTGAAGTAGTGCAAGAGATGATATGTGACGACGAACTTATTCTCATCAAAGGGTACATTTTACTCTATTTTATTCGTGATAAAAATATTTTTTAATACTATGTAAAAAATAATAGAAAAAAAATATGATTGTTAATTTTCTTTTTTTTTTGTCTTTTTAAGGCCGAAGGCACGTACAGCAAGTTCTATTATTTTACGTGGACCAAATGATTATTATTGTGACGAAATGGAACGTTCCATACATGATGCGTTATGCGTTGTCAAAAGAGTTTTGGAAAGCAAAAGTGTCGTCGCAGGAGGAGGTTGCGTGGAGGCTGCACTCTCCATTTACTTGGAAAACTTTGCGACATCACTGGTATTATATTTTTTCCATTAGCTTTTCTTCTTGTATTAAGATAAATATTTACACGTTTTTAAATTGCAGAGTTCTCGGGAACAATTGGCTATAGCAGAATTCGCACGATCTTTACTAATTATACCGAAAACGTTAGCTGTGAACGCTGCACAAGATGCAACTGATCTCGTTGCTAAGCTCCGAGCCTATCATAATTCCAGTATAACAAAACCAGATCTTGTCGATCTGAAATGGTAAATACTTTATGATTTTAACTTATGATTGATTTATCGTGTAAAATAAAACTAAGATGTATTATTTGTATGCTTTGCAGGGTGGGTCTCGATTTACTCGTAGGAAATATAAGAGATAACAAAAAAGCTGGCGTGTTGGAACCAGCCATTTCGAAAATTAAATCTTTGAAGTTTGCCACCGAAGCAGCTATAACTATTCTTCGAATTGATGATATGATCAAACTGGATCCCGAACGTCCGAAAAATAAATCCTATCAAGACGCCATGGAAGCGGGCGAATTGGAGGAATAATATTAAAGTGCATTTATCTTACATTAGAAATAGTAAATTATAAATATTTGTAGCAATAATTATAGTATTGCAACCTGCATTCCCTTATTTTTACATCCGCGTTATCTATTATATTAGATACGATACGTTAAAAACGTAGAAAAAAGTAGATGTAAAAGATTTATAGACCTTTTATATTTTTCTTGTATGAACGTATGATATTTAATAAATTACGGGTATAATACGAGATGAAAAAAGAATGCAGATTATAATTTAAATATTGTTACAAATATTGTAACTTACTATTCGCACATTACATGTATTACACATTTTAATTCTGTGTGTTATTAAAATGCTACCACTTAAAAATTTAAAATAAATCATTTTCATAAAATAATGCCGTACTCATTTAATTGTATTAACACAAATCGTAAAAGAATATTAAATAGAAATCAAGGAAATTTTAATGTTGTAATTATTAAATTCCTGCCGAAAGAACACTAGGATATTATTAAAATTACGTTCCTTTGGTTTGTATGAATAAACTTTTATGTTAAAAGAAATTTTGCAGTTAGTATAATAACTATGATATTTACAATACATCGATAATATATTGTATATTTGATATTATCTAAACTACTTGGGGTGCCATCCAAAACGCATGTCTGTATAATTACTTAACAATAAAATAATTAAATATTTTTAATCACACGTATTACACACAAATATTATAATCTTCGTAAAAAAATCTAATACATATAAGTAATCGTTATTACTCATAAAATTGTGTATTTTATATGTTACCGGCAAACCTCGGCAATCTTTAGGATTGCTGATCCTGGCTTTGACGGTAACATACATAAATCCTACATACAGTAGTAAAATGAAAATTGCTGTAGAATATCAAAATAAGCTTAAATGACGTTTTTCTAGCACTGCGCATATAAAATGTACACATATAGAATTATAAAGAAATGTTTTAGTATCTAAATTATAAATGTATTATAAATTATGAATGTAGCATAACAGTTTATTAATGGAAAATAATGGAATAACAGTTTTAAGTATTATACAATATGTATGTTCATGAGATTAAATATCGTTTATAAACACAATATAAACATATTACAAACATATGTTTATAACATATAAATAATATTTATTTTGTGAATAGATAATTCGTTAAATAGATATTATTTACAATATGTTTATTACATCATGGCAGTTAACTGATTCTTTTTAATTTAATGACACTACTAATTGTATGTTACTTTTTACGATTACATTTTAACGAATTGATTTATTTCAATATAGTAAATGTTTATTTACAATATAAACTTACAATTGTATTGTAAATGTTCAATGACAAACTATTAATGTGGTAAAATATATTGTACATTTTTTGTAACCTCCTTGTAAATCTGTAAGACAGATGTACAAGTGCACTAAATCATTAAATAATCTTTTTTTTCTGACATTATAGTACACACTACTTGCTTTCCGAAAATAGTTAGCACTATAATTAAGTTGATTTACTTATTTGATAATTTTCATTTCTTATTCAATTCATCTGTGAAGAAAAAAATATATTGTAATGAAGAAACTTTTGCAAAATTAATTTTGATAATGATCGTCTTGTAATATGCATGATACATGTTTGACGATTTTTGCTCATAAACAATAGAAATTTTGCAAGATACGATTCCAACGTAACAGATTAATATAATATCAAAAAAAACGTAAGGTATTGTAAAAAAATTTCACAACCTTCTCAGTGTTCTTTAATATTAATATCAACAACACTGGTCAACACGAATTTTGTTACAAGAAAACTAATCGGTGTCTTTAATGTATATTTTTACACTAAGTTCAAATATGCAATTAGATTTGTTCTATCACCCACAGTTTTTCTGTGACAGCTATTTCTGATATTACAATTTCAGTGTTCTTAGTGTTTTTTTCATAATACTAAGTAATGATCTTTATTTATTGTGAATAATACATTAAGATATATTGCGTAACCCGTTATGGAATAATTCGAAAACAATTATATAAATTACGATGACTCTCTTTTATTATACAAGAAATTATTGTTAGTTAAAATAAGCTACTAGAGCCTGAGCTGGTTTAACGTGCTCTATTATTTCAATTCTTTATTACTGTACATACATTTCGGCCCTTAGGATTTGGCCATCCCCAGTGTACAATTTAATCTAAACGCATTATTAATTCTAAATGCAAATTGATACGTAATGCATTCCGGTTTTTTTTTAATATTTAGGTGTTACTTCTATATTTAGGTTTACTTAATCGTAAATCCATGTTTTTTGAAATTGTTTAAAATGAACGAGATCTATAGAACGTCAGCCCTCAACGCAATTAATGTCACAATCTGATTTCTTATGTTAGATTGAGTAAAATTCTTGTTTTTAATTGAAAACTGTATCAATTAAAAACACGAATTGATCCAAAGCTAAATCCTATTCGGCCTTAAGGGCCGAAAAGTATGTACAGTATTAAAGAATTAAAAATAATAAAGGCCGTTATGGAATCCTAATGACTGATTATTATTGGATAAAGAAGGGACATGTTCTATATGATTTAAATATGCCAGAAAATCATCGATTACTTTTACTTTTTAAATAAAGCAACATACAGTTGGTATTATTATTTAAGTGCTTCAATTTTATCAAACTAAAACCATGTGTTACTTTATATAACTATGCCTGATAAAGAAAATCTAAAAACATATTTAATTTCACCATAAAAGGCATCTTAAATTCATCCATTTAAGTTCTTATAACAAAAAAAATTTATTTTTATTGATGAGTGTAATTAATTTTTTGTGTTTAAATAACATTGGTCAACAAAAATCGTGTTGATCAGTATAGTTTGTATACAAATATATACTTTGTCAATTCTCGAAACTGATTAAACTGTCAATACATAAAATTATTATTCACAAATAGTCAAATTAGCTCTTCCATTAATAACTGTTTTTATTACAAACAAATGTATATATAAGTACTATAAGTAAATTTTCGGATCATTTCTTGAGTCTTATAAATTAATAATCTAGAAATATTTAACTGCAATATCCTATTATTAAATAGTTTCCAGTCAAAATCGATAATTATATCAAAATTTAGTAAACTACGTGAATAGTGTACCTGTAGTTTTGGACCTTCTTGTAATAGATTTATGAAGTTATACAGACTAATGATTTTAGTACATGCATTGTAAAATAATTTTTAACTATGCACTAATTTTATTTACAAACCCTGTTCGGATTGATGAATGATGCAGATATGATTGATTTCTGGAGAAACAAAAAATTTAGCAAAATTAATAAATTTTTACAAATAAAAAAATAATCCATGCAACATATAGAATGTGATTATATATAGCGATTCAATATATAGTAATGCATCTTTCCAAAACAGGGAATTTATAAAATAATGAGATATTTCCTCACTTAGATTATTTTGTGTTCAAATTCCTTTTAATGTATTAATTTAGAATTTACTCATAAAAAATGTCAATATTTTGATATTTTTTGCGTTGTCAATATCGTATAAACAGTTGAAAACATTTTTTCTTCTTCGCTGACACTTATACATACTAAGGAGCAAATACCTTTATAATGCAGGGTTTTCGAATTTTGGTCCTTTTGTGACTGTAATCTCAGCGTACGAATATTCTTGGTTGAGTTCTAATACTTGGAATTTTTTCAAAACTAACAGTGTATAAAACTTTTGCGCAACCTACAAAAATAGAAGTATTTTTTTTAGCAATATAAAAATTTCATATAAACAAACATATTGAACACCGTACCAACCTGCTTGCGATTATTTTTGAATGCCATCTCTGATAGTGTTAATTTATCTTTGGTATCTAATTTGCTCTTAATAACGTGATACATATGCGCTGCTCTTTTGTTGAGAACGCGCTCTTCAAACTGTTCATAAGTTTCATCCACTTGTTGTTCCTCTTGCTGAAAAATGCAACACATCATAAGTGAGTAATTAACAACTTTTCTTATATTTTTCTTCAAAATTCATGCGCGTGTATGTGTGAAGAAGAAATTCAATAAATAATATAAAGTAAATTACAGGTCCAACTGATGGTGGAAATTCGTAATCCTCATGATTCCATGGTGTAGCGGGACCTCTTTCGGAAATTGCACCAGGCGTATGGGCTGGTGGATGATGTTCATCATAACCCATGTACGAAACTTGCGGTTGCGCCTTTTCAAATAAGAGTTTTTATATTTAATAAATGTTGTGGGAAAAAAAATAATTATGCATATGGCATTTGAAAATATGATGCGGTACAATGCAAACACAATCGAAAGGAAAACGTATCCAACGCTTTTTTAGTTGTATATCTTTCACATATTAATTATACGACAAGTATTCGAACTCACTTGGTCATAACCCATGTTTTCCATCTGCGGTAAATCAGATGTTTGCATAGCGGCAGCGTCTTCTTGTGCCACCGATGGTACTTGTGACTCGTCATGTGCGCCGAGTATCGAGTTGACTTCAGCTGGTGCAATTTGCGGTATTTCCGAACCAAGTAACGGTGTTTCGATAGTTGGCGGTACTTCTGATAATTCCGCAGAAGGCACAATGCTACTTACATCGGAAACCGATGCTTCTGTCGATAAGGGTACTTCGGCTGGTACAGATTCCGAAGAAAGACCATGCCGCGCAATTATGCTCGGAATTTCTACCGCGTCAACGTTCATTGACGGTTGACTGACGTCTGCCGGAGTTGGTTGAGGTGGCTGAGCAGGTTGCTTTATCTAAACATATTAACGATATTTGTATAGATATTACTTATATTAAAAGACTGTATAAAATTTTTTATTGTATTCTGCTAGGTTTTTAAAGGGAACGTTTTCCCTTGTTTCTTCAGATATTTATACGACTAACCTCATCATCCTGCTGCGTCTTTCGTTTTCGCCCCGTACGTTTATTGAGAATACTTTGATCAAAGGATGTTTCTACTTCTGGAGCATCTCTCATTTGTTCCAGAGACATAGCATCTTCCTCAGCTCCGAGTCGCCCAAAGTCTTCATGATCGTAAGACTTGCTTGTCAGATGTCTCTGATAATTCTGTTTTGGTAACATTAAAATAATACGTTATATATTTTTTATGAACAGTTACGATAATTTTGTAACTCGAAATAATGTATGATATAAAATTATATTACTTTAAACAAAACACGAGCTGGAATAGGCCTTCCTGGCAGAGCAAAGAGCTTCTCTACGCCACCTGTTTCCTTCCAGTGCATTAATCTTTTCGTAGGTGGTGCCAAGTCCAACGTTGTAATAATATCACTAGTATCAGACAATTGTGCCTTCATTTCTTCACCGGAAATATTTTTCACTTCGTCAACAATGAGCTTACGCTTGCGTTTAGCTTTTGTGAAACCTAGAAAACAGAAACAGATGTTTTTAATAATAAGAAATAAGCATGCATTGATATTAAAGTATAAAATAAGACTTACCCTTCAAAGCGGATGCATCAATTGGAGCCAGTGCGAAGCTTTCTTCTTCATCATGCAATAATGTGGTTTGATCTTGTAAAGGTGGTGGTTCTTCTACGTTATCAATAGCATGTTCTTCTGGTATAACTGGTGGAGCAGGTGTAAAGCGTCGACTAGCAACGCTTATTCTTCCTTCGATTTCTTCTCCAACTGCAGCTGGTGTAGCTGGTCTAGAGCCATCAGAGCTATGCATAACATTCAGTAAATTAATGCGATATCCAAATTTCACACAATTATAAATTCTAATCGATATTGGCTCTGTAATATCAAATCGTTTGAAAAAATAACAATAGTCCAATATGATAAGAAAGATGTACATTAACAATTCTTGTTCGTTTACAAATTTGTTACTCAAAATCAATGTAATTCAAATATTCTTTCTTCAATCAATAGTTACACATTCTATCTAGCTAGACTCTTATTTGTCTATTATTTTTGCAAGCAATTTCAATTTTAGTTTGAATCAATCTAAATATAATAATGTAAAAAAAAAAAAAAATGATAAAAACCTCATGCCTCCCATTGGAGACGCCGGGCCACCAAAATGATCGCCCATGTCTTCGTCCGATTCATCATGCACAGAAGCAGCCGCTCCAGAAGCTACTCCCGATTCCTGTTGCTCGGCTATTGAACTAACCTCAGGTACAGGTACTTCACCCATCGGAGCTTCATCAAACAAACCACCTTCAAAGAGACCTCCCGCTAAAAATGTCACAATTATTATAAATGTGAATTTTAATTACAAGAATAATTGTAATTGTTTTTATCATACATATGATATCTTGGCCAAGATGACCACCAAAACCATCATCTCTGATGGGTGTATCAATGTCCATAGGTTGCGTTGTAGTAGATGTCCCAGCAACCGGCTCTTTTTCTTTCTGTTCTAATGCAGTTTCTATTCCTGGACCATCACTAAATAACATGTGGCTCTAAAATTAAAATAATGTAATAATAGTTTCTCATAATGGTTTAAAAAAATACAATTAATTTTTATTACATTTGTTCTTTACTTATCTCATAAAATTAAAACCAACTTTTAAAAATATTAATAGTAATAGAGGAATTTGCTCATATATTAATTAAAAATATTAAATAAAGGAGTAAAACTGAAAAGAATGAAAGAATACATACTTGGTCTAATGAAGGTTCTATACCACTGCCATGTCGTAATAATTCTGGTGGTTCCGCATCAAAACTCATATCACCGAAACCTTGATCATGTGTAACTAAAGACAGACTGCCATAATCTTCTCTCATTGTGATTTCTTCCGCTCTAGATTGATTCAAACTAAATTGAGCTTCAATATCGACATCCCTGAAAAGAAAAATTTGAAGTATAATTTATACATTGTTTTTGAATACCATCTTCTGGATTTTGTATAAAAGTTTAATAGCACTATCTTACTTAAGTTCAGGCATAGCAGTATCAAAATCGTGGAATACTTCAGGTAAAGTAATAGCTGTTACAGCTGCTTCTCTATGTTCCTCAGGCAGATCTACCATTCCAGGCCTAAAGGCCATTTTAATTTTTACAAAAGCCTCATTACAATCAGCCAATAAATATTTGGCTTTTCTTGAATAGATTCGTACTACACCCAGCAATAAATGACCAGATGTTCTCAACGCCATTTTAACCTGTTAAAAATTTTTGAAGAGAATTTGATAATATGTTAAAAAAGGTTCCTTATATCTCAAAATTAGATAAGTTAATATTTACCTTTGGTTGTAAAATGCCATCCACTGATTTTTCTATGTTGGTTTCAAACACATGTGCTTTTGTTAATTTCTTGTCCCAATGAGCAGCCAGCCATATACGGGCCAAAGGCCCCTTTTTGGCCAACACAAAATGTGCGTAAAACATGATTCTTGTCTTTTTCTAATGTTAATCTATAAACAGATTATATTAAATCAATGAGTTAACTGCATCAGATATGTAATTTAAATATCAAAGAAAAAGGTGATTATATAGGATCAGAGACATGTTTAACGTTTTTCTGGCTGAACGTAACAACAAAACATCAGTGAAATATTTCTCTTTAATCATATAATCTTGTGTAATATGAAATAATAAGATAACTCAAAGAATTTAGTATTAATCTCGCAACATTGTGTATCAATTTGCATACAACTTGACACATAAAATGCACATTAAAAGTTAACAATGCATATTGGCCAATATGTGAAAATATCAACATCAACGCACAAGATGGCGTTTCCGTCTACAAGTTTTGGCGGTTACAAGTAATATTAAATATCTGATACCACTTCTCTTATGATGCGTACAACGAATTGCCGAAATATCGTCCCGTCGTTAGGCCATGTAAAATCGCGACATATTTCGCACAGAACAACTACAACCGTGACGGTTTATCAAATCATCGGCGCATACGGCACGTCACACTCGCCTCGACGCGTACCCGAAACTCACACAATCACCACGATTGCGCGCGATTACTCATACCAACATATAAAACCGATTTACCGTTAAATGATCGTTCCAAAACTCATCTTTTTCAGCTGTATATCGGTAATAACGGCATATCCACATTGCGTTCTTTATTTTTATCCAGAAATAATTATAAGTAAGGATCATTCTACAATAAATCGCAAATGTCCCGTCTTGCCAGAAATAAATAGAAATAGTACTTTTGAGTCAGTAGTTGTCATCCTTGGCGACTGGCGACCACTATTGGCGACGAAGCATTTGCGACGCGTTATGGAATGGCCTTAAGGCGTATAAAATTAATTTTACAATTTAATACAATTAATAATTTATTATGATTGTTTTTCAGCAAGGGACACAAGTTGACACAAAAGTATTATTCTCTTTGTTGCTCATTGAACATCAATCAAAAACAAAATGATACTTGCGTTGACTTGTGTCGTGTCATTAGCTGGAAAACAATTATCATTGGTTAATTTTTCTATACATATGCATAATATAGATGCAAGTTTGTTTGAATATACCTTAAGTTTTCTATGTAAATGGATTTTGTAATTATAAACTACATGATACATAACGTTTCTTTCCTTCTAGACAACAGAATCGCTATCTCTTTTCAACTAAGAGGGGTACATGTAAGGTGAGTAGGAACATGGCTACTATCCATATACATGTTGTACCCCTACTAGCTTCTTCTATTGTTACCACTCTTCTTATATGTGAGAAAGAAAACAATACCTATCAAAACTTTCCTTCTCATTCTAAATTCTTGACACTCTTCGAATGACATGAGTCAATCTAGTACTTATACGTCTATGGAGTTACATGTGTCAGGATTTGAGCTGCAAGCGCTGCAAGACATCTCCTGACGTCTCCGGATATATAAGCTCTATGGTTATATAATTCACTGTATTAACCTATTTTCTTTCTCAATACGTTTCCTAAACGCCATATCAAATTTCAATATATTTATATTGGTATGTACATACATAATATCCTTCAACGTAAAAGTTTAAATTGTTGATTAATTTAAACATTTAAATTAATTTCCTCATTTTATAATTTTACACTTAAAAACAAAAAAATAATAGAAACAAGAATGGGGAGAATAAGAGTATAAGAGACAATATGCCAGATTGAAACAGCAAAAGATTTTAGAATATAAGAGAAATTGGGCGCAAAGTTTAAAACTTAATCAGCAAGAATGTTATAAATCACATGATAGTAAATCACATTTCCATTCTCATTATAGAGAGATTCAAAGATTTTTCAAATCTGACTTTGTTTCTCAAAAGTGATTTTTATGTGTATGATTATATGTGAACACATTTCTTTTTGCTAGAATATTATAATATACTGTATAGATATAAGAACTTTTATTTATATTTTTTTATTAACATTAATTAAGAAATGATATTACAACAGTGAATTTTGCTTTGCATCTTCGCACTCATGGATTCAACGCAAGCAATAAATTTTCGGCGTGATGAGGAACCAATATCAGCATATAATGAAGATTTCAACCACGATTTAATTTCTCTAAAAACAGAAGAAAAAAAGCTGAGACGCAGACAAGAATGGTTGCGACGCAGACAAGAATGGCTGCGACAGCAAGAACGTGAGAGACAACATGAAAAATTAAAGCAGCAAAAAATTTTAGAGTATGAGAGAAAACGTGCGCAATCTTTAAAACATGCGCAAGCTTTAAAGCTTGCTGAGCAAAAATCTTCATATTATAGTCGAAGTAGAAGTGACAGTAAGTCTCCCTCACTTCACCAGCATAGAGGAAGATCTGCATCAAATGAGTCTAAATCAGGCACTTTGTATGAAAAGTAAGTCTTGGACATATATTTGGTTATATATGATCATATCTTTTCGGATTGAAATATGTTTATTGGTATTTTATGGAAATAGGATGATCAGAACTTAAAAATGTGTAAGAAGAATACTTCAATTAAGAGACAGAAAAAAAAGTTGGTAAATGACACAATGTTATGTTACGTAAAGTAAGCACACAATTTGTTAGTTGAGAAAAAATAACTTGCAATAAAAGAGTAATTTCTTTTGATACTACTGTAAATGTTTAAATTTAAATGTTTAATTTTGGAGAATTATTTTACAATATAAATTATAAGTGAAAAAGAACAGTGGAAAAGGTAAAAACAGTGTGTAAAAGAACATTTTTTTAAAAAGGACGAAAATAATATACTATTTAAAAAAATGATTATTTGAGTAAAGAAAGCATTACTTACTACACAAATTATTTGTACAGATTATTATTTTACAAAAATGTACAAAAATAATATATTATTTTAGGAAAAAAAAAACAATAGTTACCTGAATAAAGAAAATATAATAATTACTTATTTAATTTAACATATTATGATTGAATTCGCTTTAGATTAGATGAGTCTTCAAGTGTGGCGGTACCCTTGTGCAAAGGTCTTCAGGGCATACAGATTAGTACTACAGAGCTACGTCAAATTAAGGTTGATATAATTCGCAAAAATATTTCTGCGAAAGAATCCATTTCCGAACTAGATCGAGATATAGTTAATCCTGAAGATGTGGTCATCAAAAGAAGAATGGGTAAATATTTTATTTTTCTAAATACTTTTTATAAAAATATATTTATTACACAAAATTAATAACTTAAAAAAAAAAAAAAAATTGCTTAAACAATAAGTAATGTAATAATATAATATATTCATACAGGATCCCATTTATAATCTATACAGATATTGTACAAATAGTAGAATCAACAAATGGGAAGATATCTTGGAATCTTCACATGTGGAAGATTGTTAATTTTTATTTCTTTTATAATTCTTTATTATAAAAGAATTATTATTCTTTATTATGTTTATATTATTTTCTTTATTCTTTTATTATTCTTTATTATGATGCAGATTTTTTAAAAATTATATATAGAGTACGATATTTTTCCTTTGACTTTTTTATAGAATTTTTATCAGTCTTAAATATATTATTTTACGAAAAATTATATTTTTTTTTTGGGTAATGCAAATTCAAATTGTGTTAAAATATTTTATAAACTCTATAGAAGAAGAATAAACAAATATTCAACAGAGAAGAAATTAAAAAGGTAATAATTAAAATCAATGAAGTCGAAGAGCGATTACAGTTATAGCTATAGATAAGGAGCAACTAGGTATACATTATGCAAACAATTGATATTATTTTTTTGATTTGTCATTTGAAAAAAAGTAATATAAATGTGAGAAAAATTCATATTAGAGTACATAAATTTTAATAATTTAAAAAAAAAATTTAATCTTTTTTAGCTTTAAATTTTCTATATTTGTTTTAAATAAAAATATAAATTGATAAAGATAATTTCTTATGAAATGAGAAATATAAACAATTTTATTATGATCTTTTCTGCCCTTCATATTCTGTCTTTTCAGAAATATATTGTATAAAAATTATTGAAACATTTCACAGACACACTCAGCATTTAAATACTAAGCTTATTTTATGAATATATTTTTATCAATTACAAATACATAGACATTTCTTATACTATTTTAGACGTTACAATAATAACGATTGATAGTAATAATTTAAAAGTGAAGATACATCGTGGAATAGTCGAGAGAATTAGAAATCATTATTAGCAAAATTATTTTTTGTTTGCATATAAAAATTGTATTGTTAAAAGATATAATAAATCATATAGGGGAAGGATGTAAACCGATATTCGACAGAAAAGAAATTAAAACAGCGATGGTCAAAATCAATGAAGTGAAGGAGCAACATTCGCTTGCAGTCGTAGATGGGGACCAACCAGGTATGCATTATGCAAACAATTGTTATTTATTAATGTTAGGTTTGATTGTAATTGAAAAATTTACGATTTTTTTAATTTTTCTTAAAGTTTCTCAAACCCTTTAAATAAGAAAAAATATACAAAAACTACCCTTATACTTATATAAATATAAATATTATTCAAGTTATAAATACATTTTGTATGAATATGGATATATTTTCTATGAATGTATAAGGATGTAAAATATGAAAAAAATTTTACTTACAAATTTTATCTATGATTAATCTAATTCTTGTAAGTAAACTATATATTGTTACATGATATAAAGAAATGAATTAATATCCTAGTTTTCGAACTTTGATATTCTTGTATATTGTTGTATATTGTTTTAAATATATTGTTTTAAATATTCTATAGCAATGTTATAGAAAATATATATTTTAATACTAATCCTTCAGGTTCCTCGAGCAAATTACGAACTTCCAGGAAACGTTTTTCATCCTTGAATACTATCAGAAATCGTGATTATAGTCCTGGGTATTTCCTATTTTCTATCAATCAAAGTTGTATAAATTGACAATAATACAATGCTAAATGTATATTCTTTAATGTTTTTTTATTTTTGTTTTAGATATCGTATAGATTCAAAGCGTTAAGATAGTAGGACGATCACCGTAAAAATGACGGGTAAACCAATGTAACATTAATTTTTCATTGATATCAGAATCAAATTTTATCTATTGTTTTTAATAATCGAGAAAAGAATATTATATAGTTAATGATAAGTATAGACATTGCTTAGAAATATGAGTGTTTAGAGTAAATAAACTTTTAAGATGTGAACAACTGCGCGTATGCATATATGAATTTTTTTTATCTGAAATTAAATATAATATTCTCAGCTATTAACTACTAGTTGATTGAAATTTATCTGCTATAATACTTTTAGATTTTTGAAAATTTTATGTTTTTACTGTATTTCAGGAGGAACAGTGTGGAGAAAAGTGTCAGAACAAACGTAGAGAACACACAGAAAAAGATATACAGAGAGAGACGCAAATAAATACCCCACACAACGTTATGTCGTCTTATATTCGTCTGAAAGACATCTTAAAATCACTCAGACATCTTACGAAACTGTCAAAGAGATGTATTTAAAACGTCTATAAGACGTCTTATGCAACAAGTTTCGACAATTTAAAAACATTTGAGATGTCTCTTGATTTGTCTTATAAGACGTTTGTAAAACTTATTTTAAGATGTCTTTAAGACAAACGTTTTAGTAATATGACGATTTTATACTCAAGTAGCAAATGATCGTCATTTGATGCTTTTTATCATTATAATTAGTTATATAATATAATAACCAATTATGACGATAAAAAAACATTAGATGATCATTTGCTACTTGAGTAATTATTTTAGAATAGAATATTTTTAAATTTGTTATTAATATTTTATTATTAATATTTTTTTACATAACACTTTTAAACATATGTTTGTATAAAAAGTATTATGTGAAAGTATTATATAATACTTTCACATAATACTTTTTATACAAACACTATATTAAGATATATATGTTAAAATATAAAATCTAAATATACATATGTACATTTGTAACATTTATAAAAATATATTTAACATTTATAAAAATATATTTAACATTTATAAAAATATATTTAACATTTATAAAAATATATTTAACATTTATAAAAATATATATTTGTAATACTACTTATTTATCACTTTTTTCACTAAATAAATGATCTGTATGCCGCAACCATTCTTGGTTAACTTTCTGCACCTGATGAAGACTGCAATTTTCTAACGTAGAAATCTGAAATAATTACAAAGTTATATTTAAATAACAATTTTTTAATATTTTAATATTGAAAACTGTTGTTAAAATATAAAGATTTAAATGTAACAATTGTTACATTTAAATGTTACAAAAATTACATTGTTACATTAATATTAAATGTTTGCATCAAATCTGAACGAGATAGATTCCGAGATATATAGGATTATATTTAATACTGATTTATTTAAAAAAATCAGTTTGTCGATGTTAAGTGAAAAGAATCAAATATCGATTAATCAAAAGAAAAATTTATTGGTTGAAAATATCGATTAATTGAAAAAAACTATCGGTTATTTCGATTAATTGAGAAACATCGCCCATTCCTACAGTGATTCGATGTTTTCTACCGGGTTTTCGGCTTCATAGCCCTACATAAGCGAGAAGCCGGGAGCCTGGTAGGAAACATTGCATCACTGTGGCCGGCAGTGTCACCCCCGTGATTTTGGCTAATAGTTTGTATCTCAGCTTAGTAATTTTTCTCCGGCTAATGAAGTGTGAATCTCTAAGTGAGATTTAAGTTTCGACTTGATTTGAGTCTGTAATACATATTTAAAAATTACGTTTACACTGCTCATTTATAAAATCTTTTCCAAGAATAGTTTTGCAGTACAATAATGTAGACAAATATTATTCTCGCTCTTTTTGCTATATTCTACGATAAATCGACATATATTTGCATTAAAGTTAATCGGAATGCTACGTGCGCTTACTGGAATTCAGGTCGCCAAAGACCATGATTGCAATTAGGCCAAGCATGCACCCTATGCCCCATCGACATTCGACACACTTCATTTTTCCTCTAAATTCAAAATCAAATTGCTCGGTGGAATTCTTTTTTATCGTACGTGCTTCTTGTTTTTTTAATAAAGCATTATTAAAAAGAAAAATTTGGAAAATTGTATCGAGTCTTTGTTCATGTCACAAAACTTTATTAGAGCATTTTCGTAACCGCACACTTGTATTGTGAGACTTGTTTTTCTTATTTTAACTCATAGAACATGTTCCCGAAGCTGAACTATTAAAAGATCAGGTGCTCTATATATCTAACAAATGAGGAATTTGCAGAATGGCGTGGTACGCGATGAATGAAACCTAAAATCGTTTACAGCAATTTATTTGTCAAGTCGTTAAATAAAACTAAATTGGCCATTTGACAAGGGTCTCGATATTTTTATTGATCGAAGTTTCACGAATCGTTAGCACGTGGCACTCTATGATGAACAGAAAGTATGGAAATCCAAATAGTATCATAAAATTGTAAAAGAATTAACAAAAATTTGTCGATCTATAGACAAACCAGGTTGAATTTTGTGACGTCGTTCTAAAAAAAAAATCGGTTTATTCGAGTCGAAGCGTTCTTCTTCTTACAATACGATATGAGAGTCTTGGTAAACGATAGCTTTAGTATTAAAGTAATAATTTCTGTGTTTGACAGCTGTTTAGATTGTGGATCGTTGTGAATCCGCAAAGGGAGAGCTCGTTGCAGCTGGAGAGAAGGGCGCGCACAAGCATGAGAGAGAGAAACAGAGAACGAGGGAGAAGACCTTAGCTATTTTGCCCCCACTTCGAGATTGTTGGGGGCTACAGGGCCACGTGATCAAGCAGCAGAATCCGCGGCGTCCGCCGAAAATCTAAATCCGTCCGAGCCGAGGAAGAAGAGGCACCCGTCTCGACCTCACCGCGACGCGAAACGCCGAGATAGTCCATAATTGCCCGCGGCTCGCGGCGGATCGATCGAGATATCGCGCGCGAGTGCGTGATTCGCGCACGTTTTTTTTATTTATTTATTTTTTTTTTTGTAATTTTTATCCCCCTCGCACGATCACGAGGGAGATCGGACATCCGCGTTATCGTTTTGCTTTCCGGAAAGGCAAGAGAACAGACTTCATAAGGTCACACGAGGAATATGATCCGCGTGGACGAGTCGGACCCAGTGGGAGGTAAGAGAGGAAGGCGAACGGATAATCTCGTTAGGGAAACACACGGGAGAGTATTTGAGAAAAACGCGGGAGACGCGTTTGCGAAGAATGCGAAACGCGACGCGCTTGTCAGCGCGCTTAAAACCGCGCGATTTTCGGGGACTGTTTAGCAAGTGATTGTATACATGTTATTCTATATACGTTTCTTCGTCCTTGCACATGGTATTGATAATCTCGTCATTGTCGCAGTGTTATATTCATCGTAGTGTCCGCGTGGATTAAAATCGATACATTCCTTTGACGAATTAAAATTCGGTGAATTCGAATTTAGTGATGCGAAAAAATGCAATACTGCATCATCGTTGCCTCTAATAAACATAGAAACTATTTTCGCGTGCATGCCACGATAAAACTTGGGTGCTCTGAAATTATAACGGCCTTAGCTTCTATGTCCCGCTTAGAATAGGATCAAATAGGATCAAAGCAAAGAGAAGATAGAGGCGCGCAATAATTAAAAATACATTTAAAAAATGTACTAACATAAAATAGACGAAAACATTAATTTATACGACTTGCGAAGTCTTCAAAAGCTAATATTCAAAGTTGAAGAAGCATTGAGAAAGAAAATGGACTTGACATTAAAGCTCGCGCAACAGCTACCTATTTTATCTTTCTTATTATAACAATCGCACATTTATTTTCAGAGATCGAGCCCAGCTTTCCCTATAGAGATGTGGCAGTTCGTCGTGGAGTCGAGTTCAAGGACGATTATGACATTCAGGCGGAGCTCGGACGGTGAGTGATTAAATCTGTCGATCAGCGGATGCGTACAGGCGCCGGAATATCGTGCCAACTGCGTGTCGATCGTATTATCGGCTTGAATTAATCTTGATATAAAAAACGCAAAGTCTCGATACAACTAGCCGATTCATCCTCGAAGAATTTCGCGGAAGTCGGCACGCGGAAACGACAATTATTCAATGAATTTAACATTTATGTTTAATTTATAATATTCATTAATGATCGATGAGTTGAATGAATAGCGATTAAAATTAAATATTCAATATGTCCTTTTTACTTAATATTTCAGTTCCAAGTTATAAAGATTTCATGATAATCGGATGTTGAAATTACTCACTGATTTCTGCAATTCACACGGTAGCAGCGGAATAACATGTTGCACGTGTCGTTGTTGTCATGCTGTCAGCGGCATCCGTGTCAACGACATAGATGCACAAAATTCGCGAGATGTAGCGCGAATTGATAAGGTCAAGATGTGCGTGCCGCCAATACACGCACTGTCTTATTCTCTCGCGAGCAATCAAGGATTTACGATATATCTATAAATAATCTGCTTTTTTCGACTGGAGTAGGCACGTCAAATCAACGGCGCTCCGATGGATGTGCTTGAGCGCGCCGATGCTATTGACACTCGGTGAACTCGGTTGATTCGCCGATGTTTGGAATGCGGTTTGACAATGACGCTTATCCATATTATAGTCTCGATCATAAATCAATCTATAAAAAAAATTAATTAAAAATAATAAATAGAAAAAAATAATTTCTCTACAATATGTAATTTAAATCGGAAATAAATGTTAAAATTTCAAGGTTGTCTCGTGCTTCTTGTTATTTTTAGCATTCTTAACGCACTTAACGATGGAAGCAGTTGCCAAGGAAAATCTGAAATAAAAGACATAATAACAATGACAATAAAATAATAACGGTAGTGAAGAACATTACATTTTCTTGACGAATAACAGACATTTGAACATACTCGGATATAAAAATAGAGTTTAATATAAATATAATACAGCAGTAATGTAATAAATATAAATAAATTAATATAAGAATAATTGCCTTCAATATCCGTTAGTAATTCAATGATTTATTGATTTGGCCTCATGACAAATATGTAGTATTTCGCAGCACAGTTAGTCAGAGATACGCGGTGTGTATAGCTTTGGCAGAGCTTCCGGTGTTTATCATTTTTACGCATAGTTTGTTAAGTTTACTCAAGATATCTGCGTTCCAAAGATTGTAGTTTGCGTGTTAAACTTATTCTAATGAATAAAAACTCAATTTAATTTACAAATTGTTATTTGCATATAAATAATTCTACTTTTATTTTTTATTGTATAAATTAAAATTCAAAAAAGTTTATGAATTTAAGGGATATGTGCAAAAATACATAACATGTATACAAAAATGTATGAAAGGTGTTGTCTTTATATAAACACATTTATTAAAACGCGATGATTATTTAACGATAGCAAACATGATTTTATATCGTAAAAAATACATGTTGTGTTTGTGTGTTTTCCATTTATTTTAATCCTTGTATTTGTTCTAGAGGAAAATTTGGCATTGTTTACCGATGTAAGGAGAAGGTGAACGGCTTGATGCTCGCCGCGAAAGTGGTGAACATCATGCAAAAGGAGGATCGACGAGCTGTGCAGAGAGAAGTCGAGATCATGCGACGCTTACAGCATCCACGATTAATTCAACTGTATGACGCTATCGACGCGGGAAAACAGATATACGTTATTCTAGAATTGTACGTTTCTCGCGCGCGCAGAGGCGTAAGATTAGAGAGACGCGCGCTGCGGGGTTACTTTAAATTTCCATCATTTAAGGATCGACGGCGGCGAGCTCTTTGAGAGAGTGATAGACGATGATTTTGTACTGACGGAACGCAGCTGTGCCGTATTTATGCGGCAAATATGCGAGGGAATAGAATTCATGCATGGTCAGAAGATCTTGCATCTTGATTTAAAAGTGAGTCATGATTCAATAATGTTCTGCACGGATGCTAAACAATGTATATAAAGTGTATAAAGATCTGTATTTAGCAGTTACGTTCACATTTACTTAACCACATTTATTATAAATTTACATTTAATAATATTGTACTGTTATTTAAAATTCACATCTCTCTGTTTTCTGCAGCCTGAGAATATCCTGTGCCTGACGAAGGAAGGTAATAGAATCAAAATCATAGATTTTGGCTTAGCGCGAGAATACGATCCGAACAAGAAACTGCAAGTGTTATTCGGTACGCCCGAGTTCGTTGCCCCGGAAGTCGTAAACTTCGATCAGATTGGATTCGGCACCGATGTGTGGAGTATTGGCGTGATTTGTTACGTCTTGTAAGTGCAATTTTGTAGCTTCATAAAAGATACGTAATGAATCGGAATGGTGCATGCAACTATCGTTGTAGATTGTCCGGTTTATCACCGTTCATGGGCGATACTGATATCGAGACTATGGCTAACGTCACTATTGCGAAGTACGACTTCGATCACGAGGCCTTCGCCGAGATTTCCGAGGACGCGAAAGATTTCATTAAATGCCTACTGGTGAAAGACAAGGAGTAAGTATGCTTCTGCCACGCATTTTCGAATTTCTCCTTTCCTCCCTTCTCTCCTTTTCATATTTTTGGTACTTTTATATGTCTGCTTTCCCAGAGAAAAAGTTTCTCTTGCAATTTAATTGTACTTTGCCACTCGTTGTGAGGGTGTGTGTATGGTTCACAAGCAATCTGTGCTCATCATGATTTTATTCGTGCACTGACTTTCCATCGTTGTCTCATTCTAAAATATTTCACTCCGATGAACACATGTCAGTATCACTAAAAACAGAACTAAAAGAAGTGATTTGATTTTCTTATTAATCGCATAAAATTCTATCGTATTTTGTAATAAGAATCTAGTGGAAAGTACGTTTTCTCTTATAGTAGTTATTATTTTCTTCTTCGATTTTGTTACCCCGAGAACGTTCAAACGTCCAGCGATAAGAAGCGCGAGGGACACCGGATGCGTAAGGCTCCGCTCATCGGCAAATTGATTTCTCATCGAAAGCTTTGCACTCGGGAAACACGCACATACATGTATATTCTCATGATATTCGAGCTTGCATCGTCATCGGCCACTTTGTACATACGCGTCGCACTCCTCGTCCGTACATTCTCGTCCTAAACTGCTCGCCCTCGGACACACATGTCTCTGTGCGGCGAGGAGAACGCACTATTGAGCCCGGGGGGGCACTAGAGCACGATCCTCCTCACGACGAGCCTTTCGAATCTTTCAGAAAGCGAGTGACGGCGGCGCAATGTCGGGAGCATCGTTGGCTGACTCGTAAAGTGCACAAGACCAGAAGCGAGAAGGAAGTCGCGGGAATCGCGGAGGCCAAACGGACGGCCTTCATCGAGAATCGTTCTGTCACAGTCGATAATGGCAGAGAGGAGCTGGACGTGACGAAGGACAATCTCAGGCTGTTCGTTGAGCGTTGGCGAGAGCACCCGGACAGCCCGTACACGATCACGGACTCGTATCACGCGTTGCCGAGGCAGCCGGCCAACGATCGCGAGGAATCGGTGTCCCTGCGGGCTCACAGTCCCTCTCCCTGCGACAGTCTTCGCAGCAGCAGCACGCAGTCGGAGAAGATGATGGATTCTGCGAGAGATAATTCGAGTCATCTACTGTCCGTGCCGAGTCTCAGCTTGTCTTTGGAGAGGAGAGCCTCCGAAGGTACCGTGCTGCGGAACCGTCGCGATCCCGCCAGCCAGATCGCTTTGGCCGAGGAAATCATCAAATTGTCCGAACATTTGCGCGCGATCGCCATGGGGTCGAGCGTGAACGAGGAGAGTAACGTAGACATAACGGAAGCGACGCAGCATTCCATGAAGAGATCCGGCGGGCATAATCGCGGTACGTACTCGAAGAGCAACAGGACGGTGACCGTGTCTCGCAATGACAGAGAGACGAATGAGATCACGGAGAAACTGTCCACTATTACTCGGCAACGGAAGCTCAACGGGACAACGTTTTACAGTAGTCGTAGCTTCGATAAATACAATGCCGATACGAATTCCGGTAATGTGTTTGTAGCTTTGAGAAGAACGAGCATTGGCGAGGCCGAGACATCCGACAGACGGAAAGGTCGAAAGTCCTTCGAACAGAGAACTATCGCGGAAGCGGTCGAGGAGAAGTTCAATGAAGAGGCGATCGGCAAGAGGACTACTCTTCAGACGTCCTTCGACGCGGAGGACAAGGAGATGGATCTGACACCTCCCTGGCGACGATCGCGAGTGAAACGATCCTTCGGCGAGACCAGTCGAGATGTGCCGCGCATATCGAATCTGCGGGATCTGCACAAGAATCTGAATCTCAACGAGCCGACCAGCACCAAGGATCTGTTGTTGCATCTGTTGGGCGAGTGGGAGGATTCCACCGCGACGTCCTACGGCGGCGCCGGCAGGAAGTCCGTCAGCCTGGACTGGCACACCGCGGACACAGTCGCCAGGAAGACGATGAACTCGTTGGCGGAGTATTTCCAGTCGAAGCAGCAAGAAGCGAAATCCCCTGACGTCGTATCGTCTACATCGTCGTCGATATATCGTTGAATGTGCGTTTCGTCATGAAGCCTGATTCTCGCTGTAGATCGCATGGTTCGCGAATCGACTGCAGACGAATCTCTCAGGAAACACAAAAACGTGTTTTAATTGTATTAAGAAAAATGACGAATATTGAAGTAGAATAACTTTTGATTATCTCGGAGTTTTTTTTTCACTTAACTTCAAATTTATCAATTCTTGTCTGAAATTGCACCTATTTCTGCAAATTTATTTACATGGGAATTTATGATTCTATTTTTTAAATTAAATACAAACATACGGATACAATGTTAATTAATTCAACGGATTTGTACTTATGTTACATGGAGAGTTAAATATAAATAACAGAGACGACAGGAGTGTAAGAGAGAATGAGACTCCGAAAATGTGTTATCGAAACAAAACCTTGCTAATGAGCTCATAAATTGTTAATGAAATTACTATGATAATATCTTGTAATTATAATGTTAAAAAAATGCGGAAACTTGTACTGTGCACCACGAGCACACCCTCAAATCGATATTTTTATACCTGTTAGTATAACGTCTCCAATTTTTATCAATTGCTTGCGGAACAAATCGATTTTATTTCCCGCAAACTAATTTTCTATTACGATGCTTTTAACAATAAAGATAATGCAATAGCTTCTTTTTTACAATAAATTCTGTTTTTTATAAATCGCAACTCTTAAGTCTTTAGAATCGTTATATTTAATACGCTGTTATTAATTAATTACTATTCGATTATGTTATTGCGTATAGTAAAATTAATTGCGACAATTCTGATAGAGCACGTTTAGATTTTTTATTGATATGTCGTACTAAATTTACGAGAAATTAAAGTAATATATATTTGTGCAGATATTTTTTTCGTTAAATAGTTTATTTACATGCACGCATATTTAATATATTGTATTATAGCTTTATTATAATTCAAATTAACATAAAACATAGTACTGCAGAAAAATTATTGATTTTTGTTTACTGTATCCGCAATCCTTGTTCTTTCGATGCTCATATAATTAATTCCTTACAGAGAAATAATATAAAGATAATTTTGATCAATGTACAAATAGTGAATAGATCAAGAAATTGATTCTCTTGCTGTAGGGAAAGACCGACTGCGGGAAAACTTATAGAACATCGTTGGCTAGCAGCAGCTGTGGAGAACCCTATTCAGAAGCACCGATTGAAACGCTATGTCATTAAAAAGCGTTGGGTTAAAGCTGTTAACACTATTTTGGCATTGAAGCGAATGGGCGCGCGTCTAGATTTTGACTTGATTTAGTATTATAACGTCTGTGTATTTATAAAGTATATTTTATTTTGTGTCATTTTTTTGTAGATTTGTATTCGTGAAATGTATTTCACGTATTTTATGTCATTTTTTATAGACTTAATTTTAGTATTATTGTATAATGTCTGCGTATGTATCAAATGTATTATTTTGTGTCATTTTTTTTTGCTTAATGCATATATAAGAATTTTTAGTGTACAGAATTGGCAACGGACAGAGTAAAAGTGAAAATGAGTAACATGCGGCAACAATAGGTAAGCCATTTTGGTATAATCTTTTAATTGCAATTAAAAAACGAATAATGTATCATCAAATGAGTCACGGTCATACAAATACTTAAATTTATGCTGATTTCTTTGCAAATATATAATAGTTTAATATAAAATAGTTTTATATTCGAACATAATCGGATGTTCGTGACATGTAACTTATTGATTATTTTTATTTTTTGCAAGCATAAAGCAATACTGGACTATACAGTTAATTATATAAAAAGAAAAAAGTAATATAAGTGCTCGTGTGAAATGCGGTCCAATTATTTATTTTTGAATTATTTTTCGCTATACATTTATATAATACTCCAATCATAAATTTAACTGATTCTTACACGTGAATAACAGGACTTGTATTAAATGTTATGTTCTAGTTATATAAATCGTATCGACGTATATCTCTACACATTGCTTATCAAGTAATCTCGAGAAATTATATTACATTTGTGATAATTTTTTAGAATAAATTATCAAGATTAAATTGATAAAAAGATAAAACTCTACTTGCTTTTTCTTCAGTAAATCTTTGCAAAATACAATTAATACAAAGTAAAATGTATCTATTTTTAATTAGTATAATTAATTTGTTTTCTTTGTATGTAAACTCTTACGTTTGTCGTTTATCATTTGCAATAGAAGACGCACGAAGAATCTTATTACGATAACAACAATTATTGCGCAAAGTAGAAGAAATACAATGACATCGAGGAGATATAATTGCCACCAGTACAAATCCATCGCAGGTGATCGCAAAGCATCACTGCCGTATTTAATGACATATTCGCTCCAATAAATAGCGGTATCAAGAGCGTTTAACGGTCGATCAAGAAACCTTTGAGACAGATTTCGAACAGATTCACTGAAACACACAAAAAAATTATAATAGAACTAAATTTAAACATCGAGTTATATTATTAAATTAACAATGTTAACATATTATTATGTTACATTATAACATATTACACATGTTAATATATCAACAATTAAACATATACAATACGTATCGCGATGTAAAATAATATGAAATGAAAATAACAATACACGTAATGCATAATAAATCACTCATTTACGTCACGTATGTATAGAAATACTTTTTTTCCAGATATCGCCTTATATTAATGTATGAAAATAAAAATTTGATCTACCTATATATAGGATTCCAAAGGATCGCATTTAGAGCTTCATCCACGTCTTTTTCGGTCATTGTATAAAGGTCTAGTTTTACGGCAATGTTTTTTTTAACGTATATATCAATATTCAAAAACTGATCAGCAAAAAGCGGTATACCGATCATGGGCACGCCGAGTATTATCGCTTCTTGCGTACTCATTAATCCACCATGAGTGATGAAGCCTTTTATATTAGGATGTTCTACGAAATTAAATTCGCATTAGTGTAAAGAAAAAAAATTTGCATATTTAAAATTTATATATAATAAATTTCATGATAATAAAATATGAAGAAAAACATTTATATAAAATAAGGTTTATATATTTATCTTTTTCATTTCTATTAATGCGTTCAAAAAAAAGTTTACGTCTGCTTAAAAATAGCAGATAACAAAAAGATAGAAGTAATAACGTACTTAATACTTTAATCTGCGGCATCCAAGGAGACGTGTAAATATTTTTAGGCAAACCGGGTGGCAATTTATCTGGATTTGAAACTTTTATCAAAACCCGTATAGGTGCTATTTTACTTAAGGAGGAGTAAAGTATATTCAGAAACTCGGGTGGAAATGTTTCAATTATCGCCATTGAGCCAAAAGTGAAGTAAATAAAGCCGTCTTTACTTTCGTTCATCCACTTCTCTAAAGTCTACAAATAAAACATCAACACATAGCAATATTGTATTATGTTATGTAAGTTTACACACATTTATACTTTAATGCTCTGTTTTCCATCAGTAATAAAAAAATGAAACAATGGAGTTAATATTACTATTATATAGTATTTTAAAAATAAGTTTAAAGATAAGAAAAATCTTATTATTATAACAATATCATAAAATAAGAGTAAAATTATCGTCCTACAACGTAACATCAAGTAAAACTTATGTTTAGAAAGTAAATAAACTGTAATTTCTAAAGCAGTTTTAAAAGCAAATAGAAGATAAGAAGATAAAAAGAAATAATGATTAATACTGCCAAAGATTTAAAAATTTTTGTTTGTTTGTAACACTAATAATATACCAGTATTAATGTCAGTATTTCTGGTATAATTTATAAAGATGTGCAAGTCACGGGAGGCAAGATTATTTATGTACGCAAAATATACAGAATGTGTTTGACTCATTTCAACTGAATTATTTTTCACGAAATAGAGTCATTAGCATTACAAGAGATTAAAACGACTATCATGTATGTATGCTCATAATGATCATAATTCGTAAGCGTTATATTGATAAGATTAAAATAATTTCAAAAAACGTACAGGTGATAACGTCAAGGTGACATCGTCAATGACATGCAATCCTCCAACATCTACCGCAGCAGGTGTTTGCGGCTGGATTGTATTTACAGCGATGTGAGAGTTAATGAGAATCAATGCTATCTTCGCTTCTAGTTCTCGCACACTCGGTATGTCCGGTCCGAAGTGTTGTCTTAAAATTTCGTCCTGCTTCCTTGTGAGATAATTGAAGAGCAGATTGCTATACAGGGTATTCACGCTGTTATATAAACGGTGCCAGAAATTCATAGAGTTGGGAATCCCAGTTATACAATTGTTCGGCACAAAGGCTACGTTGTAAGGTTGAGCGATTATTTTGTGCAGCCATGGATATAGCACTGTTGTACTGACCGCGATCGCAGGAACATTCAATAAATGGGGAATGACGGCGAAACATTGAGCACCAAAAATCTAATAGAGCACACGAGTGTTTTACAGTTTATTGTTAGACTGTGTCGAAAAAATTTTAAAAATTGATAATCACTAAGTTTGATATTTATTATAATTCCAAAATAATATTTACTAATTAAAGCAGTTAATTATTAGGTCATTTAGTACATTTTTCCATTTACAAGAGCGATAAAACCTTTAAATTTCTTTTGTTAAAGAAATTTCATAGTTAGGGGCTGAGCACAATGAAAAGCACAGGCAATAGGAACAGGGAATAATATAGGAAAGAAAGAGAGAGAAATAGCTTTTTCTTTTCTCTTCTATGTTATTTCCTGTTCCTATTGCCTGTGCTTTTCATTGTGCTCAGCCCCTTACACATATTAACTTTATTTAAAACACAACTTAATAAAAAAGCAGCCAATGAGCTGCAATAAAAAAATTATATTCCGCCGCAATGCGGCGGAAAACGCGATACATATAGATTACGGTAATTCATTGTTAAAAAGTAAATCAAAATTGTGAAAAATTTTTATTGCAAAAGTTTTAAAAATACAACTCTGAAATTCTCTTTAATATGTATGTAGTTGTATCTGTCGTACAGATCGGTAAACAATTACGGGTCTCTTTCGTTGTATTTTTATCTGTTCATAAATATTGTTTGTGCTACATTTAACAAGAAATTACTTTATGTTTTATTTTTCAACAACTTATTTTAAATTTATATCATGCTTTCCATCTTGCATTAAATTCTGATTTAATATTTTTGTAATATTGCTATTGGAGCTTTTAATTATCAATTGTTTTTATTTTATTGATTTGAAAGTTTTAGTGCACATCAAATTATGTTACTGATTTATGATGGCATAATGGCATCAAATCATACAGTAATTTACATATATCTCTTCTAATAATTAATTGCAATTTTTTTCACTGTATTAATTTTTTTTTGTTTTACTGTATTAATTTTAATCAGTTATTATTAGAAAACGTATCTTTTTCCAGCTTGCATTAAACAAAATAAAAAATAAGATTAAAACATCTGTCATTGCATTTTCACTACTGCAATAAAATTACACACTCTGCTGCAGTTCTAGGCTTTATTAATCGTTTAATAAAATTGTTTAATTTAGTTAAGCGTTTAAGTATCAAAAATAATCACGAGATAAAATAATAAAAGTAATAAAACCGTTTCAAGATTACAAATTGTACACAAATTTAACAAGACAACATGCTTGTCAAGATTTGATTAGCTATCACTAAATTGCTTTTTTTTATTTTTATAAAAGATTAATTACGTAAAAGTAACTAATTATAATTAGTATATTAGTATATTATTTGTATATGAGAAAAGAGTGCGATTGCGCGTTATTTTTTAATCAGTTATATCAATTTAAAATTTTTGTAGTAAGAATATTTCTTGTTTTGCATTTGTAAATGGAAAAATTTTATTTCATAAGTATGCAATTTTTATAAGATTGAGATATATTTTTCTACCCATAAATTTAACCAATAAATTTTTTCATTTACATACCTCCATTATTACTGCGTCATAAGGTGGATCTTTCGGTGGATTGCGCACTAGTTCTTGTATTATTGGATGCGCCAAAAATTCGCAAAGATCATTACCAATCATTCCCGAAATAAGAAATACTAAATTAATTCCGACAAAATTATTTTTTTTAAATTTATATGTCAGACTGTTTGTTACCGTTACAGATGCTGTTAACGTCACGATATCGGTATAATTCGGATAAGGCTTTTTTAATGGAAAATTACTAATCACATCAACTTGATGACCCTTTCTGGCCAGACCCTTTAAAGCTGCTTGGGCATCAAAAAATGACTGTGGCTGTTAAGAGGAAATAATGCGAGAAAACGATATCCATGGCAAATCGATGACCAGAGTAGCCAAGGAAATATCAATAGCAGTATCCGCATTTTTTTATACTGTTATAAGATTTTTTATTTGATGCCCGTAAGAAATAAACGACACAAACTTCTCTATCCAAAGTTATTTGAATTTTATTATATTATTTACTTTTTATTTCCTAATTTCTTGATGTTTGAGATGATGTTTGATGATTAAGATGTTCGATTGAATAAATATCATTATCTTTTGCAGAATATAAAAATTAAATAGTGAGCACTAAAACTGTTACACGATGACACTAAAAATGCATTAGTTACAATCTGTTATCGGACACGGTATAACACTGACTGACATCTTAAATATACTTATCGCCTATCGCTTTGCTTGCATAATATAATGAATAAATTAACATATATTTATTTGAGAGAAACATATATTTATATTTGCATAATATGTTAAATTCATCTACTTACTAAATCTAAATATGTATGACGAGTGATATCAATCTATTTAAATTTGTACGAAATGCATTTAGCTACGTATGCTATTGCAGTAAAGCAGAGATAAGAATTAGTTGCAACTTTTGGCTCGATTTTCTGATTGACGCCTCCTGCCTCCTCCTTGACGTTCGCAAGCTAGCAACGAGTCGCCAAACGCGCTAACAACGTGCGTACTAAGGTGCGCGATACTCAGCCTCAGGAATGTTTATATCACAAATACAACAAGATAATAAATATGGGACAATAGATTTCCACATCACCTGTGAGTAAAAAGTGAGGTAAAAGTAAATCGAAACAGTGGAAAATTTTTTTTGCAGAAGGTTTAAAAATACAACTCTGAAATTCTCTTAAATATGTAGTTATATCTGTCAGTAAACAGCAATGGGTTTCTTTCGTTGTATTTTATCTGTTCATAAATACTGTTTGTGTTACTTTAACAAGAAATTATTCTATATCTTATGTTTTAACAAAAACTTATTTTAAATCCATATCATGCTTTCCATCTTGCATTAAATTCTGATTCAATATTTTTGTGATATTGCTATTGAAGCTTTTAACTATCAATTGTTTTCGCTTTATTAATTTGAAAGTTTTGGTGCATATTAAATTATGTTGCTGATTTATGATGGCATAATGGCATCAGATCATACATAATTTACATATATATCTTCTAATAATTAATTGTAATTTTTTTTACTATATTAATTTTTTTTTATTTCACTGTATTAATTTTAATCAATTGTTATTAGAAAACGTGTCTTTTTCCAGCTTGCATGAAACAAAATAAAAAATAAGATGAAAACATCTGCCATTGCAGATTTTATCACTATCAGATCTTATCACTACTGCAATAAAATTACACACACTGCTACAGTTCTAAGTTTTATTAATCGTTCAATTTAGTTAAGCGTTTAAGTATCGAAAATAATCACGAAATAAAATAACAAAAGTAATAAAACCGTTTCAAGATTATAAATTAAACACAAATTCAATCAAACAACATAATTGTCAAGATTTGATTAGCTATCACTAAATTGATGCTTTTTTCTATTTTTATAAAGATTAATTACATATAAGTAACTAATTATAATTAGTATATTAGTATATTATTTATATAATTAGTAAATTAGTATGTTAGTATATTATTTGTATACAAGAAAAGAGCATATTTGCGCGTTTTTTTTAATCAGTCATATCAATTTAAAATTTTTGTAGTAAAAATATTTTTTGTTTCGCACTTGTAAATAGAAAAATTTTATTTTATAAATATACAATTTTTAAAGATTGAGATATATTTTTCTAACTATATCTATGTATCTAATAAATTTTTTCATCTACATACCTCCATTATTACTGCGTCATAAGGTGGATCTTTCGGTGGATTGCGCACTAATTCTTGTATTTTCGGATGTGCCAAAAATTCGCAAAGATCATTACCAAATGTTTCCGCAATAATAGATACTGGATTGATCCCGACCAATGTATTTTTCAAAAATTCGTATGTCAGACTGTCCTTTACCGTTACTGTTGCTGTTAACGTCACGATATCGGTATAATTCGAATAAGGCTTTTTTAATGGAAAATGACTAACCACGTCGATTTGATGGCCTTTTCTGGCCAGACCTTTTAGTAGCTGCTCGAACATCACGAAATGACTGTGGCCGTTATAAGGGAATAATGCGAGGAAACGATATCCATGGCAAATCGATGAGTAGAGTAGCAAAGGAAATATCAACAGCAGTATCCGCATTTTTTTATATTGTTATAAGAATTTCGATTCGATGCCCGTAAGAAATAAACGAGACAAACTTCTCGATTCAAAGTTATTTGAATTTTATTATATTATTTACTTTTTATTTTCAAATCTTTAGATGTTTGATTGGATGAATATCATTGTTTTTTACAGAATATGAAAATCAATTAGTGAGCACTGCAGCTATTGCACGATGATACCAAGAATACATCTATTGTAGAACACGGTAAAACACTGACTAACTTAGATTCGCTTATCGCTTTGCTTGCCTTATATCGTAGATAACATTTAACATGCATTTATTACATGCTAAATCTGAATATGTACGACGAATGATATTAATCTACTTGAATTTGTACGAAATTTATGTACTCAGCTACGTATGCTATTGCCATAAAGTATGACAATTCTGGACAATCAGTAGTCTTAGAAGATTTGTTAAAAATAAATATTAATTGTCATTCGTTTTGTAATAATTCATTGTGATAAAAAGCAAAAATATTGATAATGATTTCACTCTATGGTTTTTTAAACTTATGATAAACTTAGAATTAATTTATATTTATTTATGATATTGACAAAATGAAGAATTTTTAGCGAAAAGATAATCGATTCGGTTAATAAATAATCTACTTGATAATTCTTTCATCTTTTTTACCTGACCTTTCAATAATTGCAGCAAAAGGGAGAATTATGAATGTCTGCTTAGTCAACCCTTTTATATTACGCAAATTGTACAAATTATATAATTATGCGCTATTATGTACTAAAAAAATTTTTAATTTAAATTTTAGACATTACTTTAAGAGAGAAGTCTGTTAAAAATTGTAACACAAAGATCAAAATTATCTTGATGTAGAAACGTTTAATTTAGCATCCCATCAAAAATTAAAATGCTATGCGTCACGAAATAAGCTAAGCAATATGTACCTCAATGCAACGCCGGCTATTTATAATATGAATATTATCTTGATTAACTCAGAAACTATAATAAATAAATAATATTAAATTGTTATGAGTCTCTTAGAATTTTATGTTGTCTATTTAGATTATAAAATAACGTATAAGCGCAATTCTTTCAAGAAGTGTATCGCGAAAAAATTTATTTTTTACTTATATATTTTTATCTTATAGCTAGTGCATAATCGTTTAGATAACAAAAATTAGCACAACTGTTTAGATAACACACTATTTTATCATGTTTCTAGAAACGATGGGTCACTGCTTTTACAGATGATAGATAGAATTTCAAAAAAGCTATTTGCTTAAATCCTACACATCTATGAAAATATTATTTTTATCATATTACGATTTTATCGCGAATTTTACCTTATAAAAAACTTACTCGTTTCTAATTTGTTCACTAGCAAAATGAGTAGCGACAAGGAGTGTCTTGTCAGTCATAGTTTTTTCCTTTTGGAGAAAAAACCTCTTCCTACTTAGACGAAGATACAGATCGTATAATAGATTGTGTAATAGAACTATTATATTATTTATATAACTCTTGCTAGAACAATTAAGTTTTATAATTTAATTATCCATACGCCGTCACAATTATTAAATTAATAGTTTTTTTCATGTCTATTTTCAATTAATAGTGCAGTTTTTTTAAATTTGCAATTTTACTATTTTTCCTTCTTATTTACATTTTAGTTCTTATTCATTACGACTAAGAATAGTAAATTATTGATTATTTGGTCTTGGACACCATCAATTGAAAAACCATGCGTACAAATATTGAAGATTTTGCGTGCAAAGATAAATTGAGCGTTTTAATTAAAGTTAAAAGCATTTTTCTTTTAAATTATAATGTAAGATTATTTTGATGTTGAAACCTGAAAAAGACCTGATATAGGTCGAAACGTTGTTATCATATGTTTGTTTAATACACAAGCACGACCATCCAGCACTTGTTGTTTTGCTTTTCTTCAACCTTTTTGTGTTAAATTATTAAGCCTTGACTTATATTCTAATTATATTCTTTAATTAAATTTTAAATTAATAGTGCAAGTAACATAGAATCTTCTGTCATAAAAAACGACATTATAATTAATATTAATATTTAAAAAAGTAATATAAAATATAAAGTCTTACACATAAAATGACACGATTAATATCAATCTCTTATAAATGTTTAATTTTGTTTTTTTTAATGGTATTGTATATCAAACTATCAATAAAAATTTATTATATTCACTAAAGATTAATTGAGATTTAATGTAAAATAAGTTCATTTTGCGTTAACATGTATTAATCAATAATTTCTAACTCTTTTTCATTTATTTTTTATAGAATGAGATCCGTATTATTTTATTAACCGCAAATGGATCGCCCATCACCGAGAAGAAGGCTAACCTTACGAGTCCCTGTGGATCAATGTTACTGCAAGACTTCGTCTACTTAGATAAAATGTCGCACTTCGGCAGGAACAGGATTTCGTAACGAGTAGTGTACGCCAAGGGAGTTGGTATGTTAAATTTTACAACGTTCTAGACATATAACTTAACTTACAATTAGGAGAAGGACAAGGCCAAATTATAATAATAAAGTAAGAATCAAGGAAGAAAAAGAAGGAGGAGTTGAGTAGAAGGGATTTAAAGAGAGAGTATTTATATCTTCTTTTTGTAAATATTACATTTCATATTTGCAAAGCTGAATAGCGCGCGTAGTGTGCGAAATGTTATGCTCTAGTATAAAATTTATACTTCATATAAGTTATATTTAATACAACTTGAATGTAAGTGCATCATTGCATATTATTAAAATACAATCAAAAGACACCATTTTATTAATATTTTATCATTATTATTATGTCGCTATTATAATATAATATGATATTTTAATTTGTGTTATTGATATTCTATGTATTGTACGTAACGCGGAATTTTTTGAATCATAAATAAGTATGTTACCAATTGGAAAAAATTATGAACATGACTATGTAGTTCTTGTCGATGGACATAGTTGGCGTTTCATGTACGATAATAGCAGCACAATCAGCTGATGTTTTGGTCGAAAATGTGATTTGGTAGTTTACGAAATACATAAGAATTGTTTTGATTTTATAAATATATTTGTAATTATGGTGAGTATCTTCTCTTCTATCAATTAGAACAATAAGATAACAAATAAATTATTGTGTCAACTAGTATTAAATTAAATGCATATATAGGATTGTGTTACACGAACAGTTTTAGGTTATATTATCTTTAAATATTAGTGCTAAAAAACCTGCCTAAAGGAGATAGATTGAAGGCCCTTCAAAGCATAAAAAAAATATACATGTTTTTTAACAGTAATTAATGTTTTATATTGAAAAGTGAATATTATTAAATAATGGTTAGTTTATGATTTCTTCTGTAATAAAATAAACTTTGCATTTTAGGATGAAAATATACTGCAAAACTGGACTCCTTATGCTAAAAAGTATGATCCTTTAAAGGCAGGGAGTATTGATGGGACAGATACAGAGCCTCATGATAAAGCTGTTAGTAGGGCAATACAGATGCACTATGAGCCACCACACAATTTGGAATCTACACCAGAAAGAACTTTATTTGTAGCTAGATTTGGTCCAAGAGTGACTAAACAAGATCTAAAAGAGGTACTATCACAGCTTTATAAAATAATATATTTAGTAATTTTAAAGTTTCTCACAAAAGTGAATATATCTTGCAGTGTATAATTTTATTAAATTATATATTAAACATTATATTATATCATTATTAATAAACTTCAAATGATTATTGTTTAGTTTTTCAGCAAGTATGGAAATGTTAGTTCAGTAAAAGTCATAGTGGATGTTGTAACTGGACTTTCTCAAGGATATGGTTTTGTAGAAATGAGAAGTGAAGATGATGCCAGAAGAGTGTTAAGAAGGACTACTGATGCTACATTAAAAGGATACAACATATTTATTGATTATGAATGTGGTCGCAGCATGAAGGGATGGAAACCAAGGAGACTTGGTATGTAATCAACAATTACATTTTGTACAATCTTTTTATACAAATGTTTTATACAAATTTTTGATTACTTAAATCTTCTCAGGAGGTGGTTTCGGTGGCAAGAAAGAATCAGGGCAGCTGAGATTTGGAGGAAAGGACAGACCGTTCAAACGACCCATTGTTCCTAATATTTTAAAGCCAAAAAGATAAATAATATCTACTTTAAAATTGTTGCTATATTATTTATTTCTTAAATCTATCCCTTACATATTTTTATCTATTATTTTGACACTAGAAACACTAATAAAATGCTATGCAAAATATAAAATATTTAATATATATTCAATATAATTTTTGCTATTCAAAAACATGGGTAGCGTTTACTTGAATATTTTTTACGTACTAATCTTACTATTTTAACATACCACAGATATGATGAGACATAATTCCCTGAATTGCGCGAATGATTTTGCATTATGTCTCCAAGGTGATCACAAAATGATTCGCTGCAAGATCATATTCGCTTTTGTGAGGAACTTTATACCGCATCGTCGCTGTCTCCCACATACGTCTCTCTCCATATAAGGAGGCACCTCCGCGATTCGATACAGATCGCACGCTTCCGAGCTTAAAGCTTTCCAGCCTGAGGCGCACTGACGACGCTGATAAGGCTCTTTTCTTTTGCACACGATTCAGCCCCGCACCTCACCAACGTCTCAGCCCACGTTCTTTCATAGCGGTTCCTATTTCATCGCTAAAATTGAAATCCTGCCCCGGTTTCTTTAACGTTCGTTCTCGCGATGCATTCTTTTCACTTTCAGCCAATGCAAATCGCAAAGAGCGTGCGTCGACGACGTGGATGTGTGCTGTTTGGAATTAGAAATACATAATTATTTATTATTAGATGTGTTATAAATATACGAAAAAAAATATTCGCAAGGATATTTTTACCTTAATAAATAGACTTTTAAAGTAGTCTTTTAAAATGTCATCGTTTGTTTAAAAAAACTATTAATAAAGTGTTCGTATTTATTGTGTATATTATTTTAAAAATATTCATATTTAATTAAAAATCGAAACTCTTATACGTATACTACAAACACAAAAAGATAAATCTCACATTAATTTGGCATACAAAAAATATGATATATTTTAAAACAAAATTTTTTTAATTTTAACGTTTTCATAGAATATTATAAACGATAGGCAAAGGGAGTTACTGGTTTTTCATTGTCAATAGTCATCGCGAAAAAGAAGAGAGAGAGAGAAAGAGAGAGAGAGTGAGTAAGAGAGAAAGAGGGCGGGGGCGTACATCGTAACAGGCCTACTTTTGGAGCAATCATCTGCCGACGACGTGGAGAGCGGATTGCAGCCTCTGCGATTCGGCGGCTGCGGCCAGAAAGCGGAGTCCGAGCGCTAGTAGAAACGGCGAGTATTTGCGGCGGCGTGACCGCCGTGCCGGTAAGAGACACGAAAATAGTAACAGCCAGGATCGTATCGCTCTCGCGTGGTCCACGGACGCGGATCTGCGATCTATTAATAGAGAGGGATGAGAGCGACTAACCGGAGCGCGGGCACGCTGCCCGGAGCCTTGCTGATGTCCAGCCGCGATTTCTCGGACTTCAGAGCGGCTCAGGCTGTCGCGGACTCCACATTCCACCGGGACGAGCTCTCCTCCTGTGTGCGTGTCTCTCTCGGCGAAGTGTGTGACCCTCCCTTGCTCTCACAGCTGCTGGTCCACCCTAGTGAAAAAAAAAGAATCATTTACCCCGCGCGCCCATACACACATACACACACGTTCACCTATACGCGCGCGCATCCACGCATTCGTCCACTCGCATTAACACCACCCGAGTGTAAGTTCAACATTTTTTCATACTGTGCTCGTTAATTTATACTCTTTTCATTCTTCTATTATTTCTTATCGTTTACATCAAAGCCGCCTCACCTGCTCGTCATTTCCGCTTTCTGAAGACGTTTGCCATGAATTGTGTCTATGTGCTTTTGCAGTGCGATTGTTGTGTGAACGTGAAATCAACGCGTATTGTAGTTAATATGAAAATTCTCGCCACGTTTGCTTCAGCAAGAATCGATTATGCGCGGCGAAATAGCTCGGTGAACGAGCAAATACTTTAACGAAGCTTTGAAAAGTCAGTCATATGATTTTTTCTCAGAAGGAAATCCTTTTAAAAGAAAACAACGTAAAATTGTGTAATTTTTATAAAAATATCTCTTTTTTTATATGAAAGAATTTTTTTAGTGTTGTTTTGCTGTGAGCGCTTTTTTATCGATCGCGAAGATTTAATTGGTTAAAAAATCTCGCGAAAATGTCTGATTATAGCGCGGCTTTATCTACTTAAAAGAGTTCATCAGTGCGATTTAATGAAAAAAGTTTGCCTTCAGTGCAAATTGAACGATGTAATAAACATGCTAATGAATGATTACGTATGGATAAAAGTTTGTTAATGCAAAATCACGTAATTAATGAAGAAATTTAAGATTTTGTTATTTATTTTTATGAATAAAATGCAATTTATAAAAACCGGCAAGAATAATAAAATAATTAAAAGTACAATAATATTAAAAAATAGGAGAGATAGTCCCGCGAGAAGCTACGGTGAGAAATATGTGAGATCAAAAGAATCTTATCTAAAATTATAAAATTTATAATACTAAATGTAAGTGATGCAAGATAAAAAATAGATAGAAGTTAAATAATAAATTTATTAAATAGCAAAAGACAAAAATACAGCGCAAAAGTTCAAAAGACATGACGGTCGAAAAATTCGCGGACATCTTTGAAATATTTTCGCACTGTTCCAAAATATTTTTCGATCATCGTCTAGTGTTACAAATGCTGTAATTGACAAAGCGAGACTTTGGTTTCCGCGGATCCTTCGTCAATCTCGCGAGAAACGGCCTTAGAAAGAGAGAAACGAAAATAAAGAGACCGAACGAGCGAGCATGTTGTACCTCTAAAATTAGAGCGACGAAGGAGAGAAGGGGACGGCTCCTTATAGAGCTTGCGACGCCGAGCTTGCGGCCAGGGTTAGCAAACTGGCATTTTCTCTTTCTCGCCTCGAAGTATCGGATTACGTCGGGAACATTGGTGCGCGCCATCCGGCCCATTCAACTTCGACTTTCTTCTCGTTTCCCTTTCCACGCAAGGTTCGGTTGCGCGTGCATTTTTCTACATTCGAGCATGTTTGCTTCTTACGCTCCCTTCAACCCCTCTCCACCTCTCTTCCACCCCTGGTTCTTCTGACTTCTGCAATACGTGAAACTATAATCAGTGAGGTGTTCAATTTTACATTCCTTCACATTTCTTTCTGTGTTCTTTTCCACTTTAAGTTTATCGTAGTGTTGATAAGTGATGTAAGTGACACTGGTGTAAATGAGAAATCGATTTCGATTAAAGATGATATCAAATTATGTCCGTGGTCTTAAATGCTGTAAAAGCTGTGATAGCGTACTGAGCGTTAAAAAGATAAAATTAACATTACGTAGAATATTTCGTTGTTCCTCTTTCAACTATTTTGCACAAAGATGTCAAAGGAAGTGTTGTAATACGCCACTCAACAATTTGAATTATGCAATTATATTTTGTGAAAAGTGCAGTGTGCTGCAGCTTTTATAAAAAATGCGATCTTATAACATTTAATATAAAAGAATGACATTTACTTAATCGCTTTATAATTCAATTTCTTTTTTATTAATTTTACAAGCTTTATAATTAACTTCTCGTTTTGTGTTGCAGTACCTTAAATAGCCGCCAACATGTCTGACGACGAGGACCAATACTCGTAAGTAATTGACGATAATTTATCAATCAATAATTTTTTTTAATTAATTGATTCTGCAAATTATTATCTATTTAGATTTGTAATTTTTAAATCGTTTATTTTAAAACTTGTAAATAATGCAAGTTCAAGAGTTCTTAAAACACTATGACATTAAAAAAAACATTTACGAAATGATATGATGGATTTATTAGAATTTAATAAAATGTTGAAAAAAATAGACTTGCATAATTTTCAAAATGAACGATTTATGGAATAATGTCTTTTATATGATATCGCTGTTCTCCGAGACGATTATCGTAAATCGAAATGCGAGAGAAAGATCAAGATATGCCCGAGACGATTTGCAGATTCGAGAAACAGATCTTTGTCAAAAGCAGCGATAGACAATATTTTGACGTTCGATGATTGTTGTCAAGTTATATAAAGCGTACTCAAGCAAAATAAATATCATTCACGTAAGATCGAACAGTGCCCATGATCTATGGCTTGGTCGTATTCCAATGTGCTGTTCTACACTTTTATCTAACTGTGCCGTCTCAATGTTCACCCCTTAGTGCATTTTTTAATGTCCCAATTGCACGAATTCCTTGATGAACAATTAAAATAAGAATCACAAATAGTTGTATAAATTAAAATATTATTTAGTGATAATTTTTTATGCCTAATTTTTCTTTTATTTTTTTTGTTCCTCCTTTTATATTTATATATTATATGCATTTCCGCTTTAAATTTTCGAAAATAGTATTGCCGTGCAATTTGCATGTATTTGAAATTAAATTATTTCAATTAATTATTTATTACTACAAGACACTTTAGTGTTTGAAAAGATTTACTACAAAACCGACATAGAAAAATTAGATTCTTTAAATTTACAAATAGTAAATAAAGTTAAAATTTGATGAATAATAGCACACTCAGACCATAAATTAACACTCGTGGAAGATAAGTAGTGTAAAAAAAACAAGAGCTTTTAAAAGAACCCTAAAAGCCTAAACCCCTAACTTGCAAGAGCAGCTCCCCAGGCCCCCCCCCCCTTGCCCCACCCCCGTTTGTTACACGTTTAAACAATTGCTCTCACCGTTTTCGCTCCGACTAACTAGACTTTTTTCCGTTTTCTCTTTTGCAGCAGCGAGGAGGAAGTCGAAGAAGTGTAAGTGCTCCTTTAAATTCCTTAATATTGCTCCTAGTGTCCTTCTAACGTTTGACTTGTTTCATTTTCTCATTTCAGGAAGTAAGTTTCAGAGGCTTGTAACGACTACTATAGCTACTGCGAAAACGCGTCGCGGTATTTTGATCTTTTTAAAGCTGTTCAATCTCGTAAAAGTCACGAAGTCGTTTTTCTTGCTAGTCGTGTGTATATAGATAGTCATATTTGTAGCAGATAGCATCAGTTTTAACCGAAATATCAAAATTAGCTGCTGCCTGATCCGATTTTTTTTCGTAAAAATAGAAGTGTGTTTTTAAAAGATACGGTGTTTCATCTGTAACATTGATCCAATGTTTTGCCGAGAAATATTTATAGAAATTCAAAAAGTTGCGTGCTGCAGATTAGAGTTGTTTTTTTCTTTCTTTTCTCCTTTCTTTTTTTTTGGAATAGTTTTTGTTGTAGTTGCAAAGTGCTTCTTTCGCTAAATTATTAAAGTATCGGATTAAAAAAAAGATTAACTTTGCAGTATTAAAATTGACTTAAGTTTTAAAAGTTTTGACAATAAAAATTTTAAATATTATATTTTCTCAAAGTCTAAGAAAAAATGAGTTAGATCACTGTTGCGCTGAATTTTGTTAATATTACGCTAATTTTATTTTTTTTATTTTTATTTAAAGTTAACGTAATATTACAAATAAAATATTTTAAGATCATACATCAAGTTCAAACTTACGAATAATAATTAAAAATGTTAATATTTTACAAAAGTTAGCTGCACAATTAACTTATTGTTAGAAATTAATAGAAATTAATAGCGAGAGAAGCACAGCGATGATTAATTGCCTTCCCATCTGCGCGCGTGCTACATATTAAATTATTCTCTCGGACTATGATTTATGAATTCCGTCTTCTTCTTTTTTGTTTATTCTCACTCCCTGTCTCTCTGTCTGTGTGTATCTCCACATACAACACACAAAACCAACCAACCAACCAATCAATCAAACCAACCACCATCACTCGTCATCGACCGATCGGCTAATCGACCCGCGCGGTACGATACAAAAAATGTCAAAATCAAAGGCAGCCGGAGAAGAAGACCGAGTAAGTTTTGCACACGACAAATACTAAACGTCTCTCCTTTTTTTTCGGCCAATAAATGGTGTGCATTTACGCACTGTCGTCAGTGTCGTTTACCAACTTTTTTTTTCGTTGTCTAATCGTTGTCTTGTCTTGATGTCGGTGTAATCTTTCACTGTTCGTCCGTTCTCTGTTGTACACTCTGTTTACTTTGTTTTCTTCATCTTACACACGTTGTGCCGCTGCAGTAATTTTTTTTTGCATAGAATTTTTGTAGCAGTATATTTGCTGGCTCTTTTTCTCTCTTTCTCTCTTTCTCTCTTTCTCTCTTTCTCTCTTTCTCTCTCTCTCTCTCTCTCTCTTCTCCAATTTCTTCCTTTTTTCCTTTTGTTTTTATTTTCAGTCTCTCCCTTCGTTTCCTCCCCTCACTATCTTTCTCTTTATCCATCTTTTTTTATGGAATAATTTTTATACAGTGGATAAAATAATATTTGCATATTTTATTTATTTTGGGGTACTTTTGCATATAAAAGAAGAATATTGCTGCAAAGTGATTATATTGAAATGTATATGTTATTTTGATTTGCACCAATGCATCGAGAGGCGCTTTTCAGTAACATTCTTTTTATTTTTTCTTCTTTTACAAGACTGTTTCAAAAAAGATTGTTGATGTGATCATTCTTGTTTTTCAACTTTTGGAACAATATATTTTGTATTCGCGGGTGTATTCGCTGTCTTCTTAACGTCTGTCTTGTGCCGCTGTTTGCGTCGATGGTTAAAAAACAACATCGCTACCGCGCTTTTCTATGTACAGACGATATATTCGCACACATATCTCATATATGAAACACACGATGTATACAATAATACACATGAGACCCTTTACAGAAACATTCGGACACAGGCTACTCATTATACTCGCAAAAGTATACATTTCTCACCCGCATTTCTCCATGCCTATTTTTGTCCTCGTCGTGCCTATCATTATATTTGTCGCCTAATCAGCCTCTGTTACTCGCATTACGGCAACTGGGCAACGAAAACGTTTTTGCAAAGCGCTACATACGAGATCCCTGTTGAGGAAAAGTAATGATGAGCCGCTTAATTGTGAAAGCAATGTACACCGATCACGCTCGCAATAAATGTTGAAACGAGACCAAATCTCGCTCAAATCAATCGAGCAGTTCAGATTTAGTTTGCACAGAAAAAAAAAAAAAAAATAAGAAAGAAAGGCGCAAGTTGGAGACGAGCGATACCGATTATAATTTACGTGCAGCTTTGTGCAGTCCTACGTAAGCGACGATCAGTCACACTATCTTATTAATGAATCTGTACTTTCTTTTTTTTATAGGGGTAGGGCATCCCAAAAGTAAGTTGAATATATCGAGGTGTTTACACGTCAATAATATACCTTCCCTGTTCTTCAACTGCTCTTTTCCCCAAATCCCCTTTATTCGCCCCTCAATTCGGTTTTCCAGACGTTGATTAAATTTAATCTTTGCGTAAAGACAGTCATTATTTCTTCTTTATTTACGAGATTTAATAAAGCAATTAAATTATTTGTAAGTTTGATGTTAACGAGCCATATTTAACAATGAGTAATGATCAGACGGACTTTTGACTCCTTTCTCGGGAAATTAAAGAAGGATAAAATGACAAGAAAATTACAATTAAAATTATCTGACGTCAGTGAAACCGGCTACCAGCCCCACAAATTTACATTCTGGCAGGAATGAGATCATAGGAAACGCTTCGACATTTCGTGTTACGATCGAACAGCGCGTTGTAAATTTGCCAATTTCTATCTATATCGCGTGGAGGATATGTTGTTTACAGAAACGAATCAGATAGCGCGATCATTGGCCTGCGATGACGACGAATAATGGAATATTTTCTGAAAGCGGTGTGTCAGCGAAATACATCGTTGGGCGACGCGTAAATATTCCATGGCGAGATTGCATAACATTAAATGCGCGACGATACTTGAGCTGTTTGGGAACTTGCCAGGCGTTTCATAAATATATGCACAATAACGTAACACAGTTTATTCTCAGACCGACGTCTGCTCAAAATGTACTACGCCCTAACGCCGACGTGATCTTATTGGCCGTACGATGCAATGTCTGCGTTTTCTCGCGAATTTTTCTTATTCGCACTATTCATGCCGCCGAAGCAAAATTATTTAATCAATCGTGGTAAAAATAGGACTTCGATTATTTGCAGATTTAATATTTTTTTCTGAATCGTAATCTTTCTAATTTATTTCACACTTTATGAAAATACAAATATAAATTTTGCAAAAAAAGTTTTAATTGCAATTTGCATTTTATATTATTATTAAATTCAAATAATGGTTTACGTGACGTTCTGGATCTCAATCCTGTCAATGATATCTAATCATTCGTTGTCAGTGTTCAAAGCCCCTCTCTTCCCCCTCGTATTACTTCATTTCTCTTTGGTACCCTCGCGTGTTTTACGTTTTGTCTCTCTGATTAATAACGAATTAACGAATTGTACATAATCACGTTTTTTTGTCCGAGTTACATCAAAGTGATGTTTTTACATTTCAAAACTCGTCATTGTGTTCGATTTCCCCTTATTAATTATGTTGATTGATACTTTATGCCATAATTGATCGACTCGCAAGCAATAATTGTAATATCCACACACGCCTGCAGATCCCATTAATAAATGGTTCTTACATCCCAATGGTATTTTTCGTAATAAATTGTTTAAAAATATTGAAAATTTTAATCAACGTTTTTAACTGAAAAAATATAATTGCAATTAAAAAAAACCATCGCAATATCTTCCTACATTTCACATTTTCTTCGAGCAATTCATTTTATGAAAAGAATTATATTCTTATGAATTTTGACGAATTGCGATTTCTAACTCGGAATCTAAAAATTCGAGTAAAAGTTAAATATTTCGAAAAACAATTTCGAACCGATACACACGAAATTGTTATTTCCCGATAGCTCGATAAGCTTGTTGTCTCTATATCTCTTCTGATTACGAATTCACCCAAGACAGGATTTTTCGCTACTTTCATTAATGCCTTCTTCCATGATTCGCTGGCGGTGCGCACTTTGGTTTCTTCTATCTACATGCTTGCACATTACTTGCCTTATTATCTGCCTTACTCTTCTATTCCCTTACTTTTTTTTTATCTACTATTTTCACTTTTTTTTCTCTCTTTTTCACATCGTTTTTGCCTCATCCTCTTCTGTTCCACTCTATTTTCTTTTTCTCTGATTTTTTGTTGATCCGTTCGTGTATCTATCTGTCTGACTGTTCCGCCCATGTGTTGTCTGTGTGTGTATACGTGCGACGAGCGGCATTGAATAATATGCACTACGAGAGAGAATGGATGGAGTTATAATAAAGTAGTGGAGATGGACGTTGAAAATCGCGTGTGGAGTCCTGGGGGATCTCGCGAGATCTTCCAGAGAGCGGGCTCAACCGTCTTGATTTAAAGAGAGTTACTTTTGTTTTTGCTGCGGCCGTCTTCAGGGAATCTGGCGAGAATATCGAGTTTATGAAGGTGAGTGTACTTGCAAATATTACATGTAATACTCACAATTTCCCATGCGATTATAATTTTATCAAATGATTTACGAAAAATAAAATATATTAATATACCGTTTTGTGTGTATTCTTGACATTGGGAAATATTGAGTTCTAACATGATTATTAAAACAGATACAAATATACATGCAGAATTAATATGTCATCAAAAATTCAGAGGCAAGAACAAAAAAGAAGTGACCTCGACGAACAGCTCAAAGAATACATAGCAGAATGGCGAAAGCAACGAGCCAAGGAAGAGGACGACTTGAAGAAATTAAAGGTATGATTACTTCTTTATACCATGTACTCCTTTTTCTAATTTTATACTCAATTAGTTCTGTGTCTAAAGAATGTATTCTGTTCAGGAAAAGCAAGCCAAGCGCAAAGTCACCCGCGCGGACGAGGAGAAGAGATTGGCTCAGAAGAAGAAGGAGGAAGAGGAACGTCGCCAACGTGAAATTGGTAAATACCTTAATCCGTATAATTTCCTCTTTTACATAAATTTAGAAGCTTAATCAAGCGTTTTAAAATTTTTAGAGGAGAAGAAACAACGTGATATTGAAGAGAAGAGAAGGTAGGTGTTTTATCTTTGAATCTTATCAATTTGTTTGTATAAAGTGTTTCATAATAGTATATAAATATTTAAAAAATTTATTTGCAAGATTATTTTGTGTAACAATATTGTATAAAAATAGAATCTACTCTCTTTCTCTCTCTAAATATAAGCAAATTTTTTATTTGTGTCAAAATAAAAATTAAAACAAAGAAAATGAAAATGGTTTTATGTAGAATTTCGATAAATAAATAAAGAACGACTAATTAGAATCAAAACATGAATATTTACGTTATAAATGATTGCTATAGCCTGCTTTAGACGATCTATAAAATGCGCGATAGAATTCGAGATAAAAAAACTATTTATGTAATAAGAAACATATAAAATATACCGTTCGTAAAATTATAAATAGAATTCTACTTCTCACTCTGTTGCGAATTATAGATCGTCTAAAGTAGTAGCTTTAGATAATGATCGCGAGAATGTAAAATTATTTATATGTCACTAACGGTGATAAGTGACATTTTTTGCAATCAATAATACTACGCATTTATTTATTTATGAAATGTGATATTTTTTCGCGATAGTTGGACATTTTTTTCGCGATCGTTATTCACGCGATCATCCATTATAAATATACATATATAGTCGCGGTTTAATATGCTTTTTCCATTTATCAAGAACAAATTAATTAAAATTGAAGGAACTGCAAAATTTTTGTCTTATTTTAGCGATGCAATTGATTTTAAACTTGTGTATATGTGAGTTTCAAATGAAACTAATGAAATTGATCTCTTGTGGTTACATAACTATCTAAAATATAACAAAAATTTGTATCAATACTTTTTAATTTAAAAATAATTTTCTCAACAAATTGAATTTTGTACACTACTTATGAAACACTTTTTACTACATTTTAAAATATTTTTATGCTTTGATTTATTCTAACTTATTATATTTTAGGCGCTTGGAGGAATCGGAAAAGAAACGACAGGCTATGATGCAAGCGATGAAAGATCAGAGCAAAGCAAAGGGTCCAAACTTTACCATCACCAAGAAGGATCTTGCGGTGAGTAACCGAATACTTTGTCGACTGCTTACAACAATTTAATCCGAATAACCTTTACGTAAATCTAGGGTAATCTTTCATCGGCGCAACTCGAGCGTAATAAGACGAAAGAGCAGCTCGAAGAGGAGAAGAAAATCTCTCTTAGCATTCGCATCAAGCCCTTGGAAATTGAGGGTCTATCTATTGACAAGCTTCGTACTAAGGCTACCGAGTTGTGGGAGTCCATTGTCAAACTTGAAACCGAAAAGTACGATCTGGAGGAGCGACAAAAGCGTCAGGACTACGATGTGAGTTTTTATGATTGATCGAAACGATTGTAAAAAATATTAAAAATTTCTCACTTTTATCTGAGCAACGTAAACTTATCGCATTTCTAATCAAATTAAAAATAACATTTTAAAGAAAAATTTCTTACTTGTTATAAGATTTTAAGTAGTATTAAATTTATAATAGAAAGAATGAATTTATATTTATACATATATAATATTTTAATACGCAATACGGCTTTCATAAAAAAAATAAAAAAATAAAGATGCGTTGATCATTCCGTTTGGAGTTGCTTGGACAAGAGTTTAATTATAGTCTATGCTATGTTATTGATAAATCGATATCGTCGCTTTATCGTAGCTTAAAGAGCTGAAGGAACGTCAAAAGCAACAACTGAGGCACAAAGCCTTGAAGAAGGGTCTCGATCCCGAGGCTTTAACTGGAAAATATCCCGTATGTAATTTCTTATATAATGTATTATCATATAAAAAAAAGGAAAATGGCGGAAGGAGATGACGGAGATTAATTAAAATATTTTCTTTTTACAGCCAAAGATCCAAGTTGCCTCCAAGTATGAACGTCGCGTAGATACTAGGTCCTATGATGATAAGAAGAAACTTTTCGAAGGTGTAAGTATACTTTGTTACTTTGTAAAACTTATTCGATGGTTTCCACCCAGAATACGATATTATACACCTTGAATTCTTTTTCGCAAACACTTATACGCCAGTCGAACACGCAGTATCAAAAATATCACCATATTATTGAATAAAATTACAAACTACAGATACTACAAAATAAAAGACATCAATTGTGAAGAAAAGTACGTAAAAATAGAAATTCTTGCCCTTTATAATAAACTGGCGAATGCGATAAGAATGAATCTACTTAAAGAACAGTGATCAGTGAGCATATGTCGATTGAATCACAGGGCTATGACACGCTCTTAGCGGAGCTGACCGAGAAAAACTGGAAACAGAGAAGTGAACAATTTCTGAAGCGCACCAAAAGTGAGTCCAATCGTGATCTCTCTCTGTCACTGTATCAACCCTTTTCTTGCTTGTCTTGTTGATTGTACCCTTCAAAATCATTGTCGACGATCGTGTTTCTAATTTCTTTAATTGTTCTTCGTTGACTAAAAAAAAAAGAAATGGTCAAGGTATCTATCAACCAAATTACTGTTGTGTTCGTGTTGTTTCGATGGTGTATATAAAAGCACGATATATCGTATTTGTGCTCACACATCGATAGCGATACGTTTTCACGTGCACTGCCAGCATGAGAGAGACGCGACAAGCAGTCACCACCTCAAAAATAATCTCGCTGTAATAACGTTGCCGACTTTTGTGAATTTGTCACTTCATGTCACTCCCCAAGAAATTGTATCATACGTATTTCCCCTTGATAGCTGACAGATGTTTGATTTATATTTCGCGTGAATTCTATATATTTATTTACGGACGTTATGAGCGAAGTATCAAAAACCATAACCCATTGAAGGATGGGACTCATGAGAGAATCTTTGTGATATTAATTCTGAACCATAACTCTCTGCCATAACTTCGCCACGGAGGGATTTTTACGACCCAGGAAAAGCAACAGTGCGGAGGGCAGGTTTCCCCGGGCGAAAGTTTTCCGAAGTGTGAGAATAACTCCTAGCATGCCATTCTGTCCATTGGTGTTTCAGGGTCTGACCGATCAACAGAAGGAGACCTTAGAGAAACAATGGGCTGAACAGAAGGAACAGTTCTTGGGTCGCCAGAAGAGTATGTATGATCTCCACTTTCGAGGCAGGCTTCGAGCAGGCATCGAATTAGGAGCTTTGAAAAAGCTTTCGATGCCCCTCGATACGTCTAAGTACACGCGCGAACGTACTGATAGAACTTCAGGATATTTTTTTTAATAATAATTAATTTAACATTATTACAAAATTATTACGATATTTGATATTATCGTGGTATTTGAAAATTAATTCGAAATTTGTTCCGAAAAGACAAGATTTTTACTTTAGCTGATATTTTAAAGAATTGTTAAAATTTTTTTCGATATAATTCAAAATTTATGTTGCATACGTGTATATGTGTGTATTTATATATACTTATTTTGTCATAATTTTATTGTAAAATTTGAATTAATCAATCTTGCATTTTTTTTTATTGTTATACAAACCTCTTGCTTTTTATGGATAACAGCGAAGTTACCTAAGTGGTTCGGCGAGCGACCGGGCAAGAAGCCTGGCGATCCCGAGTCACCCGAGGGTGAGGAAGACGTGAAGGCTGCCGTTGACGACGACCTCGATGAGCCGCAATTCGAAGAGGAGGAGGAAGAAGAGGCGGGCGAGAAGGAGGAAGTCGAAGAGGAGGAAGAGGAAGAGGAGGAAGAGGAGGAAGAGGAAGAAGAAGAGGAAGAGGAGGAGGAGGAGGAGGAAGAAGAAGAATAAAACTTCTAACTTGCTTCGGCATCTTTCACAAATATTAAAAAGCGTATTTCAAAAAAAAAAAATTGATCATCGCACAGTTTCGTTAACGTATCTCGAACCGTCGAACGTAGTCAGTGGCGAGAGTAGAAATGCCTGTACGTCTGCGACGTCTTTTATCCACTTCCGGAAGTGCTGCAGATCTTCGTCGCCATCCTAAGCGTCATCGTTAAGCTTTTTCTCAAAATTCCAACGCTGAGTTTGGGACGAGACGGATGCTACTTCTGTAGTAGACCATACTATTACCGTATGTGGACTGTCACTTCTATTCATTGCGCGGCTACTACTATTACTACTACTACTATATCTATTATTATACTACTACTACTCCTATTGTAATTGTTACTATTGCTACTACTACTACTACTTCTGTTACTATTATTATTATTATTATTGTACAAACGCAGGCACACGAGTCATTAAAATAAAACGGTTTATCATATAAAATCCGTTACGAGCATGCAGAGTTTCGCGCGCCCATACAGCATGTACTTACCATCCCGAGTTCTGCGTTCTTCGATAAACAAGAACACATATAACATAGTAAAAGCATCTATCCAAAAAGAAACACACTGATTCAATAATATTCTTCAAACCAAATATTTTCCCCCGCAATAATTCTTCACGATTTTGAAATATTCTCAAGTTTCAAAATGCTTGATGTTAATTCGATGTCAATTCGAAGTGCATCGCGTCGTGCAATACTTTTCCAGTCTTTAGCACAAATATGATGTGTCGACCTTGGCTATACGGATATGCTGATTCACTTGCGGCTTTGATTATCAAGATATTGCAATAATTACGCTTTGACGTCATAATGAGTATATTAACGAAACAATGCGTAGTTATATTAACAACAGTTTCTCAACGCAAAAAAATTTAATGACTTAAATATTTCGCGGCGGGTCATTTTAAATGAATGTGATAACAAATAATTTCAAACTTTTTAATTTTGGACATAAAAGTTCCAAGTTTATTTAAAATAAAGAAAATTGAAATTTAGAATAAAGAAAAATTTTCTTTACTTTTATACAAACGGTATATAGAACCAGTCCGTTACTTGAACCGAGATTCACATAAATGTGGGAATAATTACTCGGAAATAGCAGCGGTGCGCAAACGAGCCAAAATACGATGCCAAAAAGAAATCAACACATCGGAAATAGATTTTCGTCGGAGACGGCTCGCGACTCGATAAAGTGAAGCGAACAGAATCGTGTCACGTGAGCCGAGCAGAAACGGACGCAACATCATTCGTTATAAATTACAATTGCAGGCAGGTTTGCGGATGAGAACAATGATACGGTGGCACGAGGACGGAACGAAGCAAGCGGTGCGATTAGCAACGGAGTCGATCCGCTGCTCTTGTTAGTGATTAATTGTTCACTTGTCTGCTAAGTCCACCTAAGTAAGAGTAGTAGAGGAGCTAAGCAGTACCTAGGAAGATTAAATCCTCGCGTATCAGTAGCATAACGACCAGATATTCGCAGAGTTTATTTAAAAAAAATATATACAAGTAGTTATATGTATGACGAATTGGGAAAACAGTTTGTACTTTCTAAAAAAAAGTGTAATTAGAGCAAAAAAAAAAGAATAACAAATTTCACGAATGTAAAGTTCAAGAGCGCAAGTATAAAATTACACGTTTATGTTTGTGTGATTAATAATATGCTTCTATACGACAGTTCGCGAGCACGAGCTTCTCAATTTCGAGAGACTCGTTTAAAGTTCAATCCAAGTTTAGATTCGTCGCCCACGCGCCCGTACACGCGACAAGTCTCCTCAGGTGAACCCGCTCAAATCATTCTCTCGAGATGTTCGAGTCTATCGCTAGTCTGACGTGTCGCTATTTCCCGCCGGCTTGACCGCTGTCCTCTTTCCTCGTCCCCTCTGTTCATTGTCGCTCTCGCTCTTTCCTCGTCTGTTATACTGGCTTGTGAGCCTCTTGTCGTTTCGGTCGCAACTATTTATAATGGTAAGCCGCCGGAGTCCTCGTATTCCTCGAGATCACACGCGTTCTCTCCGCGCCTCTGCGGTTTTTCATCCTACGTCTGGAGAACGGTCCTGTTTAAGTGCATTAGCGTCATTAGTAGTGCAGCCTGCCAAGAGCATTCGTCTGTGTGCGCCAGACTGGCCTTTCCAAATTCCATTCACTTTAACCGAACTTTAACCGAACAAAATGACCAGACGGACAACCGTTGACTCATTGCATCGCATCGCGTCCGCATCGTCTAGGACGTCAGTGAGAGTTATCGCTGCGTATCGCCGTAGATACTAATTGACAAATGTCGCCAAGAGCCTCCCCTCCCCCCAAGTTAGAATATTAAGTGTTACCTAACAGTGCAGCCGAGTGTTAAAAATGCAAATGCAAGTCGATGCAAGCGGCTGGTACTTGAGCGCGTTCACCTGAGGTCGTCCGAACGATCGAACAAGTGCTGATCTATTACTCGACGCGTGTGTTTCGCGACATGCAAATGTTCGTAACTAACGGCCGCGTGTTTGCGAGAGCGTATCGCTTGCTGCGGCGTTGATCGCCATCGTGGCCAAGGCGGCGTTACGCGATCCTATCTTTGGTGTGATCATGTTGATTACGAAAGCCGGAAAAGGAGGAGCGACGGCGTGCTGATACGGTACGGCTCGCTGACGAGAGAGCCGCTTTCAATGAGGTAAGCGACAATCGACCTCCATCCTTCGATAATGGGATCGATACACCTCGATTGTTCCTCGCTTGAAATAAAATAAAATGGTAAAAGAATTGCAGCACGTATTCAAATATGCAGGAAGAGATTGATTTTTAAGTGGAATATTAAATAGAGGAAAGACAAATCGGAGTTCTTAACATATTATTTCTATCATCACCTAAAAATAATTTATTTTTGACTAGCAAACATTGTAAACAACAAAATAATTAAACGCAATAATTTGTCAATATAACTCAAGAGATGCAGAAATCGTTAAATCATTAACGATGTCTATTCAAATCTACGAAACTGATATTTATGATAAAACAATGGAATTAACTCTACATTGTACAGAAATTTATCAACATAATATTCTCTTTTCTTTATCATATTTTATTGTTAATTATTAGTTACTTGAAACTTGAATTAAATGTCAAACGCTAAAAATAAAAAATCATGCAATGTAAATCAATGCAATATATAATCGCATTGTCAAATAATCTATATATAATCTAATTCGAAATACATTCATATTTTGATATGTATTTTTGTTGTTATTTTTCGCCTCACGTACAATACGTCTACTATTGTTTAATGCATGCGCATATAGATAAGCGATAATGCCATTTATGGCATTATGGAAAATGGAATTGTGACTTTGCAAGTCTTCAGAAGCCATAATAAGCAAGGTAATACCCCGAGCTGCTTCTTCTAAGTTAGTCATGAGAGACCAAATGATGGAATTGTAGGACTCAAGAGTGACCAAATGTTTACTAAACGCTTTGCTAACGAAAAGCACATTGGAAAAATTCGTTTATGGATTTTTTTTGGTTTAATTTCCGAAATTTTGTAATTGAATTTATTCAGTTTGTGTAAACTTGAAACTTGTCGACGATATGGCAGAGGAAGAAAATAAGGAAAATGCGGAGAAATACGAAGAAGATGATACAATCGAAGAAGGGTGAGAATCGTAAATTTTTTATGATGTACTTTTTTGTACGTAAGAGTGGCGCATTTATTTTAACGCATAAATATTTCTGAGTTGTACAAAATTAGCATATGATATGAGAGGAATAACAATAAAGAGATTATACTTTATTATTTCGTATTATTCTTTCCATTGCGATTAAATTTATTTCTAGTAGTTTTTATAGCTGTAGATATATCTTTTTGCAAATTTTTTTTTTTAGTTTAAAATTAATGCGTCGTATTTTTTTGCTGATTTTAAATTGCTTGTACTATGTTTGTTCATTCCTTCCACAGCAACGAAGGTAAGAGCAAGAAATACGGTCTTGTTCACATTGAACATTGAGCAGTTATCTTACAATTTATTAATTATAAATATATATTTCTTTATTAATAGATATTTCTTTATTTAAAATATGCGAAGTATATTCTTTAACAAACAACAACCAGGATAAACGTAGAATGTATAATTAAAAATAACAAGATTTTCCGGATTTAAGGAAGATTTTTTTCATAATACATAAATCACAAGTCCATATAAACGAGAAAACCGGTTACTTGCTCACATTGACATAGTATCGTTCGTTTAATGCTGAATCGAGCAGCATAGTCATGGAACCATGACATTTGCTGACAAAACTTAAATATTAATGAGAATGAATTTTAACGAACCTAAATTAGTCGCATAACATACAAATCTGACTAATTTTAATTTATAATTAATAAATTTAACTATAAGATAACTGCTCAATGTTCGTGAACAAGACCAAATTTCTCGCTTTTACCTTCGTTGCTGTGGAAGGAGTGAACAAATATAGTAGAAGCATATACGAAGGAGACGGGAGCGAGACTTAAACAGTTTCGTGATCTGTCTTGGTTTCAAACGCAGACACGTTGTCCAAAATTTCAGTGTAGTTTTTGTTTTCTTGTGTTTATATTATCTTATATTTTATTTGCCTGCATTTTACGATATTATTTAATAGCAAATACGATTTTGAAAAGTGCATTAACCAACACGTCATTTGGAATATATATATAAATAGAATATATATATAAATAATATTGCATTCTTGTTCAATCATCCTTGACAGAATCCTTGAATAAAATAGAGCGGCATAATTACATATTATTTCATAAGACGTAAGACGTTATCGTGTGTGTGTGTGTGTGTGTGTGTGTGTGTGTGTGTGTGTGTGTGCGTGTGTGTGTGCACGCGTGTGATTCAGTCAGAAATGAAAATAATACTACTGACTTCAATTACGGCCAGTAGCAGGATAAAGACGCGTGGGTGACAGTCACTTGGTGATACGTTTGTTGCTGGAAAAGTGGTAAACAGGTGTGTTATTACGCAGAGATGACATAATTCGCAGTTGCGAAAGAGCAAGAGTGTTGCGGACGATATTCGTGCCTGCAAATATTTGCGCGTTTTTTTTTCTTATATATCAGTTATACGCGCTGATAACTTGGGGAAACTGACTGAAGATGACTATCGATTGGCAGTGTTTAAAATATTGTTTGAAATGTGAATCAGTAAATAAGCCGCCGAGAGAAGAAGTAATCGTAATAAGAATCACGTAAGTTACTGATTTATATGTATCACATTACATTCTTATAATTAATCTAATTATAAGACTCATTTTCGTTGCGATCAATATCATTTACGCAACTATAGTATTTTTATATCAAATTTGTAATTAAAAAATTATGTTTGCCCCCTATTTTATAAAACCCAAATTTTCGTACACAATCGACATATATTTTATCAAGTTTATAATAAATAAAACTTGTTAAAACACTAAAAATTGCGCTTTATACTTTACATTTCTACTTTAGAAAACAAAAGTAGTAATTATTTATGTTAGAACATTTTCTATAAAATGATTCACCGAATTGCCTGCTAGAAATGTTATTTGAATTATTTTGACTTAAAAATTCAAAATATTTTTATTTAAAATGATTCGAATACTTAAGCCATGCACGTCTTCGAATCGCATTAGATTCTAATTTATGTTGCTAAATCCATCGACTATATAGCGCGTGTAATTACACGCGCAGAATTACACAATTACATACACGATAAGCTAGTAATAATGCTTAAAAATTCCTACTTTAAATTAATAACGATACTTTGAATTTTCGGAAGATCCATCTACAAATTTCTTTCCTACACTGAGCAGTCGGCCATTGCCATGCCAATTGATTCTCTAGAGGAAACGCGTAAAACGAAGAAACGTAAACATTATAGATGCTATATTTTTTATGCTAACCGTATACCACCATCTGGGCATTTGCTCGTGTGCATTGTAGGTTGCTCGAGTTGGTTGCTCCGAAGCTAGGACAACGGGTGCATTTCGCGGAGGGCACGAACTTAAGATGCCGCGAAGATCCTATACCGTCTGATTCGAACGAAAGGTTAGCAATTACGGATTTGAATAGCGGTTTTCTTTTTAAATAAAAATCTTTTTTTTTAATTTTTAAACGAAATAATTTTTTAATCAATTATCTATCTTTAAAATATAAATTTAGTTCGATTTTTTTGAATAACTCATATAAAAACACATTGCTAAATTTTTCGCACAAAATTTGTTAAATTAAATTATACCTCGGCTTGATAAAAGTATATTATTATAATAATAAAATTTTATTTTATTTGCAACCGACATCGCGTCTTATTAAAAGTTTTGTAAAAAGCTATAAGATTTAACATCGATAGTATAATTGCAATTTTTGTGAGTCGTTATACGAAAAGTTTATCTAGTTTGCAAGCGAGATTTAAATAATATTGAACTATGAGTAGTGAACAACGAGAAATTTGGATTAATATTTGTAGAAATGTTAAAGAATAAAGTTCAAATGTATTCATTATTTGAATGAAAAATGAGAAATATATTTTTGTTTTATAAGGAAGGAGCTAAATGTGGGTAAAAATAATATTTAACATCTAACAAAAAATTTTATTCAACTGTCCGTCTGCGATTTCTACGAATTTTTGATATGTTATAATATAGATTTTTAAAAATATACATTTTTTTATTATAAATTGCTTTAAAAGCTATAAAAATGTTTCGAAAAATACGTGTATTATTTTTTAATCTATAAATTACAATGTATCCAGAACTTATCAAAATCAAGGAATGATAGTTCGATATATTCTTTTGTGGGACAATTTTAAACTGTACTAAATTTTCAATATCCGACAATATTTTTCTAAATAAAATAAGATATTACGAAATACGATATTCAACTATTTATCTCAGATATTTTAATAATACGAATACCTGATACCAATACATCTGACACCTTTTGACAATCGCTGGTCTCATATGGATCGTGTTTCTCGCACTTTTCACCTTACGAACTCCGTTTTCTGGTCGCACTATCCGGCCTACGTTATCGCGCGCATGGCACTCCGCGAGAGGTGATCTGTTGGAGAGCGCATGAGCACGGTAAGGGATGATGGTAGAGGCTAGACGGAGGATGGAAACGCACGTACAACCCCCTCTGCGCGCACTCTCACCCCTTTCGATATCGGTCATCGACGAGCCCTGGCCCGCTGGTAGTCCGACCGGCAATCTCGCCACGCCGCGTCGCACCGCGCTACGTCGCGCTAGCGTCGTCTCTTGGGGTTATTTGTACGCGCTGTTGCGGATCGCGAAGAACGCGGCGACGTATCGGAGGATCTCGAGATTCCGAATGCGAAAATTTCGAAAAGGCCCACGATCGAGGAACGGAAATCTTGAACGGGAGAGGACTGCGATAAATTTGTTCTTAGCGTAACTTGTGTGCGGCGCGTAAGTGCTCCCGCAAACTTTAACAATGCCTTTGTTTAAAAGATCTTTATGAAAAAATGAGATAGGGAGAGGAGAATGAGAGGAACGGACCTCGAGAGCGATGAGAGCGGAGCTGTGCGCGAATTTCCTCGACGGGCTGTGTACTATCGTTGATTCCATGTATGGATCGGCCGACGTGGCGAAGGTCGCTCAGCTTATTGTGCCTCGTTGCTGAATATTGTTTCGCAAAAGCGCTAATTTATTTTATTGTGATACCCGGAAAAGTGATCCCGATCGATGCGATCTGATCTTTCGACACTACGACGCGCTTTTGGCATCAAAGAATCGATCGTCCTGAAAAAATCCAAAGAGCTTTGACTTTCAACGCCGGAAATTGTGCCATTCGATCGTCGATATCGTCAATATTCGATGACGTCGTAAGCTTAAAACTTTGAAGACGTTTGCCACCGGAACATCTCTCAACTGTGTCATGAAAATCAATCGATTTCTGCTTTCAAAGTCACCGAGGCTCAATAACGTCTCACGCTGCGGCGGCAGTGCTCACGACCTCCTATCGGTGAGCATCGACGGCGTTATCACGCGCACACCGTGAAAATAAATTCCGACGTTGGAAAACTCGATCGATTGTGCTAGTCACTCAAGAGAAGAGAGAGCCGCGCTGTGAGGGCGGTAGTTGACGAGAGAGAAAGAGAAAAAGAGAAAGAGAGAGAGATAGAGAGAGAGAGAGAGAAGAGAGAGAGAGGAGAGAGAGAGAGAGAGAGAGAGAGAAGAAGAAGAAGAAGAGAGAGAGAGAGAGAGAGAGAGAGAGAGAGAAAGAGAGAGAGAAGGGGCGAGAGAAAGTGACTGAGTGCGAACTCATTGAGAGTAGGTGCGAGGGTGGAGAAATACAGAAAAAGGAACGAACGAGATGGTGGAAATGAAAGTTTGTCCGCCTCGCAATAGCATAAAGTTTATCGAGATCGTTTTCACCGAATGTCTGAGCTTTTGTTATTAGTTTTCGCGCTGGTCGACGCACCCAATGTGAGTTGAATGAAATACGGACACAATGTAATTTGAATAATTCTAACATATACGTAAGGAGCATGCGAATACACGCGCGGCTCCGGCGCAACATCGATTGGCAACGAATCGGGATCGACGATGGTCAGAAATTTCTATAAAATTCTCAGCGTAACATCACGTATAGACGGATCCTGGAAGCTGCTTTAAAAATAAACCGCCCTCCGTGCGCACCATCAGGAGAAAGGATTGCGACGGATTTTGGCAAACTCCAAAGTATTTCTTCCTTCTCGACATCAACGATCATCGATATAATTTCAATATAATTTTTCTATTGCGAGCTAACAATTGCGAGATCCGTTTAAAAATTTTAGAGGATTCTTGAGGACTCGAGGATTTCATACAACAACGACGGGCGAAGGTACTTAGGATGGGCTGCAAATCGGCAGCTGAGTCCAATCTGGAAGAAGAGACGACCGCAACGTCGTCGTCATCATTGTCCTTCTCGAGGCGCAAGCAGGCGATTCAAGAACAGGGAGAGAAGCGCGACGGTGTTCAGGACGAATCCGATCTCGACGGCGAAGAAGATAGCGCGACGACCGCTCGTGTCTCGGCCGGATGGTCGTTGAAAAGCAGAACGACCGATAGCGTGGCAAACAGTGTTGGCAGGTAGCTATCAGGCGAGAATGCAGAAGCTGCGCTCGACTTTCAAGAGGTCGCGCACTCCCACGGGAGCCGAAATGAAGACCCAATCTAGCCTCGAGGTGCCCAAGCAGATCAGATCGGCCTCCTTCGACGAGATGCAGCTGCAGCCGACGCGGCAGGACGACGGCAGGGACACGCGTACGAATTCCTCGTCGTCCTCCGCGTGTTCTTCCACGAGACTGCAGGAACGCCGGCGATCGGCAACTCTGAAAGTGCCGCAACTGTACACCAGTCAGCGTTCCAAGAGCTTCGACGCGTACTCCGGGAGTTCAGGATCATCCGCGAGCCAGCAACTCCTCGGCTCCTCATTCGATCGACCGGACACGCCAATCATTCAGGTCTCCGGATGCTATCATTGTGCCTGCGTGGAGGAATACAGAACTCTCTGGCTGGGCGAGGACATCTCCAAAGAGGAGGTCGACGAGGCTGACAGCGGCACGGATCTCTCCGAGAATGAGTCGGATCACGAGGACGAATCGAAGAGGGAGGGCAGTCCGGAAATCACGGTCACCTTAACGTCCGACGACGACGTGCAAAATGAATCATCATGCGTCATGTCGCCTACAGTAGAAATCGCGTCCGAGCTGAATTCCGAGGTCAAAATAGAGTTTCCGGAGAGGCAACGCAGACGATCGCTATCCAGGCAAGAAGCTCTGACCACCTTTCCTCTAGAGCTACCTACTATATTAGCTATTAAAGAGACGGAGACGATCAGAACGAGCATCGAGATAGACGACGATGACGACGACGAGGAGAACGACGTCGAGCCTGCTCAGTCCAAGTTTATCGTGCGGGACATTTTCCTGACCGTGCCGGAGCTGAAAAGAGACCGCGCCGCCTCCGTGGACTCGTGTTTTAACAATAACAAGAACGGGAGCATCGCCGACGCGGACTTGCTTGCGGTGCCGCAGCAGAATACCAGGTCAAAGAGCGTCGACATCGTGCTGCCGACGGACACGCGGACGAGATACACGGCGTTGCTGCCTGGAAAGGAACCGCGACCTTCGATAGGGTGGGTACGTCTGATTGATGGAGCCGCGAGACCAGCGAGTTGTGTCTATGTGTCACGCGACACATTAAGAAAACACACGTTAATTGCCTTAATTACGAATTCACGATAAATTTAAACTGTTATGCAATATGTAAATTAAATTGTTTGAAGTCTTTTAGTTGTTTATCTTAGTTCTTGCATCATCTTCGTTAATGCTCTCTAATTATAGATTTTAATCTACGTTGTTGTTAAAGAAGATGATAGAAGCATAAAAGAAAATATTGCAACATTGAATTTTTCAGAATACATAAGAATTATATAAATGTAAAACAATTTGCACATAATATCTTATACTTCTATCTTCTTTCGTCTATTAATTTTTTATTTATATTAAATTTAAGCTTATTGTGTTTTTATGATTAATTTAAAAAATATAAATTATTTCTACATAATTCTAAAAATCTCTGAAATTTTTGTTAAAAATCCTCAAATTTCGCTATGCAGATTGATTTATGCGCTTTTCATATTACAAATACTTACGTTTTTCTGCTTATTATTATTTATTTTTTATATAAGTTATGTTTTATATAACTTTTGCCATATAATATATAAAGAATGTGAAAGATAAGCAGAAAACAGAAAAACTTTCTGGCATTACGCTACAGCTTGTATATCTTTACTCTATTTATGATTCCACTTAAAAAGGGCACGTAGCGCTACATTATGTAAATCGCACGCTATATCGCACTCAGCGGACGTCCATAAATCAGGACGCCACTACGGAGTTTCTCTAAAAGTGTGTGATTACATATTAAAGACAAAGTACGTCCATTATCGTGGACGTTGGATACGCGAGGGAGTTAAATATTTAGAAGAGAGATATTGATCGAGGGTGTAAAAGTAAATTGAAGTATTGCACACACCTTTCGTGCGCCATAATTATGATCGTTCATTATTTATCATCACGCATATGTGCGATATTTCACGTGAAAAAAGCTCCTTTGTAAAAGTGACAGAGTGAGCATTAACTATTTATATTCAAAGTTTGTATATTTTGCTCTTCCATCATGGAAAACTAGATTTTAATTATTTAGAAGAGCGCAAATCTTTGATGATGCCTTTATGGGTTTCAAAGATATGACACGATATTTTCCCCCGGTGTTTTTCAGCCTTCGTAAAGCACGAACGTAATGAAATTTAATTATGTACACAGATGTATATCTCCCTTTCCTACATTACATTCTATTTTTATGATACAAATAAGTTTTATAATAAAATGCAAAATTACCAGATTAATTTATAACCGGAATAATTATATCGCAGCTTTTTATCAGAGTGTGCGTGCTAAATATTAACTGAATTAAATTAATTTTTTTCTATTGTGCTAACACGCCAGAAGGTTAAATTCTGCAAGAAATTCTACGAGCATTTGATGATTCTAGAGGGAGAGAAGATAGCGTAGAAGATGACACAGGCGGTGGCTCGAGTCAGCGTGAGCCCCGATCGACACCAGATTGGGGTCCAAATGCGTTCAATGGAGAACATCTTTGGGTACCAACCGCCACATCCGGTGATTTCTGTTACGTTAACGATTGTTCTGTAAGTTCCAAAAATGTGCAGAAAAAAAAGACGCTTTAAAAATTCAAGACTTCCATTATTCGTCTAATATGCGAGATAATTATTAATAATAACCAATAAAGATATTTCTGAATTATCTGATAAATATAAATTAAACATAAATCTAAATATTAACCTCGATATCTTCTTTTTTTTTTCTTTAGAAACACGGACCCCGGTTGAAGTGTCCGGCTTGTCGAGTAATAGCCCACGCCTGCTGCGTAGGAAGTTTAGAATTCGCCTGCAAGCCGAGTTTTCGTGATGTAGGCGTGCGTCAATATCGCGAGCAAACGACAACCCATCATCACTGGGTTCACCGACGATCCCAGAAGGGCAAATGCGCCAATTGCAGCAAATCCTTCCAGTCAAAGCTTAGTTTCAGCTCCAGAGAGATTGTTGCAGTAAGCTGCAGCTGGTGCAAGGCTGCTTATCACAACAAGGAAGCGTGCTTTAACGTTCAGAAGATCGGCGAAAATTGCGAGCTAGGCACCCACGCGTCGATCGTGGTGCCGCCGTCTTGGATTATAAAACTTCCACGAAAAGGTAGTTTTAAAAGTAGCCTGAGAAGATCGAGAAAGAAAAAGTCCGGCAGCGGCGGAGCTTCTGGCCGTCGAAGAAGCAGAGAGAAAGAAAAAGAGAAAGAGGAGAAAGAGAAAGAAAAGGGTCAGGAAGAGATGTGGATCGTCAAGCCGATACCCACGGCTACGGTGAAGCCGGTCTTAGTCTTTATAAATCCGAAATCTGGTGGCAATCAGGGCGCGAAGTTACTGCAGAAATTCCAGTGGTTGCTCAATCCGAGACAGGTTTTCGATCTCACGCAGGGTGGTCCGAAAATGGGGTAAGTAAGCTGCTTTCCTGAATGTCGTGTCAAAATAAAATTAACAATAAAATTAATAAAAGTAAAATAATATGCTAACTGTAGAGAGAACATTACGGAAAATTATTTTCTATGATTTTGAAAATAAATCCAATACATAGCTATATAAAAAGGACGAAAAAAAAAACATTTTACTAAGAAAATGTAAAATATTCTGTGCAGACTGGAACTCTTTAAGAAGGTTCCGAATTTACGCGTTTTGGCTTGCGGCGGCGACGGTACGGTCGGCTGGGTTCTATCGATTTTGGATCAGATCGGTGCCTATCCAGCGCCAGCGGTCGGAGTACTTCCTCTAGGCACCGGAAATGATTTAGCGAGGGCATTAGGATGGGGTGGTGGTTACAAAGACGAACCGATCGGAAAGATTTTAACGAGCATAGGCGACAGCGAGACCACTCTGCTGGATAGATGGCAATTACAAGTTGAAAGAAATCCCGACGCCAAGAACGACGACGACGGTGGAAAGGGCAAAGAAAACTTGCCGCTCAATGTCGTCAACAATTACTTTTCTCTCGGCGTAGACGCTCACATTGCTCTTGAATTTCACGAAGCTCGAGGTAAGACTTGATCTTAATTTTTTTGTATTAAATTTTTTTTTAAATTGTTGAAACGACAAATTTATCACATTGTGACGTTGATTCAAGTAGGAATTATATCGATTAAATATTGATTTTGATTAGATTTTGTGTATAAAATCTCATTTGACAATACAAACTTGTTGCAATTGTAGAGGCTCACCCGGAGAAGTTTAACTCCAGAATGAGGAACAAATTATTCTACGGACAGATGGGCTGCAAAGACTTGTTGCTCACAAAATGGAAAGATCTTTCGGATTTTGTGACGCTGGAATGCGACGGTCAGGACATGACGCCGAAATTGAAGGAGCATCGAGTTCATGCTATATTGTTTTTGAATATCGCTTCATACGGTGGCGGGACGCATCCGTGGAGCGCAGGAAGTGGCACTAAAGAACCATCTATGGATGATGGCTTGATTGAAGTAGTCGGCTTAACCACGTACCAGCTACCGCTTTTGCAAGCTCGCGGACATGGCACTTGTATAGTACAATGCAGCACAGCCAAACTGGTTACGACAAAGACTATACCGATGCAGGCAAGTATCATAAATTTGCATTAAATATTAACATTATTTCGACAGTATTTTATTTTTTATATTCAAAATATTCTCGAATTATTTTATTATTAATTAATTTTTTATTAGAAATCAATTTTTTATAATTACAAGATATTTTTTAAATGTCATTTTTTATCAATTTTTACGAAACTTTAATTTTTAGTCAAATATTTTACTCAATAAAATAAATTTTAACATGTCACCGAGTATATACATTGGCAGAAATTCTATTTTGGTTAAAGAAATTTATCTTTAAAAATTTTTAATGGTATAATTATTTTCTATAGTATACAATTTAATTTTTGATAATATTGTGTAGGTTGACGGCGAAGCCTGTCGTCTGTTACCATCCATCATAACTTTAAGTATGTTAAACAAGGCTACGATGTTAGCGAAAAGAAGGAACACGGGCAAACCTCATCAAAATCCAGCAAGATTGGAACGGTTAAAGTTGCCTGTAATGAAGATAAAAATGTCAGATTATGAAACACATCATCATGATAAGGAGACATTGAAGAAAGTGGCGGAGGTGTGGGTGACGGAACCGCTTGATCTCGATGCTACAACTGATCTAGAGACCCTGAGAAAGCTCTTAGTGAAAGATTATAATATGGATGCTTGCTGCTTTCTTGATTGTGAGTGTTGCTTCATGCAAATTATATGCAAAATCTATGTGCATACATTTTCCATGCGAGAGTATAGGTAAGATTGATTATTTTCCAGCATGCACCACGGAAAGATTCTTCAGGATCGATCGTGGCCAGGAGCAGCTGCATTATGTAACGGATGTTGCAGCGGAGGCCGTTTACGTTCTTGATGAAGACGCTTTTCAACAATCCGAGGGCAAAGCTGGACCGAGCCAAATCATGACGAATCAAGAAATCGAATTTACGCAAACTCATTTACCGAGGTATGCAAGGTATCTCTGTGCAAGCCTAGCGTTTATATTTTTTTTTTCTCTGAAATATGTGATACGATATGATATAGCGACGAACGTCCAAAGGATATGCCAGCCGTGACAAAGGAGGAGCAGCGATCGATTTCGAACGAATCTAAAGGCATACAGGAGCAGAAGGAGCCCTCCAGGTTTTCCAGGCAGTTTGATGAGAAAACCGATAGCCAAAATGCCAAATCTAAGAATACAACGAGCCGGAACTCTGTGGATGTGTCACCCAGCGAGGATATCAAATCCAATTCTCTTATAAATCGCGAATCCTTGAAGCAAGACTCCAGTGTCGCAATCGCTACTGCTGTTCAGTCGCATCAGATTGATCGACCTCTTACTTTTATCAGGTAAAAAATTATTAGAACTATCTCAGTATCTTTAATTATCTAAATAAGCGACACGACCGAAAGGAGCTTTAGAGAAGCTGAAAATCATACTGGCGATAAATAATATAGACCTTTCTTCCGCGCGATTGCCTTTTCGAAGGTGTAAAATATATTTTTGTGTTATGACTCAACGCGTTATATATTAACATGAATCAATACATAAACTCTTATTCAGCCATTGCAAACAAAATTATTTCCACTTGAATACTTTATTTGGATAATAATTATTATTTAATAATTTAACAGCAAGTAATTGTTATATGTATACCATTCTAGAAATAAATTTGACAGCAAGAAAATTAGTTAATCTCATCCAGTTTAGCCTTCCGAGTGGCATCTGCATCGAAGACGTATACAGCTTCCGCAATAATTTAGATCTTGATTTTATTTGCAGCCCTCGCGACAGACTCTTCAGTCTGAGCTCGGGAGTTCACAGATTTAGCGCCGAGTTGCTCGAGAAAAACTGCGATGACATACTGAGAGCGGCGAAGATCGGTGATCTCCCGACGTTGAAGCAACTTAATCAAAAGGGCTACTCGCTCTTGTCGATCGACGAGGCTGGCCAAACGGCGCTTCATTTGGCGTCGAGACACGGCCACAAGGACATTGTCAGATATCTTATTGCCTGCGCGCCACCGACAATTTTAAACATGGTTGATAATGACAAGTGAGTATTTAACGCGCCGATCGAAAATCTATGATTAAACATCGAATTGAAAGTCGAATAATATTTATTTTAACACACGTGTATTTGATTTGAAATAATATTATTCTAATTTCAGAGGACAAACTGCTTTACATAAAGCAGCTCAGAATAAACGTCGTTCCATTTGCTGTATGCTTGTGGCTGGTGGTGCTTCTTTGATGGTCAAAGATCGGCACGGCAACACGCCGCATCAACTCGCGCTGATCGCGGAGGATCACGATCTAGCAGCGTATCTACAAAGTGAGTAAATCGCGAAAGCATTTCCATAATTTTTAATTACGAGATAATTAATTCACTTTGAAATATTCGACACTTTTCGTTGCGAAAGTGAAAGATAGAGAAAACTTGTTATTGATCTTTCAAACGTGAAACACAACTCTAAAAGCATGCAATTACGCCGTTTGTAACAATGCCTGTGTTACTAGGTCAAGAACACTTTCAATTGGCGACGGACGAGATGGAGAGCGATCTCTGACCTCCAGCATTGATCGCCACGGCCTGAACCGCCTTGAATAGCTGCGATAAAATAGCGACCACGGTTGGCTTATTGTCGGCACTTTGACGATGTCTTCGCGATATATTTTTTCGGCGATCTTACCACAACTCGCCCGTGATAATCTGATATTCTCACTTCGACGTTATACACGTCGATTACGTGTTTGCCAAATGCTGTCATATTTTTCTTGTCGATACTTCGAAATTACTCTTTAGGAACACAATTATCACATAATTATACACACCGCATATACGTAACTACATAGTTGTTTTTAATCGATGATAAAACCCTTATTTTCTCACTAATAATCTTGCCCGAGGCTGTAGCTCTAATTGCGTTCTTATACTCGGCAAGCGGACCACAATCGGCCAGGGAACTCCTCGATTGCTCCCCGAGCAAACTTATTTTTCTGATATGGCATTTAATGTCTCCTCCATCCAAAATGAGACAGTCAATTTTGTATATCTATATATATATATATAGGTATATACCAATACGTATACGTACACACATATTTATGGAAAATTCTAATATTATACTCTCTTGTAAGCAAAATACAAAGTTAATGAGAAATGGACCAGCAATTATATTTGTGCGATAAGGAAAGACGGAGGTTTGTTTATACAGAAGCCATCTTCGATTGTGAAACATAAAATCTGTGCCAACTGACTGAATTGCGAAGGAACATTAATGATGAGATGCCAAACGAAGATTAACTGTCTCATGTTGGAGAATACGTAAAAAAAAAAAAAGAAAAAGAAACTATATACGGACGTGCATAGACTTCACTCAAAATGGGTGCTACAAGCGAATCGATAATCTGTTAGTTTTAATCGAGGAAGAATAGAGAATAATCTTAGAGAAAGAATTGTAAGAACGAAAAAATATTCTATAAATGATACCAAAAATGTAAAAAGGGATCAACGTACGAACACCAATTAGTAGTTAGATGCAATCTATCGCTATTATTGTACTATTACTATACTATATATAATTATTTTTCTGTCGAATTGATATAAAAATCTATGTACATACGTGTAGAATTTTTGAGGCGCTTATCGCTTAGATTTGCGCATATTCTAAAAGACGACGCCGCTCATAAGTCAATACGATCGTGCACGCAACGATTTCTTTCACGCGACTTAATCGAGCTCTTTTACTTATCGATATTTCTGTGATCCTCAAAAAAAAATCCCAGGTTATATTATATTGTACTTTGAATATGTGTCTCAAGATTTGATATGGCGGCGAGTGTATTGTATCCTCTGTCTCTGTCTCTTTCCTCTGTTACTAAATATTATACATATACTAGCATTCGATAGTTCGAATACACATTTCTTTAAATTAATAAAAAGCAAAGGATATAATTAAATATTGTTAAAAAATTGATTTACATATTAGACTACAAACAGTAATAGGCAGAAAATTATTGTTAGAAATATTCAGATTTAATTCTGCTTCTTTTAATACGTGAGAAATAATTGTTTCAGTCAAACAAATTTCTGTTTCTAAGATTAAAGCTATATACCATCTCGTCTATTTATTGAAATTAAAAATATGTAAATGATGTACTGAAACTATCGAGTGTTAGTGTTCCAGCAGTCGCGCATTCTCTTAGACCTCGAGTGGTTTTCTCGTCGCGCGATTATTTCGCTGGAGAAAACCGTCCTGTTAACCCTCAAATGAGGTCTTAGAACCACGTATGCTGCAAGTCAAACAGAAATTGCCATTATCGTATGATTATTAAATTAAGTTCTACGGAGTATATAGATAAGTTTTAGGAAGTATGTAAATAAGTAACAAAATTTTGTTTTTGACTTACCTGTAAGAAAAAGAGAATATTTTAATAGCATATTTACTTCAGACAGATTGTTGAGATATTTAATGTTGGAAAGTACAAATGTTGGCCTTCGATCGAATTTTTTTTTCCAAGGACTTTGCATTCGTGGGTGAGAAGGGGCGCGACGTTTGATTATCCCGCATGTATCTTTACTGATCTTTTAGAGTATTTGAGGAAGAAATGCCTTTCGCGATCCGTACCTGTTGTACTATTGTCGATGATAATTGTGAGATGAAAAAAGAGATATTTAAAGCAAAAGAAACTACGATTGTTGTAGGATTCTTACGACGTATAAGAGTATATTTCGTGCGCATGTTATCGGGTATGTCAAAATAAAAATGAGAATAATGTTAGTTTTTTCGCCCGATGACACAACACCATTGAAGCCGGTATAATTTCGTGAAGTTTAATTTTCTCGCTCCCGCAGCATCAAAACTTTTCACTCGTCAAAATTGTACCGGTTTCAATCCCCGGGATAACATTAGACTCGAGATGAAAAAAAAAGGGGAAGTTACTAGAATTTCCCGGACATATAGCGACGCCTTTCGCAGCGGCAAGAGCGCTGGCTCAGCTCGCAAATCTCGATTTAAGTTTTAGAGCAATAAATTGACGACAATCACACGACATTTCGGCATAAGTCAGCGCTCGCACCGCGATTGTTACTTCTCTCCCGTCCGTTTCTTTCTATTCCATTTATCCTCTTATTCGAAATTATCTCGTTTGTTGTCGTATAAATAATAATACTTCGTATGCACGTGCAAGCTCCCTATTTTCGAAAGCTGCGCCGATATACGGAGTCAAAATTCTTAACGTTCTATTCTCTCTGTATTTGTCATAAAATTTATGAATCGTATACATAATTTATTATTAATATTATAACAGTCTTGTTATTCCGCGTTTGTCATTTCGAAGTTCGTTATAATGTTGATTGTACTGGACGGCAGAACATATCGAGACGGCAGAACTTACTTTTATTCCATAAAAAAAAGATATATTTTTTTATTTTTTAATAATTCTACGCTAATTTTTAATGATCTTGATAATTCAAAGATAATTAAAAATTTTTTTTTCCTATTGTGTGTGTTTGTGAAGTTTCCGGCAAACGAATGTTAATTATACGTATTGTAAGTCACAGACACATTTATCTTGAATAGATGCGTTTACATGATAAAATAATAGCGTTCCTATTTAGACAAATATTTTTTTAGTACGTCTAGAATCGGTTTTGCGTGAAAATAGCAATCGACGAATATTTTCGCTTTCATTTTTTATCATAAGTACAAGTCATAATGCTCGAAACTTTAGTATGAAAACTTTAATGTCGTCCAGTCTTATTGAAAAAGAGATACAAAGTATTAAATAATATATATTCGAATTGATAAATTCTATGAATATATTCTATGAATTTCTTAGCTCTTCTATATAGGTAGTTCATTGAAAAAAAGATTCTGTCCATTCACCCATTCGTTTGTCCATCGAATAAATGTCTCCGAATATTTCCGAAAGAAATAGACAGTAATGATTGTTAATAAATTTTCAGGCCAAAATGATACAATAATAGTTTTTATTTTCTATAAAATAGAAACTGAATTATATACAGCTTTCTATAAACATCAATATGTTTGTCAGTATGCGACCCGCGCGTTTTGTGTAGAGTGCGGAAAATATTGTGACATTGTAAATTTCTAAGTCGTGAGAAAGGCTTGGATGGACCAACCAATATGACCATTTTATTTTATTAAAATAACTGATATTTGCTGTATTATCTGTAATTTTAAATCTATTAAACGAAACACAGCTATCAAGTCATCGAATTATTCTTGAGATATCCTATACAACAAAACAGAACGTAATAAAAAGAGATCGACTTTAATTCGATTGAAGAATTTAAAGTGATAAAACATTCTGTATAACATTCAACAAATCCTCGATATATCTTTATGTATCTTATTTTTAATAATAATAAGCGTGTTAAAATTGCTCAATTCTTGTCTTTGAACGCCCTCGTCTTTTTATTCGATCAAGCAAAGTCACGCCTATAAAGAATTTATTGATTTAAATTATATCTAATACTTGACAAAAAATAAAAATAAAAAATAACATTTAAAAATTTTATATAGAAAATATCGGGAGGCTTAATTTTTCCAATTTTTATATTACATAATCGTAAAATTATAATTGTTAGAAAATAATTTCTATTTAAAATTAAATAAAAAAGTTGTGCCGTTTATTTTACATTCTTAAAGTATGTGATTGGAACTTTTTATTTATAAAAATACTAACATCTCCGCATTCTTCCGTAAGAATCTCCAATAAGAAATCTGCTTGAACGTCTCACACTAGTTGCCTATTATCTCGTATGTTCATCACTGAATTCGTGATTAGAAACGATTACTGTAAGTACTTATCGCAAATATAGGATGACGCCACGACGTAACCATGCATCGCGTTCTTCTCTCGGACATGTGATCGGTAACGCACAGATTAGAGTCTCTCGTTGAACACTTGTATAAATCGGTATGCACAGATAATCTTCTCGATCTTCGAAATTGCTAGAATTATCGTTGCCAGATTTATCTTCCGAATATTCGTCGGGCATAAATGCCACTTGGCATATCGGGGCGACCGCGACCGCTGCCGAATTTACATCCAAATCTTTCAAGACACCTTCCTCAATCAAAGCTCCTGTAAATAAGACATTATATGGCTGTGTAAATCATGAATAAAATATATTGTTTTTTTAATTATTTTGTTATGAAGAATTTTAGAAAAAGATTTAAAAAGTTTTAACAATTAATCACAAATCTACCTGATATAAGTAAACCTTCGAGCTCGAGTGACACTTTCCATTTTTTATTTGGACGATTTTCGATCCAATTTGCATAGAGTTGAAGTGTTTCCAGTGGATAGCCAAGCTCTCGTGCGGTATGTTGCTTTAGTGCAGTTAAAAGAGCGCGTGGTCGGGATAATTGTGACAAATCGACTCGGCGAGGTATACTCGTCGCTAAGGATTTTAGCGCTTCGTACTTGGACGAAACCGCCTTTATAAATTGAATGGCATTTTTCGGACCAGCTCGCCATTCCATTAACCAATGCTTAGGAGTCTTCGATTATAAATAACAATTGTATCCATTATTATAAAAATTAGATAACAGTTGAAAAAGTACAATTTAAAATTGAAAATAATCTGCCTTACTTCGTTATTCTCGAAAGACGATGCGTCAATGTCCGTTTGTACGATATTTAATAACTTTTTTGTGTGATCAATCTCGTCCATGAAAAAGTCTTGCAAAGAATTTTTTTTCTGTCCACCTGAATCATATGTGAATGTTACAGAAGATTGTCGATCCATAAGTTCTTTCAAATTCTCTTTGACTTTGGATTTTTCCAGCTTATTGCTGTTTTCTTTGCTGTTGCTGAAGGATTTCATCAAGATGCCTTGCAGAAAAATCAAAATTATTTTTAAAATAATCTAACCAGTTTAAAATAATCTAACCAGTTTAATACGATTTCAAATACCTTTGAAATACGTCAGAGCTTCTTCCGAAGCAGCTCTTTCCCATGCTCTGTGTGCATTAGCAGGAAGGCCGAAGTATTCCCTTGGCGAATCGGCATCGTCTAGATTCTCCAACGATTTCACCGGATCGCCGAGCGTCACGTCGGTTACCTTTAACACATTTCCCAGCTTCCGGTGGCCCTCGAAAATATCTCTGGACCATGCATCGCGTATCATCGAGCGCAACGCTCTTGCGTCGTAGCCATCCTGAAGTCGACCACCATAAACCGCAACGTCGAGTAAACCTCTGCCGATCTGCCAGTCTCCTTTTTATGCCAATATTTTTGATGCGTAAGTTATAAGATATTAAAATAATTTATATATTTACGTTTTTGCAGAGTACTTTAAAAATGGCAAAGAATGAATACATAGTATTGTTTCTAGCGAAATTTAAACTTAATTTTGACTGTTAGCAAAAATATCGAAGAATCCCAGATTTTGATGATAAGAATGATAAGATGTACCTTGCGATCGTTTCTCCTTCATCATTTCCTTGACGACCAGTTCGTAAGCCGCCTCGAGATCCGACTCGTTCCATTCATACGATTTGATCCAACCTTGAGGAACGAAATTTCGTCGTTCTTGAAGCGTTGCGTGCAACCAAGAGAGCACCAATACGGCAGTCGTGGCGTCACCATCACGCTGCGTTTGTCGTAGCTGATGAAGCGATCTCTTTATGTTCCTCTTTACGCCCTCGGGAGGTTCATAAGCTAACTTCAAACAGAGTCCCGCTAAACCCGGATAAAATCCAGTGCATTCTTCAGTGGTCAGCCAGATCCTCGTAGAAGAATTTTTATTTGTCGTACACATCGGCGAACGAAGCAGGCTCTCTAATCGCGGTAACCAATTCAGAGCAAGCTGCAAGTTGCTCAATAATATCCAACTACCGTTTCTGCAAAATAGTAACGAAAGTGTAATTGACATTTAATAAACATTAGAACATTCTATGTACATTCTATGTATATACATATATGTATATTCTATATTCTATGTATATACAGAGAATGTGAAAAGTATATAAAGCGCATATCCTATATATGTGAAATAATTACCACATGTATGTACATAGGATGTCCATAGTACATACATAGGTATATTCCAAAGATATGCAGTGTACCTATATACATGGGGTATATTACGAGGATGTGCAGTGCACGTTCGCAGTATGTACATAGGATATATTCCGAGGATGTGCAATACACATTCGTGGCATGTACATGAGGTACATTCTATGTATGTACATAGTATATACAGTACATTTTTTTCACATTATAGATATTTCATGTATATACATAGAATATCGAATGTTTACTGAATTATGGGTCGCCATCATTTTTCGTTTGTAACCGAGTACCTACGTCGATGCGTCTCATCGAGACAAGCAACTTTGGTCCTATGAACATATAGCGGGCAATGAATATTTACGGAGTTATAGCTCTTTTTCGTCGCTGATTTTTTGGTTATCGGGGCCTAAAACTCGGAAACTATAGGAGATAGGAGATCGGACCATAGGACTTTATTCGCAGGGTATCGAGAGATCTTTCAATCCCTTCAGACGGTTTTTTGAGATTCGTAAATTTTTGAAAAAAATTTTGAGGTGTTACGGGTTAAAAGCCTTAATTACATTTTCAAATAAAATTTTTTTTTTTTTAATTTATTTATTTTACTTAATTATTAAATTGTTTAATATTTATTTAATTTTTATTAAAAATAAAATCTTTTATTTGCTTTCAGAAATTATAAGACTTTACCTGCATGCGGCTTCCAATGCCGATTCAGCTTGGGTAACATATCCTTGACCCAAGGAAATCTCGGTAAATCCAGCAGAGGCATGATTCGCAGCCAGTATGCTGAGCTCGGCACCAGGATCAGTTCCCGGAGATAAAAGTAGCAGAACAGGATACGACCCTTCCTTTTCCTGGGCAATTGTGTTCAATGTCCACAAAGGTGGAGCCAAATCCTTAACACCTTGCATAAAATTTGCAAATTAATAATGCTTTACGGTGTAACTTGAAACGCTGACACTTACCTAATTGCTTCGCGGCCAATTTAGAAAGAGCGGTGTGTAAATAATCAGGTCGAAGAGCTTTCACGACCAGAACTTTCTGAAAAGCGCTGAGTCCGTTGTCCGCGTAAATATTTGAAATATCCTTCAGCCAGGAAGAATTCATTCTAACAGTTACCTTTAATTTTTAAAAATCCGATAACATCAGCAAAATTTTAGATTTTTCAAGCATTTGGACTATTCAAAAATAGAGAATTTATTAAAAATTGTAATCGAGTTTACGTACATCTGGCAAAGAAGAACTTAAGACTTGCACAGCCTCGCGTCGTTCATCCGGTATCCATTCAGGTAATTCGAAGTCCGCGTTATCGGAGTTGCCGATCGCACCGTTATCGAACAAGAGATTTTTCTCGACATCCGGTACTGGATTTAACGACAATGCCATATGCAACGCCAGAGGAAGTCTATGCTTCCTGTAGATCGCCTTTGCGCAATGATAGTACGTCAAAGTTATCAACCTAATGTAACACAATAGATTATATAATAAATATCGATTATTTTACGGTCAGAATTATGTACATACCGTTTCTCGATTAAACTGCGCGATTCTTTCTTTTCTCTGTCTTCACTTGCTGAAAAGCTGTCACTTTGCACCGCTTTCAAACAGATGTCCGTATAAGCTTCCGCGGAAACGACGTACAAAGGGCTGAGAAGTGTTAATCCTTTAATAGTCTCGTAAACATTAGCGGCAAACTGCGCAAACTTTTCGTGATCCTTGGCTCGTCTATTAAAAAAAATAATAATAATGAAGAACATTATCTTCGAGTATCGACATAAAAGTTTATAATCTGTAATCCGTGTTAAAAGCTCTCAAAGCACCTTGAGACTTCGTTCAAACTTTGTCTGCTTTCCTCCAGAGCAATCGCTATTTCTTTCGCCTTGGACTGCGTTGCTTCCAAGGAGAACAAAAGTCCTCCCTGTTCTTGAGATTCTTGCAAAAGATCCTGACCCCTGGCTGTAGCTAGTTGGCTCAATACATCCAGTCTTGCCGCGTCTCGTTCTCCCGACAGTTTCTCTTCCCTTTCCAAAGCTTTTCTCCTTTGCGCCTCGAGCTCCGGCGTTTCGTTTAACAACAGCTTAAGAATAGTATTGTTAGTTGAATTTAGTCTGAATTTAAGATAATACGTAGTGAATTTTTCTTAGATATACTTTGAAAAAAATAACATTTAAAAAAATAAAAAAGTAACTAATTTTATTTTTGCGTACCTTCTCTACGAATCTTTCCGTCAAGCTTTTTATTCCAGTACCAAGTGTGATTTCACACAGCACAGCATCAGCTTCCTTCGGAATGTCTTCTAACTTGTCCTTTCTCGTTGCCAGGAAAAGTTGGAAGCCTTGCTGAGCCGGCAAAATGCGATCGCCCAACCTAAGTGGCCGACGACGAAGGACGGGCAACAATATTGTCGGAAACTCAACTAATTCCTCGACCAAGAGAGGTTTACCAAAGCGCACAGCGAGCTCCAAAGCCGTCAGAAATTTGGAATTTTCCGGCTGAGTAATCTCAAGTCTGGATCCAATGCTACGTTTAATCCAGGACACAGCTACTCCCGAAGGATCAAGGAAGATGGGTACCAAAGGTCCTTTCAGCACGCGAGAGGCTGCGACCAAGCTGCTCGTATCTGCTGGCAAACCCTGCGCTCTCCACAACAATGTCTCGCGTTCGGTTGCTAATAATTTAGTTGCCGATATTTTCCAATTGTCATCCTTCTTAGGATCCTGCAAAAATTGATAAAAAATTTTATCTCAAAAATTTTTTTTTGAGAATCCGCTGTTAATCAATTGTCTTATGAAATATAATGCATAAATAGATAAAGCTAATTTTGAAAATGACTATATGTAGAAATATTTAATGTTACACATTTCAGGAAATATTCAAATAGTTAAGCTATATAAAATTAATAAAAATAATTATGTCATAGTGCTAGTTACCTGATATACGAGTAGAGCCGCCGCATTAGCCGCCTCAATGTCCAATTTTTCTTTCCTAGCGGTAAGATCTTGGAACTGAGCCTGCCAATCGCGATGTTCAGTGTCGAGCTTTTGCAAGAGAGCTCGAGCCGTCGAGAGGCTGGCCTCCGCGGATTCGGTTCGTAGCTGCAATTCAGCCGCGCCCCTCGTATGCTCGGCAAGCTCCTTCTGAAGTTGCGCAACGCGACTCTCCACCGTGTTCAATCCAGCTTCCAATTTTCCCAGCTGTGCTTCAGCTGCCGCCAATCCTCTTGAATAATACAATAAATAAATAAAACAGGTAAATAAAAAGCAATTAGGTTACAAAGATTAAATAATTAAAGAATACATCAGAAAAAGAGTATAACATTAAAAAAATAAATATTAATATTAAAGAGATTTTATATTTAATAACAATTAAAACGAAGAAAACGCACTCAGCTAATTGTCGTTGTTCACGCTCTAAAGGAGCAACCTGTTCCAGTATCTGGCCGTATTGGAGATTGGCGAGAACCCAAGCGGCTAGTGGAGCGGCCGCCACCGATGCTCTCTTCGCCGTTTTCTCTTCGAAACTGTCCGGACGTTCCTTTATCAGCTTTGCAACCGCTTCTAAACTGGCAGGAGCGCTGCGTCTCGCGTCCCAATTTCTGTGAATTTGAAAATTATGAACAAAAAAATAAAAAAAACATGTAATTCATAAAATTGAATAACTAATTTATAACGTTAAAATCGTCAACTAAATAGAAACTAATTACCATCGCTTACCTGATCTCGTCTTTTACGCCTCGCTTAGCAAGGAAGGTCTTCATGCTGTTCCAAGATGTGTCCTTTATGCCCATTAGCCGGAGAACACCCTCGAGAACGTCTCTCACTGCCGCCGGCGGTGCTCTCAATGAACGAACTTCAGCCAATGCGTCGGCACTTATACCGGCTACTGCTTGAGCAGCTTGTTCCACTAGAGGCTCGACCTTCCCTAATTCACTTTCTATATCCGCCTGCGTAAACGATAAGATTAATAGATACACTATTTTTTAATCAATATTGTCAAAACCGATAAATAATAATAATTAAAAAATAATTAAAAACCTTGCGTCGCGCAAGTTCGACACTCTCACGTTCCGTGTTAGCTTTCAGATTTGTCATCTCTCCTCTTTGGCTAGTCGCTCCTCTCATCGTAGCAGTAATTTGTTCGAGAGCAGCATTAGCTCTTCCTTTTTCCACCTAAAGTATAATAATAATAATAATAAAGTAACAAATGATTCTGTAACAATAGAAAATATTATATTGACGGAGAAAAAAAAAGCAATAAAAACTAAAAGTACGAGTGTTAGTGCGTAAAAAACAATTTATTGACAAAAAAAATACGAAACAAAACGTCTCTTCTTAGTAAAAATGATGTTAAACACCAATGGATAATAATATTAAATAATTTTTTTATAATTCTTTCAAAAAATTATTGATGTACGAACCTCGAGTTCCTGACGTTGCCTGGATACGTCATCTTCTAACTTGGCTACCTGCTCGCCGGCCTCCCTCAGCTTTCCGATACCAGCTTCGAGCGATTGCAGCTTTTCGCCGACCTCCTTGCTCCACGTGTCGCGAAGGTGTCTCCAGGTGTGCACCAGAGCAAGGAACCTTGCCGGTGCCCTTTGATAGTGAGGTGCCTGCAGGTGAGTACCGATTATGACTTTTGCGCCGCTCGGCAGCTCCTCGGATTCGTTTAACTGCAAAGTGCCCTCCTGAACCGCCAGTTTAATTAGAGAGTTTTCTCGGGACCACCATTCGCCAGCACCAGGTCCAGATCCAAGTAGCGCACAATACCGCAAAAGACCCAGACGTAATAACGACGACGATTCGATCTCTTCTGAATCCAAGATCATCGCCACTCGAAGATACTTACGCAAGCCTGCAGGCCAAAATATCATCAATATCATAAAACAAGCACAAAGGTAAATGATACAATAAACAATATTGATGAAAATTCATAAATCTTTAAAAATCAGAAATAGTTGTTCGCTATAAATTTACTCGTCAAATATATAAGTTTTCAAATATCAAAATTAAATATAAATTTTATTAACTTAAGAAAGTTAATTCAAAAATTGAACATAAATTTTTTTAAAAATATTTTTAAATGTGATACATACGATGATACAAGTAGTGCTCTAATGTTCCTTGAAAATCTTCCCTTCGAGCCAGATCGGCTAACGGTGCAACGAGCGCATCAAGTTCTTCCGCCGTGAAGAGCCCTGGAATTTCCCCTTTAGATACTATAGCGCTCACTAACACAGCCAAAGTTTCTTCTCGAGCATGATGTTCTTCTAATAGCAGCAAAGTCGGTTGACTTTCGATACCGGCGGCTTGCACGGCGTTTTTTATCGCTACTTTACCGCGTCCTACAGAAACAATTAATAAATACGATATGATTCTAAAAAAAAACATTACGTTTTTTAAATTTTACTACGCTAATGTTACGATACCAGGTCCTGAATCAATTAGCCGAAGAGAGGAGAAGGTTGCAACTAATTTAACCGCTGATCGCCTGCCCGCTCCCGGTCGGCCGACAAGAATTATACCACGGAAATTGCATCCTATAGCCCAACTCAATCCTAGCAAAATATTTGACGTAATCTTATGTTAAAATATTGCGAGAAAGCTACAACAATCAATTTAATTAAATTATTTACCAGCTGCGGTTTCCAGAAGATAAGATGAAATCGGTGCCTCCACCGGTTGACCCTCCCTGGCGCATCTGCCTGCTGCATTAATTATCTCTTCTCGCCATTGTTCTTCACTTAATGGATATAATCCGACGTTTGTGCTCTTCCACACGTACACATCGTTACTGAAATCCTTCGCCTCGGAATCCTTTGAGATTAATAAAGATTCCCATCGTGTCAGCGCCTTGGGTGTTAATCTGGAAATAAAAATACGATAAAGCGTATTTTGATTTCATTTGTTACTCAAGAAATTCAAATAATACCTCGGGCGAAACAGCCGTTGTCCGATGTCTAAGAAATGACGAGTGATGTCCGTTTCGTTTTCAGGTATAGGATAATACTTCAAGCGACTTGCCCACGAGACCATATCCTTGAGAGTCCAAGTAAGAGAAGTTTCTTGAGCGGAACACGCGAATCGAAAAGCGTCCAATATATTAGGCTTCATTCGCGAGATCCATGCTTCGGCCATAACAAGGTCAACTTGCTTCAAAGAGGCTCTTAAATGAAGCTCGAGAATGGTTGCGACATCCTTTTGGTTTGGATATCTATGGCAAATGTATGTTATAAAAATTTTTTCGAAATTTCTTTAAAATTTCATAAAGTTTAAAAGTTAAAATTTTTGAAATAATCAGATAGCAGATAAATTGTTTTTATTTTGTTAATTTATATATATTTTTATAGCGAATTTACTCACTCTAAATAATAAGTTGCAAATACAGCTTCGAGTCTAGGATGCAGACGAGTAGATACATCAGCAGTGCATATAATTGTTAAGGATACTTTGGAAAATTCGAGATCCTCCTCGAGAAAACCTTCCTCTTGAAACAATTCTCTCACCAATTCCTAAGGACAATTAATTTTTTTTTAATCAAAGCATTTTTGCTCTTAAATTTTTTCTGAGGAAATTTGCATTATATATTCGGAAACTTATAAAAATTTTATCAAAACAAATATATCGATACAAACATTATTATTTACATAAATGTCTATGTTATAGAAAAAACTTATACCTGCAAATCTTTAGCAGCGAGATGCATGTCCTCTAAAATAAGAAGCACTCGAGATCCGCTTCTCGGCTTATACGTCCTGCCCTGCGAAGAGGACTCCAGACATAAACAAGCCTTCTTCAAACGAGACACGAGATCGTCGGGACCATAAAGCGAGGATCCTTTCACCACGGCCAAAGTATCGTGATTTTTAATCTTTGATAACGCAATATCGATTAAAGCGTTTTTACCGCAAGCCTCGGGTCCGCGAATCATAATCGGATGGCCGTCTTCTATCCAGGGCAAAATAGCTGCCAATGCTTTCTTAACGCAATCTGCGTAAAATTGTATAAATGAAATTTACAGTCCCTTTATATTTTATCATTTATTTCAATTTGATACTTTTATCTTACCGGAAATTGAAACAGATCCATAATCGGTGTTGACAGACTCATACGTATCGTTAAAAGGTACCAGTCGATCAGTTTCGTGATCGTAGAGAACGGCGCATGGTTTTTGCGGATCGGGACACCTGAAAGAACATTTCATGAGTGAAAGATTTAGCACAACAATGTTATTCTGTCCTACTGTTTCAGAAACTAGAAAAAAAATTATTATTGACTCGTTAAACGCTCACCAACTGTCGGTCGATCCGTAAATGAATGTCGCCAGATTGTCTCTAGATTGTAAATCTTTCACTTGACCGCATAATGAGACCAGAAGGCCTTGAGTTGTTTGAGAGAACGTTTGCGTTTTACGAAGATGACACAATGCAGCAGACATTAAACCAGCTGCAGACGAGCCCTCGACATTTATCTTCAAAGTTTCGTCAATGCATGAACATAAATGGGCATTCGCGATTTCTGCTGCTGTGGAAGGAAGCTGCTCTAATCGCCATGGTACTAGCAGAGACGACGATTTTGTTGACCCGAGATGCAAAACACCCAATCGTGAAACTGTAGCTGGGCTGGCGCTGGCGAGCTTATGTGTCTCGAAAATAAATCTATTTTGCGAACATTTATATAATGAGCAAAAATAATGAAACAATTAAATGCCAAGCATAATTTGTAAAAAAGATAAGTTGTGATAAAATTTTAAAATCTATTTATTATTTAATATGATGAGAAGTGTTTGAAAAATCGGAATTTACACGTACAAAATAAAATTGATAAAAAATAAAATTGATTGCGACGTGCTTTTTTAATACATAATATATATATATTATGGACATAAAGGAGGATGTTAAAAATAGGTCGATTTTGGTCCACGGTGTGAAACCATTTGTAGTTTTGGTTTCCACACCATGGGCCAAAATCGACCTATTTTTAACATCCTACTTTCAATATTACATATACCTCGTAGCGCTGCCAAGTTTAATTCCTATTCCATTGGGTAATGTTAACAGTCGATTATCGTCCAGGGCTGAATTTAAAGCCTCCGCCCATTCAGGTTCCACATCTCCGTTAAAAATGATCCAGGTCGCGGAATTTCCAGCGGATGTTACCGCATTTGATAGAATGCCTTCCTTCCATTCCCTGCAATTTTAACGATATTCCATCGTACGTTCCGAGCGCACACACAGAAAAATATCATTCTATTGCTAAGAAAAGTAATTACTCGGCTTACTTTTCTTTTTTTAAGTAACAATTATCTTTAATAAAGAATATTTTCTTGATAATAGTCTTAAAATATACTCATCACAAATTTTTGATAATCTCATTATCATATACTCAAAAGAAGTAATTATTTTTTGGTGAAGAATATTATAAAATTGTATCGAAAAAAAGTCAGATTTGGCTAATTTAATAAGCAAATAGAATTCTTTTTTAAATTTAATATTCTTGATTGAAGTATTAAACTTACTGGGATCAAAATATATTTTGAATAAATTTGATGCTTATGATAAACTTACGATAGATTTGCGGATATATGAACTTATAAAATACTTAAAACAAGTAATATTTACGTAAATACAGTATGTATTTTTCTGTGTGGAAGAGTATTTCGGCACTTTACCTTGTTCGCTGATTTACGTGTCCTAATAATCTGCTCCTTGGTATCGCTCCGGGATAAACTATAATCTGTTGCACAGGCTCGCCGATCTTTGCCATCGCTTCGGCCAGACACAATCGGATCGATGTTTTTCCGCTACCCGGTGGTCCGACGATGGCAACGCCGGTTCTACTTTTCAGCAAATCGTTCAATTGTATGCATCTGTTAGCCACCTCTTTTGATAATCCTCGATTTTCGCAGATCTTCGACAGCGCGACAACCAAGCCTTCGTTCTCTGCAGAAACGGACAATAAATTGGTCTTCGGAAAGAGATCGTCTAATAACGACAAGAATTTTGTAGTATCTGTTTCCGTCAGTTTCGGCAGAGTCGATGCTCTAATTGAGATAAGAAGCCTGCCAAAAAATAAAAAACTTTTTTATTGCACTAATTTGATCTTTTCATTTGAGCACGAAGACAATTAAGAAACCATAAATATTAGAATGTTAGACAAAAAATATATTATTATTATTATTTCGATAAAATCAAATTTTTAATTTTATATTTAATATAAATAATTTTTAAATTTTTTTATGCATTCGAGAAGAGTCCTGAACACACCTGGTGGTTTCATCAACATTGGCCATCGGACGTAACGCATCGAGTACAGATTTGAGAGCTCTGAGTCCCCAATCATAATGCGGCTGTTCGGAAAGCATAGTCTCGGCGATCTCGAGAGCCTCTACAAGTCGTTTACCAAGAGTGGGCGCCTCTAAGAAACCGGCGCACTCCAGCAGAGTTCTAACAATGTCCGCCTTGTCTGGATGCGCCATACTGATAGGCCTGAAGAGCCTTGCTAAGGAATCCGGAAGCTTGCGTCTGCCGCCGTACTCGCTGCCGGCTGGATTCATCGTGATAAAGATGCAACAGTGAGGGTCTAGCTTGATTTTCTGATCGCCCAGCAGAATCTCGGGCGAGCCGTTTCGAAGCGCTTCCTGAAGCGGTCTCACTAACATCGACACTGCGCTCAGAGTGTCCTCCTCGAGGCGGTTGAATTCGTCGAAGCAACCCCAGGCGCCGGCTTGCGCCAAGCCACCCAAAATACGTTTCATACTGCCAGTATCCATTCCTATTATAATTCCAATTAGCCAATTAATTTCAAGTAAATAGCTTTCTCCGCGAAATGCGATATACTATTTTTCTTCATTATTAACATGCAATTTTCTAACACTCGCGCAATGATTGCAGAATAAACTCCTCACCTTCGTCGCAATTAAAAACAAGGACCAATCTACCCAGGACGGAAGCTAGTGCTTTAACGCTTTCGGTCTTGCCGGTTCCAGCAGGACCAGTTGGACTGCCACCTAATCCGAGCTTCATAGCTTGCGTGAGGGCTAAGAAACATTTCTCCGTCAACGGAGTTCTCACTAAACCGATGGCTGCGCCTTGATATTCGAAGCGATACGGTAACTCTGCACCGGCGCATCGTATCACGTAAGTACCTTGATTCTAAAATAGGATCATATTGCAGAATGTGATAATTAATAATGGACATTGTGCAGAATTATTTTCGTAATCTTATGTAGAATAAATCAACATAAATAGATATTAACTTTTTACAGCATGTTTTAATCGGAACTCACGATTTTGTAGCTTCTCAATTGCTTGTACCACATCCAGCCGGCATTCTCGCCAGCTGCGACAGTTTTCAACAGTGTTCTGGCTACTTGCAAATGATAAACGGTATCCAGAAGAAGGCCGCGCGCCTTCAACGCGGTCAGCTGGTCCCCGGCATCCTCTAAACCCCTGTATCTCGCTCTCTGCGTCTCCAAATATTCAACGAGCTTTTGCAAAGCTGCACGGCCTTCCTTCAGCGCGTATTCGCAGCGCTCAGTAAATCCTATTCTTTCGGAAAGCAATAATATCTGCGTAGGATAGACGGACGGATCAGGCGTGGAGTCGTTCAAGCATTTCTCCAAACTCTGACGGAGAGCGTTTCTTATTCCTTTTTCTAGATTATCCAGCCATTGCGGCAGAGGTTCACTGAGATCAATGGCCGTCGGTAACTTTAATACTTCTCCCTCGGGCGACTGGATCGCCGTTAACGTATTATTCTCTTTCACTATTGAACCTACGCCGTAATACAACTTCGGTAAATGAGTTTCCAGGCCTCTTCCGCTGCCTGATACTAGCTCCAGAAGATCCTCGTCGCTGAGAAAGTATAATCTCGGATAAGCCGCTCGTTTTTCCTACAATTTAAACATTTGACGATAGTTATCAAAGAATGTCTTCGGAGAAAAATATTTTGCTATTTAATTTTACCTCTAAAAATTCATCTAAACTTTTCTGACATCTGTCTAACAAATCCTTTAAATTTGTTAATGCTGGCAAGGAAAGTCGTCTCAAAGACGGTACTCGGGGATCTCGGGATACTTCTCCAATAAGATACCTAAGAATTATCGAAAATACAAATGACATTTTAACATAGCACAGATGGAAGAGCAAATTATGTTGAAACGAATTAATATTAGTCTTATAATTACAAACCTAAATTCTTTATCCGCTCTCGACCATCTTCCGGAATCATTAGGAGCTGCCTCGCTTCCGTAGACCGGATCCAAGTAGATCCATTTTCTTTGCACAGTACTCAGGACTTTAATTCTTTCCTCGAGCTCTGATAGCGCCGCTTCGCATCGTGCAGCTCTAGACGCGAATCTGTCGTGTCCTGATGTACCTTTCGCACCTTCGAGCAGCAGCCTCAATTCCTCTGTTTATGATTTTAATTCAAGTTTTATAACGACAAAAAAGCTATAAGAATCGAAGTTAATTTTTTATAAGCGGTAAGCATTTTACCTATTTTTGCTAACAAACTGCCATAATCTCGAACGAGTAAAATCGTCACATTTTTGCTATCGGTTATTTCTTGCAAAGGAAGTGACACAGTACTTTCCCAAATTTCCAGATCTATTAATGCTTGTCGAATTCCACTTTCCGCGATTGCTCGTTTTGTTATTTCCTAAGAATAAAGGAACATATTTCATGTTATCAAAGTTTTTGAAAATTAATTTTAATATCTAATTAGAGTTCGAAGAATATTCAATATTCGGTTCGGTTTAAAATCAATTATTTTTAATGATTTAAGAGTATATATTTTTTTGTGAAAAATGTATAAAAAATAAAAATTAAATAAATATTATAGCACTTGTTAATAAATACATATCGATATCAGAATACTTAAAGAAATTACTCAAAACTTTAATACTTGAAATTTTTTAATCTTAGTATTGCAATCTTAAAATTACGTATTCTCACTTTCACTCGATCCTCGTTTTCGTTCAGTGCCTTTGTACAAGCGAACAAATGGCCCAAAGTGATATCTCGTGGATTTTCCACCTTCAATTTCAGTATAGGAATTAACTCGGTCCAATGTTCGTCGGCGAGCTCGTCTCCTCGAAGCAGCTGAATAGATTCAATCGCAGATCTGACTTTGTTTATCTTCTTACCGACAAAAGTGTCGGATTCCAAACCATCCTGCAAACGAATCTTACTCTCCCAGGAATCAAGCCAATCATGAAGTCTCGGTAATCTTCTTCGAGCCACGGCCCATTCCTCGGATTCCTGATTTCTCAGTTCTTCCAAAAACTCCGATTGAAACCTAACAATAAAATACTTTAGCTCCTCATTAATTAAAAAAAAGTTATAAAAATTAATTTTTGAGGATAAATTAACAAAAATAATAAAATAAATTTTTTTATAAATGTTTAGAACGATTTTTCATTAAAGAAACCTGTAATTTGACTCCTCAGTCTCCAATTCGCGTTCCAATTGCGAGAGATTAATCTCGTCGTCCTCCAGGACACTTTCAAGGTCCAAAGATATCCTATTGCAATCCGCTTTCAAGGAATCCATTTGTCCATTTAAATTGGCCCAGCGTTCCTTCATTGTTAATAACCAATCGAGTGTAAGGTTCTCCGATCTCGAGGACCATTTGGCTTGCCATCTTTCTCTTTCGTCTCTCAGCGCTATCGCTCTATGACGAAGATTAATTTTGGCGTCTTCTAGCAAACGTGCCATTACAGCTTTATGCTTTTCTAAACGATCCCCCAATTCCTGCCAAGCAACGTAAGCCGCGTTAACACCTGTAGAAATATAATAACTCTTGATTATATCGGTATTTGTAATTTACAAAAAAATTGATTCGCAAAAATTAGCGAGACTGCATAAGATTTTTATTGATTTTACCATCGAGCTTCTCGCTGGTCCACGCAGCCATAACTTTGGCAAGCACAGTGACAGCTTCCATTTCCGCGGCGATACCGGCTGACTGTTGCTCGATACGTGCATGAGCCTCGTGAGCTAAACCGACCTCTTCGACATCGTGCGGTCTACGTTCAAGCTCCTTAGATGCAAAAGACAGAAAATCTACAATGGCTACTAGTCGCGAGGATGCTTCTGTCCTTAAATCGGAACACAAACGTTCCCAATAATGACGAGACGCGGTCTCCAAATCGTTTCTCGTTGTCGCTGTGTCGACGCATATGCACAAGATTTTTACGTCGCATCCTCGTAATTTTCCAACCTGCGTTCCAAAAATTTTAAATTTATATAATTATTTATATCTATCAAGATCGTAAATATATATATATATATAATACGAGAAAAGTAAGTTGCATTTTTAAGTAAATAACATTTACATTTTGTGAACAATAACCAGCGAAATTAGCATTAGCGTGAAAAATACAAGTTTCAAAGTCGCATAACTCGGTCAAAAAAAAATTGTTGCAAAATTTTTAAAAACGTGTTTTGTAGATAAAATGTTATAGTTTCTAACACTTGTTATAAATTTTTGGTGAAAAATTTTTTTCTTTAGAAGAAAACAACGTGTTCTTTTTTTTAATTTAAAAGTGTAAAGATAAAAAAATTTTAGAAAACGGTATAAAGCACGTGAAAGTACAAGTTTCAAGCTTTAAAATGCTTGTTTAATTTTCTATCTACGATGATTTTTCGCCAAGTTACAGCTGTTTGAAAATTGGTCAATTTTAAGCGCTCGAACGTCTCGACGCGGCAGAGCAGTGCGGCCGAGAACGGCTGAACGTACGCCATTAGTACGCACGATGCCGTATTAATGGCGCGCGCCGCGCGTTCACAATCAGCCAGTCGGCCTCACTGCTCTGCTGCGTCGAGCGCTTAAAATTTTACAGTTTTCAAACTGCTATAACTCGGAGAAAAATTGTCGTAGACAAAAAATTAAAAAAGCATTTTAAAGCTTGAAACTTGTACTTTCACGTGTTTTATACCGTTCTCTAAAAATTTTTTATCTTTACACTTTTAAACTTAAAAAAAAAAAACACGTTGTTTTCTTCTAAAAAAAAAATTTTTTTTTTGAAAATTTATGACAAGTGTCAAAATCTGTAACACTTTAGCTACAAAATGCATTTTTAAAAATTTTACTACGATTTTTTCTTGCCGAGTTACGTGACTTTGAAACTAAACCTACATAGCCGAGTTTTAGCAATTTGAAAATTGTTCAATTTTTAGCATCTGAAAAGTGTTCTCTATTTTTGTAGAGTAGTATATGTATCAAACTTGCCTCTTGAGCCCATTGCTTGGCTTCTTTAAATGCTTTCGCCCACTCTTGAGGAGATTTACCTTTCAGTCTAGAAATGTATAGATATGCATAACATGTGTGAATACGTGTGTGACTATAAGATATACAATAATACAAGACTTTTTTTATATATCACTTATTTTTCATTTATAAACTTTTTTCAGTCTCAGCTTCTCTTGATGAAAATTTAATAAATACTGATAAATCTTAGTTTTTTAAAATAACATGTTACAATATTTATATTTTTAGATTCAACTTACCGCTCTCCAACATCAATATTGGCTGGTGTTGCAAGATTCAGCCATTTGGTTTTAAACAATTCGAGTGTAAACAGAGCGAATTCAATCTGTTTGTAAACGCCGCTAAAAAGATACGCATTTTTCTGTACCAAATCGCCAAAGTGCGCATCTGTCACGTCTCCCACGCCTCTAAAGTTTATCGGAATGGAAAGTGAACGTCGTATACTCGAATATAATTTCGCACGAATGTCTTCAAGCGGAGGTCTCCATTGCAAGATACCATCCCGAAAAGTGAGCTCTACTCGAATTTCAGGCAGTTTCCTCGACAAGGATGGTAAGGCATTCCTGAGCAAAATGCACAACAGAATATTTTATGCAAGCAATTTTGATACAAACATTACTATTAAATACCGCACATAAAATTTATTCTTTACGTGCAAAATTTTATTATAATCAGAGTTTTTAGATTGATTATGGATTTTTTGTAAGGTATCATTATACCTGTACGCTATACCCAGCGCCTTCAAAAGTTGCCGATCCCAATGCAACTTCCATGCCTTCGCGTTACCGTACTCCGAATCTACGGCGTCAACAATCGCCCTCATGCTCGTTAACGTTTCCTTCCATATATTCTGATTTCCAACAAGATGCACCGCGTCGCCTTTCAGCAAGTTCGACACGTAATCTCGTAACGTGGAATGCTTCGAAATCAATTCCGAGTTTTGCCGAGCAAACTTTGCCACCTGCATAATTTGTCGGATTATATACCGTAATTTTACTAATTTTTTCAATCATTTTACAAAATTATTTTTGCAGGTCTCTATTCTTACCAATTCTTTTAAACGGGTGATATACGCGTCAACGAGATGAGGGTCAGACCAAACAACGCCTGACTGTTCTTGAACAGCTCGTGCTAATTCAAGAGCTATCGTCAACATGAGCGGTCTTTGAGAAGGCACCATCCGGTCGCCGATCGTGTTGTGAAAAGTAGCAACTTGCTGAAGAGCTCTAGCCCGTCCAGCTAAAGACGCAGCTCTGTCCACCAGCTCTCTGACCTCCCTCGGCAGTTCGACGCCCTCGCCGGACAGCGCTCTGGCTTCTCTGATCAGAGTCATCAATCGAGGATCGTAGGTCACTCGCATCATACTAGTGCCGGTAAGTTCGACTACCGGTGAATCGGTACCCAAGCTCAACTCTTTTCTAGCTATATCATTCTTCGTGTTGTTTACCTGTGAACACAAAGGATATTTAGGATTCTGCTACAGTAAAAACTAATACTGTAATTTTAGAGAAATATGATTGTACTAAATCAACTACGCAACTAAAAATTACCCATGATTCAACCAAATCCCGTCTCTTCTCTTCGGCTTCTTTTAATGCGCTCGACAATCGCGCGGCTACTTCATCGTACCCGGGGAGATCGGCGAGCAACTCTTTCCCTAATTTAGCCAAACTCTCTAATCGTACTTCCGCAGATCTAGCAGCTTGAACCTCTTGCAGTATTTTCGGAGCATCGAGAAGATTTTCCGTGTCGGGACCAGCCAAGCGATTTTCTGCAATTTTGCATGTCAAAGAAATATTCAATTAAATGGCCAAAAAGAATATATTAAATTTCAATAAATTTTCATGAATTGATGCTCTCAATATCTATTGCCTTATTTTTT